TTTTTCATCATCGTTTTTCCTCGTTTCCAATGCTCTTCTTTTCGCTATATACTATCGATTATATTTACAACGCTGAAACTGGCGTACCTTCCGAACTGGTTCATTCCTTCTGTAATAAATTTTTCTTTTATCTATTCCGATATAAGGTGAATAATTAAATTTTTTCGTAATCTTCTGAAATTGGTTTGTTTATGTTTATTTTTCGGCTAGAAAACTGCATTATATTGATGAAAACTCGAATTAGAAACGCCTAAATAATATTTAAAAACGGAAGTAACGTTTTTGAATATTTTCTTTCTTCTTTATTCTTATTCGAATTTCTGTTTAGAATTTGAGATTTTGAACTTCTTTTATTTTCCCTGTATTTCCCGTTTTCATTTCGTCATTTTTTCCACTTTTATTTTTCAATTTTTTCAGTGTTCTAAAAGTAAGCGTCGTACATCAAGTAAGTTTCGTTTTTTTCTAAAAATTCGATTCAATTCTTAACATTCTCAGTTTTTATTCACAATCTATCACGTTTTTTTCCCTTTTTTAAAATTATTTTTTTTTTTGGGAAAGAAATTTACATAAGATGCTCAAATGATTTTTTTAACATTTTAGTTTTTAAATTGAAATTTTTGTGTTCATTATGGCCGTTTTCGATAAATCAAGAAAATTAATCAAAGTCAATTTAATTCAAAAACATGGGAAAAACGTTTTTTTATTTGGTTTTATTGTTATTAACGCTATTTTGTTGTAGAACTTCAAGGTTGCTGCAGGAAGCGAAAGTATTTTTTAATAATTGGTTTGCTTTGAAATTGCTATATTTTCTGATATTTTGTTTAGTTAAATCTTTTATTTTTTAAATTTTTTTACAAAAAATTATATATCTTTAGGAAAAATCATGAGCTTATAAAATTTCAAATAATTTCAAATAATAATAGACATAGATGCTGCGCATTTCAGCACCGCCTGATGCGATTTGTGTTATTAATTCATAAATTTAATATTTATTTTCGCTGCTGTTGTGTATTTGAAATAATTTTACCATAGTCGCGCCTAAATTGAGTGCAATTTCGCAGAAAATAATATTGAGAATTTATCAGTATTTTTACGATATCAGAAATAAAATAATCAGAAGCTAATTGTCTTCATTGATAAGTAATTATTTTATTGTCATGTTATATTCGGCTTATCGATTAATCGCTGAGTTTCCAACATTTTATCAAAAGGACATGAACTTGGCAACGGTTGTTATGTTGATAAACTGCAAAAAAAATTTAAAATCAGATTTTAAATTACAAGTGTTGCAGCCTATTCAACGTTCCAACGTGGGCAACAAGATGAAACAATTTCATTTTTGGCGCAAATAATGTTGGCTTCATTTGGCTTTATTTTTTTCGTAGACCTTTTTTCGTTTTTACAGTGTATTAATCGAAAAGCTTATTCGAATTGTTTTTTTCAAATTTTCGTAATTTTTATTTGAAATTGAATTGATCAATTTACTTTGTGAAGAGAATGTTTGAAGAAGTGGAATTTTCAAATTTCAGTAGTCGAAGTGGTTTTTTAAAAATAATTTTTCGGAGAATCAAAACCATAGGCCCTCAGATAGAATGAATATATTTTTGCAATTATTATTTGTGGCAATTCGACAATTGTTTAGAAAAGGACAAAAAAAAAATTATAATTCAGGTTTTTTGGAACGTTAATTCTGGTTTTTAATTTTTTAAAATCAATTTTTGGATTTGAAGAAAAACAAGAGATTGAAGATTTTACGTCGATTTTGAGAAATTTCATTTTTAAGATAATTTTTTTCTTTTAGTAATAATTTTTTGGTAACTAAACATTGTTTTCTGTGATACAATACTCTGAACTGATCTAGATATCTCTTGAGTGTCGACAAACGATGGATAACATTTAAAGAATTCAGCTCGAAGACCATCTTCTCCCGGAGTCTTATTGGCCTTAAGCTTATGGATAAAAGATATCATTTCTTTTTTTCTCGGGGCCTCGCAGTTGTAAGCATATGGTTCAGCGAACGTATCAGTTTATCAGGGGCAAGATATGGCGCTTCATGGTTAAATTTGGCCTCAAAGAATTCTTTTCATCTTATGAAGTTGTCTACTCTTGTTCCAAATTGTTGTCCCTTACCATTTCACTGATCGTTCTTTGAATTATAGTTGTTTTATGAAGAAGGCGGAATAATTTCCTATTATCGTCTAATCGAGCCGCCGTCTCCATTTTTGAGGCCATGTCACTCCAATAGAGATTTCTGTCCCGCCTTGCTGCTTTCGTTGCAAATCTTCGAAGCACCCGGTAGTCAGGATCACTTGACATTCGTGCTTTGGCAGTTTTTTCAGACAGTTGGACAGTTGTTTCCGTTACCCAACTAGCGCACTTCCTACTTGCATGCCCCAGGGTGGAAGTGGCTAACTTTCGGGGAAGTTCCTTTAATTCGGATCACCAGAAAAGTCATTGATATTTGCATCCCTGAGATCCTTTAATATTTCGGTTTGAAATGCGTTCACTGGCCCCGAGTTTTTTAGATTTTTTAGAATTTTTTTGGTTTGAGATAATTTAATGATATTGGGGGATGCTGTTTTCTGCGAGTTGCCAGTTTTATGACTCGAACCATAACATGGTCAGGTCCATAATGATTGATCGTTTCGGAGCCGCGGTAGGGACGACTATCAGCACGGAACTTTTTCAGCGACAACTGACTAATATATAATCAATCTAGTTGAAGTGTTGATTATCCGGGAGTTCTATGTGACTAGATGTTTACTATGCCAGAAGCAAGAATTACCAATAATAAGTGCTCTTCCTCTTCAGCATAATGAGGAAGGCGTTCTCCATTGGCGCAGAGGTCTCCGATGCCATTTTGCCAATTATCGAGATCATCGTAGCGAGCATTCCATTCTCTCCGCGATTATGACCATTATTTCGGTAAAGACTATGATATTTGAAGTTCCGCATAGAACTACCGATAGGGTCATCTACCGATAGGGTTGGAGCATAGACACTGATGACCGAGATATTGCAGAACTTACCCTTAAGACGAGCATAGGCCATACGTTAGTTACCGGTTTCCACTCAATCAAAGCGGAATGGGCTTTGTCAGACATGACAATCGCTACGCCATTTCGTCCCGAGTTATTCGAAGCACCAGTGATATAGCCAGTATCTCTGGTCTGAACCAGGATTAATAATTGCTCGAGACCCAAAGTGAGGAAGACCGACAAGCAAGCGATATCCACACGATACTTAGACAGGGTGTGGACAGTATTGGGAATTATTAATGCATCTCGGTGGCTTGAAAGTAGAACATACTACAGGTAGATACGAACTTTCTCGAGAGTGATTTCATTGCTGTTCACATTTCATTAAAGAATGTTGACTACGATTAGTGCAATTTCATCGGCTGAGCTCTTTTCATCAACTATAGATTCAGTTACTTACTGTTAAAAGTAAAATCATAGTGGTGCTGGATATGCATTTACTTTTATTTTTTATTTCCGAGTGCTTCTCATATGATTTGAAAATTTGTTCATCTAATGCAGATTTATTTATTTGGTATAAATAAATTATTGCGATGTTTACCGTGCATAATTTCTCTTATCGAAGTGCGTATTATTTACTGTGTTGCATTGAAGGTAAGTAAGAGTATATAATACGACCTATTATGTCTATTGTCGAGTATTTCTGATTCAGTAAAAAACGTTTCTGCTCGTTGGGTTTTTTCGGAGTTCTCTTCATCAATACGGATAGTGGATTATCTAGACGAAAATAAACCTGTCTTGCACTTCAAATATTTCATCTATTTGACCAGTTTTTTTCTGTTTCTCATTGATTTTTATTTTCGCAGTGATAGATGTAGCAAACGAAAAGAACTTTTCATTGGAATTTTTTTAAATTCTCAGCGAAATTCTTGTTTTCATTTGTTAAATTTATTTATTGGTTATAACTGTAATTTAAACAAGGTTTAAGCTAATTCTGCGATAGTAAAAGAAAATTGTGCCATTGGCAGAATCCATTGTTCGCAGCTTAATGACCCGTAGTAACTTATATTCCCTGACGATGGGAAGAATGGTCAGTTCGTCCAAAAAAAAATTTAAAAAATGCAAGGTGTCTGGTTTGATTTGTTTATTTTCTGTTGTTTATTTTTAATTTCTGCATTTGGTTCCTGAAAAAAAGTACCGAGGAAAGCATTTATTTAATTTTGTAAAAAAAATTGTTTTGTGTCAATAAACTCAATAATTGTCGCAATAATTGTTGTTAATCAAGGATTAGTCCACAAGAAAAAAATGAAGAGGGTGGAGCAAACTTTTTTGTCAAAATTTATTAAAAATATTTAAATAATTAACTGTTCAAAGTCCTAATTAAATTTTTTTGGATCAAATTTACAAAATTTTTTGTCCTTTTTTTCTAACTATTAAACAATTATCAAAGTTCTTAAAGTATTCAAAAAAATTTAAATCTTTAAATTATTTCATGAACTTTAATCATTCACTGAAAAAGTGTGTAAGATTTTTAGTTAAATTCATCTATTAATGGTAAATGCAAAAGGGAGAAAGAAGAAAGTTGGTGTTTATCACGAGATTGTTGCATTAATATTATTCGTAATAAAATGTTTTATTTCCTTGTTGATTGTTTCCTTAACGTTAAAACTCGTAATTTCATGTTTTGCCTTTCTTTTTTCTAAATTTTTTATTTCTGCAATTTTCAGATCAAATAATAGCGAATCCTGTTGTGGATTTAATCTCAGAATCGACTCAGAGAATTATAGTGATTTGCATTTAGATAATTTAAAGGTTTAATATTATTTTGACTATGCTAATTAGAAAATTATGGAGTCCTTTTAATTGTCAAATGAGAAGTTCGAAATAGAGTGACTTTAAAAGGTTGGGCTAGCATTTTGCAAATTTTATCTCCTCCATTTTTTCTAATTTGGTTTCTTTGCATCAATACTTTTTGCATATCTTTGCGTATTTTTGCATATTTTATTTTTTTGTATATTTTGGATGGATGATAGTCGATCGCTGCAATCTTGCTCATCATGCGATTGTGATTGTGATATAAATGGTATTGAGCAATCTTCCGTGCAAAATAGACGTGTGGTTTTCATTAAAAGACCAGGTAAAACGTTTAATTTTTCCATTTTAATCTCTTTTTCTATTTCTTTTTCTATTCCATTTCTTTTTTAGCACATATTCGTGGTGAATGCATAAACAAATTTTGGTGTTTATTTTCATTTTTTGGTTTATTGGATTAATGTAATTCTAATTTTAGGTGAAAATAATCCACCGACAGTTGACTGCTTTCAGTGTGAGGATTGTGAAGGACCAACTTTAGCAGATGTGAAAAATGGTCACTGTATTGTGAGGACTCTATATCTTTCAATTGATCCAGCTTTGGTGAGTCCTAATTTGTATTATTTTGCAATTTCTGATAATTCAGTTTTATTTATTTTTTATTTTATTTATTTCTTTTACCACTGTGCACCATTTTATTTGGTTCTATAGCTATCAGAATTAGATTCCATTCTCCAGAGAGCCACACTGAAGATATAAGTATACGAATAAGTAAGTATAAGAATGAGTCCCTACCAATAAGTTATTTTCATCAGGTGAATTGGACCTTAGATGATTCGGCATTATTCGAGGCAATAACCCTACTATCCTGCTCCTTAATTTAGTTATTGTCAAACTTTTTTTGTCATCATTTCTGGTTTGAATGTAGTTATATGAAAATTTTCTGGTCTTATATTTCTGGTCCAAAGTTGTGCTAGGATGGCGTAGTGAGCTGTCGATCAATTCGTAGCACTGATACTAAGGTTTTATTCCCAGCAGAAGTAAAAAATAAACCTGTTCGAAAATCCAGGTGATGTTGTCGACTCAAAAGTATTTCCATCGCCAACGAATTTTCTGGCGGGTTTGTCCAGTGCGACAAGCCAGTAGAGCGAGTTTAACCAGTAATGGTAAAAACTCTTTAAAAAAGTTAGGAATATTGATCTAAGGTTACAAAAATTATAGTTGAAATTAATTAGAATTATTAAATAATAATATAATAATATTAAAAAATTCATCGAGAAAGACTTCTGAATAAACTATAGATATAGACTGATAACGAGCTGTATTATTGCTTTCATTCTTTTTCCTTTCAAAAGAAAGGCGTTTAGAGATGTCGAATGAATTCGAGAACAAAAGTTGATTATTTGGCAGCATTTGAAGTTGGACAATTAATTGATGGCATGGAAGGAGTGGGTGTTATTGAAGTACCTACGGAAAGGTAATTGGTATTAATGTTTTTTTCAAAATTAAATCTTTTAAGGATATCTTAAGTTTTTATCATATAAATTTTTCTTTCTAATGTTTTATCCTCAAAAATTAAAAAATGTGCAGAACTATTTTTAATCTAAAAATTGTAGTTGCCATTTCAAAAAAGGAGATCTAGTAACCTCTGTTGGGCGACTATGGCCTTGGAGTAAGCTATTTGTTGCGGATCAACAAGATCTGGCTAAAGTGGGTTATTAATTGTTTTTTTCGGCATTTTTTGGCATTTTTGAGTTAACATAATTAATTTGTTTTATTCCTTAATTTAAAAAGCATTCTCTTTATTCTTCTAATTATAGCATATTTCTTTATGTTATATATATATATATATATATATAATAAGTCTATCTAATAATAAGTCCATCCTTTAAAAGCTGTTTCTTTTCCCAGAAAAATTAAGTTCTTTGTAGGTAAATTTACCACCTGCTTATTCGCCATCAACTGTTCTAAGTTGTGTTGGTATTTCTGGTATGGCTGCTTTACTTGCAATCCGTAAAAAAGGTGAAATTGATCGGAATCGACCGCAAACATTTATCGTATCTGCTGCTGCTGGGTCAGTTGGGTGTTTAGCTGGGCAGGTAATGCTTTTTATGATTTTCAAAAACTTTATTTCTCACATATTCTCAGCTTATACTTTTATACTTATATTTTGGCTGGGAAAACGGTATGTACTAGCAATTTCTTTACAATAGTTTTTTTTCATTTCATTTTTTCATTTCATTTTCATAGAGATTTTTTTCATAAATTCTTAGATTTAAAATTTATTGGATTTTTTATTTGGATTTGCTTTATCTTGCATTTTTTTAATGTCGAAAATTTTTTCAGATAGCTCGCATCGAAGGATGTACAAAAATTATTGGCATATGTGGTTCTGAAGAAAAGTGCGAAATACTCATAAATGAACTTGGATTTGATGGGGCTATTAATTATAAAATGGAATCTGTGCCTGACAGGTTGAACGTGCTTGCGCCTGAGGGTATCGATATCTATTTAGACAACGTTGGAGGTTTCATCAGCGATGCCGTCATTGCACACGTAAATTTCTTCACTGCTACATTACAAGGCATTTTTTAGCCGTTTGTTTGCATAAAAAATTGTGGTATTCGTCGACCTTTAGAATAATAGGAAAACTATGCACAATTTGCGAAATAAAAATGGATGTATAAAAGTTATGGCTTTAATTTGTATTATTTAAAACTGAAAGCAGTACTACAAATGTGAAGCTTTTAAAGTCTTTAATATTGGATCAGCTGCGTTTTTAAGTGGATAATTAGTTATTTATATAAACAATCAGTGTTTCTCAGAAAATTTAGATGAATCGGGGTGGTCGAGTGATAATTTGTGGCCAGATTTCTGTATACAATACGGATTTACCCTACCCACCTCCTTTGCCTGAAAAGACCGCTGAAATTATTGCCGAAAAAGGCATTAAAAGGTAATCATTTATGTATTTATTGTTTCCTACTGGAGATTTAAAATCAATTTTTTACGTCGTTTTCGATTGATTTTTTTGATTTTTTCGTTTAAATATGGAAAATTTTGTTGCAGGGATCGTTTTATTGCATTATCCTATAAGGATGACATCGACGCTACAGTTGCTCAACTTTCACGCTGGTTACAGGAAAATAGATTACGCGTGTGTTATTTATATTATTCAATTTTAATTTTTTATTTATTTAGTTTTATTTCTCTTTTTTCTCAATTCAAAGATCCTGCATAAGTATTGAGATTGTATAAATATTTCATTATGCGAAATCGGAAGTGCTTTCGTTTCGTCGGTTAATAGTAGCGTAATGTGAAAATCAGTCTTAAATAACGTCTTATAAGGTTCAGTTCCTTTTAAGTCAGAAATTTCTACCCATACGCGATTATATTCAGCAAAAATGCTCAGTGAGAAGTACGCATCGGACCATTACCATTTATCCCCACTCAAGTGGTACGAGTTCCAAATCTGCGATCCCCGTTTACGAGTGTATAATATTATAATATATTCTATATGTATTTCGAACAAATTTGAGAAATTGGTTAATATAAATGGTCGAATGATTTCATTATTCTTTGTAGAAATTTTCAAAATCTTAAATGAAAATTTTACAGTCCAAGGAAACAATTTATCATGGATTAGATAAAGCTCCAAAAGCATTCGTCGACATGATGTCTGGAAAAAATATTGGCAAGATGATGGTGCGTGTCGACTAAAAATTGTATGTTTGTAGATTCGAATTGCTCCATTAACAGTTTTTTCGTCCATTTTATTATCCATACAGATATTAAATATTTATTTTATGTATCATGCTGTCTTGCTTATTATTTCTAAAGCTTATTGCAAACACAGGTTTGTTCTCGCTTGCTTGATTCTTTTTTAATGAAATAACTTTAGCTTTATTTTACTTTAACTTAATTTTTAGGTAGTTTTGTTGGTCCTTTTAAATGTTTTTTCTCAATTTTCAAATTCAACCAGTTCATTTACTGGATGATTCAAATTTTGCTTGTATGATTTTTTATTTTTTACATATGACATCTATAGATTGTTTTTATACCTTTATGAACTCATTTTTATATTTTCAGTTCATCTATAAATATTCTATAAATATTTATTTCTATTAAGTTCAGTTTATTATTTCAAACCTTTTAAGAATTTTATCTATAAAAAATTTTTATTTTATTAAATCTTTGAGTTCGCTGTGATTAATTTTTAAAGGAATCTAAATGTTAGGAAATTAATTTTTGTCAATTTTCCCGACAGTCAAACGACTTTATCATTCCTTTTTAATTTGATAGTTTAGTTATTTTTGTAGAAGCTTATAGTTAATAATGTTAATATATTAACACTCTGACCTCAAATAATAGTTGTATTTAAAAGTAGATTGTTAGTTTCATCCGTTTCTACATATTAATTGTCTTGTGGCAAAGTTGCTTGTTGTTCATATTAAATTGACAATTGACGAATTAATTCATTCATTATCTTACAAATTTTAATTGTCCAGATCTAATTTGCTATTTTTGTCTCAATTTAAGTGTTATCCTAGTTTTTTGGCATAATCATTGCGGCAGTCTATTCATTATTAATTTGCTTGAAACATTCTTTATTTCTGATTTCTCCGTAATTTTGACGTTGAAATGGTTTTTGCAAATAAGAGAGAGGTCCAGTGGTTGTTTTCTTCATTTCTATTTTTAAAATTCAGCCAATTTTCAACTATCAAAATAGCATTTTGATGACTTTTATTATTTATCATTGATGATTTTTAAAAGTATTTTCAGAAGTTAATGGATTGTATAAAAATTATTTTGCCGTTTTGGTTCTTTCACGAAGTTTTGCTAGGGAAACATTTTTTATTTTTTCCGATTTTCGATTCATATATTTGTTTATAAGAACAAATTGTTTCTTTATTTTCTTTATTTTTCCATGCGCTAGAAAATTGAGGATGATTTTTTTGTGATATTATTTTAGTATTTTTCCTGTAGGCATTTGAATATTTTTTGTATTTTTTTTAAATAATTGAGAAATTTTTATATTTTTTCTGAATAATTGTGTCTATTATGAAATTTTTTTTTCACCATTTAATACGGTTATAATTCATTTTTTATGTTTTCATTTAACCTTTTGCAATGATCTTGATTAACACCATTATTTCTAGGAATTTCTATGATTGTTTCCTATTTTGCATTTATGGAATATTGAGCGACCATAAATGCATTTCATGGTTTTATATAATCGTACAATTTTGCAATAAAAATGTTTCATTATAATCGAATGAAAATTCCTATTATTTTTCACGTTTTAGCGTATTCTTTCGCATATTTTAAGGAAGTGGTCTTACATTAGGAAACTAGGAAACAGAGGATTTTTTAAAATTTATTAGATTTTAGTCAAAAATGGTTAGAAAAATTTTATTTTTTGGTTGTTTAACATAAAATTAGTTTAGTACATTTGATTTGCTTTGTACGTGTTTTCGCTCGAGGACAGGCAACATTGGTTCGATTATCTCGAAGAAAGTACACATGCTTAACATTAAACGTGAAATCGGAGTGTGTGCTAGGGCACATATGCTTTGATGTGTTTCTCCTCCTCTAGTTGTGCTTCAGAATTTATGTGAATATTCCTTGTTTATGAGGTTGTTTGCCAGGCTGTTTTGTCATTGAATGTGAAGCCTCATATTAATATTAAGAAAGTGCTGGAGTATGGTTATTGAAAATTTTTTTGCAATTTGCCAATAAATATTTTTTTCAGATTTCCTATGGAGAGAGGTGGGGGATGGGAGGGGGAGAATAGATCTGCTTTCCCAAACAGGTAAAATAAAGTTTTTGTTCAAGAGAATAATTCATTTCTCAGATTGGACGGACCTATATCGTTATGGAAATACATGAAGCAGAGGAAACTGCTCTAACCAACTTTGAAGTATACGAGTTTTTACGAAAATCTCAATTCGACCAAACTGCATTAGCAAAAGATAAATGTTTAAGTGATTTGAACCGAACCATTTGTGAGGTATTTCATGCAAGATGGATATTTTACAGTAATTCGTAAATATAAATGAATATTTCAGATGCAAATTAAGTCGGCCGAGTTTAGCTGAGTTTTAAGATCTTGTTGAAACGCAAGTATCTCATAAGTTGCATGATAAATGGTGGAAATTTTCATCGTTTATTTGAACAGTGGTTGGTCCTAGTTGATTCTCTCCTCTTGTTTTTTAGTTATTTTTCTTCAGGTAACAAAATATTTGGGGAGCACAGGTGCTTCGATTCAAAATAAGGAAAATATCATGAATTTGGTTAATGCACTTGAACCTTTTAAAGTAACCGTTTCGTCATTGTTATTTTGTAGTCTAGAACACATACATCCTATGGACTAGTTTGTTCTTTGAAGGATTGCTAAGATATATTCAAGATTTTTTTGTTGATTCCGATACTAAGTGGATTTTAATCTTGTGGTTGGATTATTTAAGATTATTATTTAAATTTTCCCTTATTCTTTAATTATTTTCAGTTGATGCCGGCAGAAATATTGCAGATAATTAATTTGAGGCCTAGACAACTTGTAGAGGTTTGCTTTTTGTAACAAAGATATTTGCTGCATAAATTTGGGGTGAAACAGAATTTTGAAATTTGAACTTCTTTTTGCTAAAAATTTTAGAAAACTTTAAATCAAACGAAACATTTTCGAAGAAGTATCAGAAAATTTTAGATTCAAGTTATTGTTGAAGAATGCGAAGAGCGTCTATCGGAAGAGCAATTAGAAAAATTGCTATCAGTTAGTCTTTTTAGATTCAGTTTTTATTTATTTAATCTTATCTTTCGTATTAAGCGAAGTCAGTTTTTTTATTTCTAGATTTCTTCAATTTCAAAATTAATTTATTTAAGGGAAATAAAGAAATAATAAAAGAAATTAAGTTTTGCGTGAGAATTTTGGAAATCTTTATTTTCATCACTTTGCATTTTAGATTATCAAGGAATATCAACCGGGATCTCAGCACAATGATGATATGGGCCTATATTAAAACTTTATAATTCTATAATTTTAATTTCCGTTATCGCTCAAGTTTATGCCAATGATCGAAGAGTTATTATAAGCCATTTACCATCAAAAATAAAATGAGGTTTATCTTTAATGGTTTCTGAATGGCTCATTAGAAGAAATGGTGAATAAATTATTGTACCACTAAATTCACTAATATAATAAGTAACAAGCTTTACTGATCACCCTTTTAAAGCTCATAAAACTTCACAATCTTGGGGTGGTATATTATTTTGGCATTGGGGTATATTATTTTCTAATATTATTATTCTATATCTAATATCTAGTATCTAATATTATTTTTGATTTTATTGGCTTTACTGGCTATTAGAATGAGGTTCGCAGATTCAATTCCTTAACAGCAATAAACTTGCCATATATCATTTGGGAATAGGAACATAGGTGGATCCTCAGAACTACTTGGATTATAAATGGCAAGTTTATTGCTGTTAAGGAATTGAATATGCGATGGCTTATTTTCGTCAAAACAACTTTCATTCGTCGTCTTGTCGCTACTAGCAGTGGCTAAAATTGTTTTTGTGATTTTTCATTTTTAGAATAATTTTTTTTGTATGTGCGGTGAACATCTTCGAAAATTAGGCGATCAGCATTGAGTAATAATACTCTTCGTTTGGCTTTTTTTTATCTCAGATTTCATGCAGCTGTCCTTTTTACTGAGATTTCAAAAAGAATTTGCGAATGAAAAGTTCTTTTGCTTTAAAAGTTTGAATTCAAGAAAATTTTCTGTTAAAACTCGTATGATTTAAAAAATTATTTAATTTTTGAAAATAAATATTCGAAATACACGAGTCAAATTATTGGATTTAATCATTGGATTTATTGGATTTATCAATTACTGCGATCCTCATTCTTTCACTTTTATTATAAAATTCATAAAAAATTTCGTTAGTTCCATTTTTCCGATAAGATTCGTCGGCGTAAAATCATGATTTTCATTTCTTAGCATTTCCATAGCAGATTGAGACGAGTTCTGCAAGATTTGGTTATTTTTATTGCCATTCATTATCATGGAATGAATAGCACATACAGGAAGCATATAATAAACACATTAAACAACTAGACTGCATATAGTACGAACGCTTCACTTAATGGATGGTGTTTAGCTCATCGCAGACAAAAGTAAACAGTCTTCAGCAATTAGTTTTAAATTTTTATGCATTTATAACTATAGGAATCCTTTTTCAGTACTTTTTCTAGTTTTTTCTTCCTTCGATCTCATTCATTTTTTCACATTTCTTTTAAAGAAAATCATTCAAATTGAATTTCTCTTTTAAATTTCTATATTTTTTGATTTTTCATGAATAAAAACAATAAATTTTGATTTTTCCCGTTTGGATTACTAATAATTTTCATGCAAGTGTATTTTCGTTGAAAATCTTTTGATAGAGGCGATAGAGGTGCTTGGATTCCTGATTTTGATTTTAATGGCTCGTTTAATGATCCCTATCGATGATGCATTAAATATTAACGAAATAAAAAACTAAGATTTATATTTTATTGTATGGTTATACTAATTCTGGGACATCACAGATATGTTTCTTAATCCATTTCTCGAATAAGTTTCTGCGAAGTTTGCTGGTTAATCGAGGATTGTAGCGAAACAGTTTTTCAACTTCGTGAATGTTGGAATTATAGTGTGCTACGTGCGTGGATAATTATCTTGGCATTCGGTGATTTGATAAGGTCCAATAAATTGTTTCTATCAGAAAAGCTCTCATTATTAAAGTTGGCTTACTGCCGAATTTAACAATATTTTTATTTATAAAAATTTTCATTTATCTGCAAAATGTAAAATTGCAAAAGTGATTGTCGTTATAATAAAATTATTCGCAGTCTTTGAAGATTCTTAGAAAAATGGATGAATTTAAGAAGCACACATTGATACACACGATAAATCTTATATTCCGGTTTTAGAACAATAAACTTTATCATTTATTTATCAATCATTTATTTATCAATTATCGCTAATTTTCGCTGCAAATCGAAATAATTATCGTGCAAATATTTATGGAAATTTTTAATTTTAAATTATCGTTTTCCGTAAAAGGTTAATCGCTTTATTTTTTTGATTGGCTTTCACAGTAATATTGGATATTATCACATAGTATCATTCAATCATTCGAATAGGACTTTAACTTGTTAATATTTCTGGCTTAGTCTGATTACTGGGCTAAGAGCAGAGAGCCATTTGGAGATAGAGATACAAATAGCTTCATCCAGAGTGTGGTCCATCGTTCCTTACTAGTCGATCGTCGTTACCATTGCGTGAATATGGATAAATATGGATAGAGATACAAATAGCTTCATCCAGAGTGTGGTCCATCGTTCCTTACTAGTCGATCGTCGTTACCATTGCGTGAATATGGATAAATATGGAAATGAAGAAAATAAGACGAGCTGAATTTTTTTAATAATGATTTGCAAATGCTGCTTCATTTATAGAAATTCAGTACAATAGAGCTGAGGAGTTTTTTTATTCGTAAAGCGCTTAATTTATGAATTTCGTTTATATTTATGCTTTTTATTTTTATTTATAGTATCAAAATATTTTTTTCATTTTGAATAGTGAAATATATTTATAAAATAAATTTTCAAAGCATTCGATTTTCTAAAAATCGCATTGAAAAGCACTGCACATGAATTTATTAAAAGAACATTAAATTATAGTATTTTCTTTTTGAATCGTTTATAAAAATATGCGCTTAATACCGATGCACACACGTAAACACATGTAAAATTTCTGAATGCGGTTATGAAAGCTCCAATTTTTGCATCGAATCATTCCCCATGAATCTTGTTAATGAATCGCAGAAGTTCGTATGGAAGTTTACAGTCCCAAGGATCGGAAATTATATTTCATATGCGAAGAACATGCACGGAACAATGAACAATTTTTTGGCAAAATTCTCCGTAAAAATTTTACCTGGCTTATTGGAGATCACATCGCAATTTTCACATTAAATTTTCAGATTTTGGCAACGACAAGAAGCGACAAATTAGGCGATAAAGAGGCATTGATGGCCGTCGACTTTTTTGACAGATATATTTTTGGACTGAATGCAAAGTTGGCAGCATGCTTGGCTGCTCTTTTACCTGGAATTGGCTGCTATATTTGCATTTTATATAGTTTTATCGTCCAATCTGAACGAATATCAAACTATACAACTGATGGGTGTCCTCAAATTCGCAAGTAATTGTATCATCTATCCTAATTTTAATTTTCTCGTAATTTCTCATTATTATACACTTTAGAAGAAAAGTTTCAAACTATGGAATTATTTCTTTGCGCACTTTCTTCAGGTTCAAAACATTTCTGTCATTTCCGATCATCTTTAAATTCATTTTGAGCGAGATGAACGGTAATAATATTGCAGTTCCTTGCCTCCCGTCAGTTTTATGATTGGCGTTTGGGAACCGCAGAAATTTATATGGCAATTTGTGATATTCATTCATTTACCATTTCGATCACTTTATCCAATTGTAATTCTTTTAAGTGTAAATAAATCGTTTTAAATCTTAGAGATATTTCTAAGTTACAATAGTAGTAACGAATTTAGTCGATGCATGTAAAATTAATTTTGAACAAATAATTCTGTCTTCTTCCGATAAAAACAAAAATAAGCCGAAAATATATATTTTAAAAGGTTTAAAAGGGAATGAATGTTTGATTTATGAGCCTCTGAGCGTCGTAGATGGCCCCTGTAAGCTGTGATTTTTGTTTTAATTTTAGCTCTACGCTCAGTTATTTAAATCTAATTGGAATCCATCGAAATCTAAATTCGTCTCTTCATGTTTCAATCTACTCATCGGCACTTACATCTCTACGATGGTCATTGAAGCTTTCGGACTGATTTCACTTACGATCTTCGTTGTCGATACGAATTTCGGTAAATTTCTCACCATACTTATTATTTATTCGCAATTTTTAATATATTATGCAGTTGGCTACTACGTTAATTTTTATCAAATTTAGTAATATAGAAATTTTAGAAATAAAGAAATGTACAAATGAAGAATGTGTTATATTTATGTTATAATTTAATTCATTATAAATTTCTCCTAATCAATTCCAGAGAATTTATCTCTCTAAAAAACAGCCAAGTAAGGCTAAGAATGCCATGTGGCTTCTAACAAAAGTAATAAGTAATTAAAAAGTAATTAAAAAGGAAGAGAAAAAAAGAGAATACGAAACAGATGAATTGGTTCCACATTATATCTCTTCATTAAATTTTAATTTCTTGAAACGAGATGCTATAACCACATTCCTGGGTAATCATTCAACAATTAAATGTACGAGAAAAGGAATTTCAGTTCACTGCATCAAATTTAATTTTTTAATTTTTTATAGTAATCATGCTTCTTATAATTTCAATTTTTAGTGTATCATGCAATTGGCTATGGAGTTTGGCTACTATCGTTCAATTTTAACATGTTTTTCACGTTGATTCTTCACTATATTACTGGATTGTGGCGATTCACACCAAAAGTATAATCTAACTGTTTGATAAGTATTTATTATCTCAAATTAGTTTTCATTTGATTTTATCCAGTTCTCGACACCCGAATCCTCATTTAATTGACTTAAACGAAAGAAAAAGGATCATTAGTCTAATCTCGCGACCATTATTAGTCGATTATTACAAACAAAACTGAATCATAATTTTTGGAGATAGGATATTAAGAATATTATAACGAAAGGTAGCTGGTAATGAATTTCAGTTGCTTGGCACCTTCTGTATTAAACTGGGAATATTCCTTATCGGCGGATCTATTTCTTTATTGACAGCTATAATTTATCCAATTTATATGACAAGCTGTATTCGCTGGGGTATGTTTTCAGCCTTAATTATAAGTCCTTTGTAGGTCTTTGAGCTGAGCTGATCCAAACCGGTTCAATTTCCATTATTTTTAATATTCTAGGTGCAAGAGACACTTTTAACCATGATGCGCAACATTATTTTATAATTTAAATGTAACATAACCGGTTTATCAAAAATAAAATTGTAGAAATTTCACCCCTTCCAGGGAAGAACATGAAATAGTGACATGGCATTGTATATATTATGATAGAGATATTTTCCTTCTACATCGTTTAGGTGGATTGCTTTCAAAATCTCTCTTGATCTTGATACTAAGTACCAAGATGAAAACTTTTCACAAATGAGTTACTCATAAGTGAATCAGGGAGAATGTATACATAAGTGGGTCTAGGACCCACTAGCATCACCCGAATTTCTTTTAATGAAACTAGTGTTATACATGCTCTTTTGAAGCAGCATGCCACTTGGCTTTTTTCTTATAGCATATTTTAATTATCAAACAATAAAATAATGATTCCTGATCTTTTTGTGCTATTGAATTTCTTGAAAGCCTACGAATCTCTTTGTGCGAATTATTTGAATCTATGAAATTATTATGATTACTGTGATTTATTGGTTACGAGTTCAGTTATTTCTGCTGGCTTTTATTGTTTAGCATATTTACAAGGTTAAGGTATCTCCAAGCCTTTCGATTTGATGCAGAAGAAAATATTGGAGTAAATCCTTTTTTCATCTAAGCCTCACATATCGCTGCGCCACTGATTCTTTCAAAATTTGATCTTGTCATTCAGTTTTGGCCATACTTTTAAAACCATCTATCAGAGGGCAGAGTTAGATATGTGTCAATGCTAAATTTCAGTTGGAAAAAACGTTTCGATATCGAATTGGTTGAAAGGCGAAGGAATTTATAAAAGGAATATAGTTTGTTTTAAATTGTTTTAAATAAGAAAAGGCCTTTATTTTTTTTCCATTAGCAATTTGAATTCGACTGCTTTAATTATTTATTTATTCATTTTCCAGCTTATATAGTATTCGCTCTTGCTGAATATTGCCTGGTTGGTATCAATTCCTTCTTTCATTTTTTGGTTTATTGGGATTTTTCGGCGGTCAAAATCATTTTTGCAACTCATGGCATTAGCAAAATGGTGAAACAACTACAAATGAATCAATCAAATAACGAAACAGTATGATCTCACGTTAATCTGCCAGTTTTTTGTATTTGATTAAAATGGTAAAATTGTTGATTGCTAATCAATTGCTGGGGTCGAAAGGCTAAAGACCAGTACTAATTTCATTTTTATCAGCCCGGGCGATTGGCAACACACCTATATCGCCAAGGGACTCCTTGGCATATTTCCTTGTCCGACAAACTAGCGGAGCGAGTCTAACCAGCAGTGGTGAATGCTCTTTAAAAAAAAATATTTTAGCTGCATGACCTTCGAAAATGCTGAATATCTCCATAAAATTTATTAAGACTTCACGAAAAATGATGAAAATCGAAAATCGATGATCTAAAAATCACTCTGTTTCATTTTTAATGCTTTTTGTCTTCTGTATTGTTATTATTCTGTACTGTATGTTGGACTTGAAATAATGCGTAGATTTAGCTAAAAGCTTAAGCTTAGGCAATTAATAAAAAGTTCTTCGTCTAATAAAAAAATGCATATATATTTATCACTTTTATTTGATCACATCAAAAGAAATAATATTTCAACAATTTAAGCTCAAAGTATAGTTTTAGTTCTGTTTAGTTATATAATTTTATTCTTCATCAAGAATTGACATATTATCCATTAATACATACTTGAACGTCAAATATATCTTTTCTCCTCCTAGAAATATATCGTTTGGTTATATCAATTATATAAGTCAAGCCAATCGAGACTATGATAGCGCTTAGCGCAGCTAACATAACAAAACGATGATATTCATAGAGTGAGATTGCCGATTTTTGATAATTACTAGATGTATCTGAAATTTTCAAATGGGAATTTAATGTTTTCTTTCTAGAAATGCTTAAATGGTTTATGTTTATATGTTTTAATTGATCTGATAATATAAGAACGGACTGATCGATATAAGATTAGAACAAATCTTTTTGATTTCAATGCGAAAAAAAATTATTTAGTGAGATCTAATTCACTACATTTTTTTATTGGCTGAAGATTTAATTCTGATACTGATAATCGATTCGAATCGATGTCAATATAAAAATCTGGCTGATCATATGAACGGCGAATTCGAGATTTACAATTTGGCTTCTGCAATCGGATCCACAAATAGATCAAATAGATCGGATCAAAAAAATTGTCAACTTTTGAAAAAACCATTTATGAAGTCTGCTTTTGATGAACTAAGAAATCTTCTTTGCTGAATTTGGGTGGTAATAGATGTGATATATCACTGGTAAAATACGAAAAATAAAATTTTATAACAGACTGGACAAACACTCTTTGGGTATTTTTCCTTGAGGCTCAATCCAACTTGACATTGAAAAGAGACGCTTGCTTTGTCGGCAAATTTAAATGCTTTCATTAATACACCTGCAGCCAAATCATTTGAATATTCAATCTGGGGAAAGATCAATTCGTCCAAAGAACATCTGTAATTTTTCTTATTTCTTGAGTATATTAAAAAACATCTGGAATTATGTCTGGAATCTGGAGTTATTTAAATTTTTCCATTTAGATATTACGACATAATTTCTGTACAGCAAAATCGCCCACCCTCATTGATACCAGTGGCAGGTGCAATCATAGAATGTGATACTTGATTTTTTATTAAACAAATTGAAATTTTAAAAATTTTAAAAAAAGGAATTAGATTACTTCAAACAAAATCTATCCGATTTCAACCTTATGAATGTATTATAATTTAAACGCAATAAAACTATAAAACTTGCCCATCAGCATCCACGATGGCTTGAATAAAACCTTCGCCATCATCTGCTGTGCATGAATGCAAATGCATGCAATAAACTGCTTTTTCATCAACCTCACATGACCATTTATGATAAATAATATCTCCTAGATTAAGTGATTTTATTGAGTTGCCTTTTGGTCCACCTTCAAGTACGACGTATCTACAGATGGGCATTTTTTGCTGTATTACAAGCTGTGTAGTTTCCAGAGGACTACAATTATTTTTATCATTGAAAATTTTGTTGAGCCATTAAATCTATCTATAATGTACTGCAATTAAAATTTTTTCTTATAATTGACTTTTACCAATATTGAAAAATTATTATCGTTTCATCTCGATGGCTTATAAAGACTTGCAAAAGATTGTAAAAATTGATTAAATATTAATATAATATAATAATATATTAATATTAACTTTTCTATTTTTACAGAGCATTCATCATTTCTTCGCTGTCTTTTCAGGCTAAATTTTGCCAGAAAATTTGGCTGTAGAAATATGGATGTCACCCTTACCACCTAGTTTTTTCAAAAATAAATTTATTCTTGTCGCCAAATGGACTACTCCGAAATAAGAGCAACAATCTGCGAAACTATTCCACTCCTTAACTAAATAATAATTTTTCCGTTTAGCAAATGGAAACCTGACAAAAACATCTGATTGAACAAGATGATTTTCCTCCAAATAGAAACATTCAATCTGAAATTCTTATAAAGTTTTTCAGTTTGAAACAAAGAAAAAAACGAACTGCAGAAGATGTTTAAAAATATGAAAGAAATATATCTCTAATATTGAGATAGAAATGCATTATTTATTTCACTTTTTCACAGTAACAAACTTACAAACCGAAAGAATCTTTAATAAATTTTGAAACAAATTTTAACTAATAGCGTCATTAAAGTCGTAACAAAGACAAATGGAAATGTTGTATGATTAATTTTGGTTCTATACCCATTGGAAATATCAAATGATAATGATTATTTCGAACAATTATCTCAATGATAAATATTTAGAACCGCAGAAAAATCCAGTTAAAACATCGTCAAGTTCTTAAATTACATGCAAACTTCACATGCATGCAGAACAATTTAAGAAATTTGTTTTTAATCACAGTTCTAAAAGGTCTAATTACCACCATAATGCAACAAATGCGATTTGTTATAACACCATAACAACTTTGAACTTCATGAACTTTGAGGACTTTTATCAAAATCTAGATTACCGGCAAGAAATAAAAAATTCAAATCGACTAATTGTATAGACTATTTGATGTAAGGTCATATTGTAAGAATTTTTTCTAAAAAATAGTAGCAAACTCGTGGACAAGGAAAGGAAACAATGAAATCACCAAAGATTCTCAATTCCTGGGGCCTTAAAAACTTTTTTTTATCAATTCGAAGAAAAAGAATATATGTTTCTAATAAATTTTGGTCGTATTCAGAAAAAAATGAAAAAATATCTGAAAAGTCAAGTAAATAAGTTAGAACCAATTGTAAAAAATTGGAAACATTTGATTGGTTTTACCTGATAAGCTCGGTCATTAAAAGTAATAAATTTAGGATGGAATGCTACTACGATTGTCGAGCTCACACTTAAGCCACGTGGATTTGCCTAGAAAACATGTCGAATAAATTTTATGAAATATTTTTTCATTTTCTCTGTTAATGAAGTACAATCGCTTTATTAATTCTGATTTACTTCCACACTACCCGTATTTTAAACTGCAACTTTAAACTTTTAAATCGTTTTCTCTTATATTTACGCCTATTCTACGCTTTTACCAAGCCGCCGATTATTTATTGAATCATCGTTAAAGAACAACCTGGCGTTTTCTTCGCATTCCACATGAATCGAATGAAACATACATTGCTGGTTCCATAACAGACATGAGACGATAATCTTTATGACAGTTGGAATGTCCATAATGTCCCCTAATAAACACGTGCCCACTGAATGCTTCATCCATCGGAAGTTTCACATTAAAACCGTTTGTTCCGCATTCGACGAGTGGATCACCTAAATAATTTCTTTTTTAGCCCCAAAATATTTTTGCATTATTGTAATCAAATTCAGTGGCTATTTAACTAGATCGCTTTTATATTCCATTCCATTTATATTAATAATTTTAATAATAATTTTAATTTCGTCTTGAGCAGTCGTTTTTCTTGTATTTTTTCCACAATAATTTTATAATAGTAGAGTTATTCTTTTATACTATTCTTTTGGCAAATGAATTTAAAAAATACAAAATTCTAAATTCATATAATTGCAGAATGCCCCATTTACACCCCATGTGACTCTATGGAAAAAGCGTTTGTAAGAATCAAACGACTCGAATTCTTCCTCGAATTGTGCTTATAATTTAATAAACTTAATAACACAAATAAGCAGGTGAACAGTGTTTAAAAATCAGCGCCATTAATGGAAAAAGTCAGTGGATTAACTCTATGTACCAATAGCTAAACTAATTATATACAGTTCACTTGCTTGATTAAACATTTAAACAAGTAAAAGCGAGAGCTCGCCATTCCTGATTAGGCTGGCTTTGCTGGTTACTAATATGCTTAGGAAATACTGCCAAGAAATGAGTTCGCGATAAAATACAAATGAGTCGCATGCACCGTAATTTAATGGCAGATTTATTCCTACTGGGGATAAAAGGCTTGGTTCGGATACAATAATCTAAACCACTGCTCATTTTTTCTATACCCCATTATATCCTGCATTCCCATTAAATCCTGCTTTCCTATTTATTTGTATGCTGTTTATATGCCATTTTTATAGCCTATTTGCCATGAAAATGAGGCATTTTTGTATAATTCCTTGCAAAATTTTTTCTTTTATTTTGAAATTGCTTATGAAAAAATCGAATAATTTAAAAAAGTGGTAGAGTTCCAATAATTTCGGCAAAATGGCATTTATTGTTTATTTGTAAAATAAATGTATTCATACTTTTGCTTTTACTTTTACTGTTTTACATTTTATTTTCAATTCATCCAGTATTATCAGCTAAACAAGATTAATATTTGGCATATGGGAGTGAATTATTTATATCATATATAAAATTTTTGGCAGAATCAAACTAAATACTATAGTTATCTATCTGCGATCAGTCTATGAATTCATAGCATTTGCAAGCAGACTTTGGTAAAATAGTTCTTTTATTGTTATCGTACAGGTAGAGTCAATCTATTATGCATACATAGGCTGAAATAGGTCGCAAGCACCAAAGCAAACTCTGAACCATATTTGCTTGAGCCGAATGAAAAGTGCTTCACAGTGTCGAGAAAAAAGTGTTTATTGCCCTCGATAGAAGCCATCATTTAAAAAAGACCAGAGTGGTGCTTGCGACTTATTTCTACTTCTATTGCTATGATACCGCAAAATAAATTTTCAACTTATTTCTTGCCAGACGAGCCAGATTAATTAAGAAATAATAAGCTAATCTCACTTCTTATTTATTGAAAACCAGGCAAGAAGGGCCCAAACGCCATGTGCTTGTATTAATAACAACAGTTAAAATAGGAAATAATAAGAACTAATGACAAAAGAAAAAAATAGTAAGATAAAATAAATAATTTAAAGATGAAATAAAGAGGAAATTGCAAAATAATATAGTGCAATTCGAAATAACTATAATCGGATGGTAAAAATCGAGATACTTCTTGCATGATGTGAACTTTTTAAATAAATATTATAAATGATATTATCTATTCTTTTTTTAAAAATAGCTAGGGATGGCGCACAAACTCTATCGTTCGGTAGTTTATTCCAGTAATTAATATTATGAATAAAGAAATCATGAGACTTTAGTTTAGTTTTACACATAGGTTTTAGCCCATTAGTTTTTGTTGGCTTTAAGCTTAACCTAAAATTATATTTTGAAGAATCTAGTTTAACATAACCATACAGAATCTTATAAATTTAAATTAAATCTTGTTCAATTCAACGAATTGAGAAAGAATCCAGGCTGTATTGTAGAAGTTTTCTTTTATAATTAAAATTGCAATTTGGAGAGAGGCGCCGTATAAAATATTTTTGGAGTCCTTCAATTATTTTACTTGATTTACGATATCTCGGGGAGTAACATGTAACACTGTAGACAAGAAGTGCCAGAACGAATGTTTTGTACATTTGCACATTGTACACTCACTTCTTATTTACCAAATCAATGAACATAACGTCAAAAAAGATCGAAAATACCAAAGATAAACATTTAATATTACTGGTTTATATAAATCACAGTTTATTTATTAAAAATTATACAGCCTAATGCGGTTAATGATTTTAATGAATGGCCTTCTAAACGGACTTAGCTAGTAGCATTCTTAATTAACTAATCTGATGTGGTTAATGAATACAATAAAATTGCACTTACCAATTAATTTTTGTTGCGAAAGTTGAACAAAAATTATGAAAAGGACGTAATGAAGATGCATATTTTGATGGGACTGGTCGAGGTCAAGGCTCATTTAATGATTAGAATGACCAAACGACCCAATGCCAAAACATGAAAAGGTGAGTGTCCCTACGATAATCTCGGTACGCACATAATATGATACGCATCGCTAATCAGATTTAGCCAATAATTAAAATAATATAAAAAGGAATTAAATGGTTAGCACTCATTATTTCTGCTATACTGGCTATCAGTCCGGATAAGAATTTTTTATCGATCGTCAGTATCACTCGGATTTTTTGATGACAGGTTCTGTTGGGTCTAAATCTTTCCAACACGATAACCTATGCCCTTTTTCATTCGACTCATCCTTTCTTTTTAAAATAAGAATTTTCGATTATTAATGTAAAGGAGGTATTTATACAAAATCAGTAAGCGACTATCGCTTTTTTAGTAATATTAGGCGCTCAAAAAGTCGAATGAAATCCTATTGTTGACTCAAACGAATGATCATGATAAGTAAAGAATCTGCCTTTAGTTTAAAAAGCGACGAATAAGAGAAATACCTTCTCTTTGTTGGATTCCTTAACAACTTTTTGCAAATATGAATAAGTACATTTTTCTAAAGAATATTTTAAGAAAGTATTTTGAGAAGCTGTAATGAAAAGGAAATCTAATTTATTGAAAAAAATGGCTGAAAAACTATCATCATAAGAAATATTTTAAACGACTCTATGAGATATGCATTAAAAATGTTTTGAAATATTTCAAAAGCATTATTTTTTATGATCATAAATATTTTTTTTAAATTTAAATTAATTAGTAAACAACTATTCTTCTTCTAATTAATTAATAGTTAGGCTGGCTCTGCTGGTTACCTTTCCAAGAAGACCTTTCCAAGCTATTTGATCTATTGCCATCTCTGAAATTCCTTTTGCCATCGTCCATATGTCGCTGGTCCACCTATGCGTTCAAAATCTTTTCTGATTGCATCAGTCCTTGATTGGTCCTTCTCACTTTCAGTACCATCCATCCATCATAGAATTTAGCAAGTAACGAAATATAAACAACAATTATCATCGAACGATTTCAGTGAGATAAATTGCATGGGATTTTTTGAATATTTGAAAAATATTTCAAATATTATTTTCAATTTTCATTTAATCACTTTAAATTGAATAAAATTATTTCACTAATCATTTATTGTGATATCAGTCTTTTTTCTCTTCTGCATAAATAATTTTAAATATAAATTTAGATTTAAATTTTAATTTTCTAATTTAAATTTTGTTTCTTTTATAAAATTTATAAGGTAAGGTACCGCTAAGGAAAAAAAAGGTTATATTGTGTTGCGCGAAAAATTAGGGCTATTTTTTTGGCCTTCGAACCTGTTTCCGCATATTTTTATAATTATGCTACAGTTTGCTGACGCACAATGTGTCGCTCTGTTAGCCAAGGCTTTTTTTATTTTCGATCTGAGACCAGTATAGATGATTTCGTTTTTTAGGATGATTTATGTGACCAAATTTGGTAGGAACGATATGGTTTTCGGTTCCTGGTACCTTCTTTTTGGTGATGGCGTTTCTAAAGAAAGAATAATGCAAGAATGGAGCTGAAATCTGGAAATGTAGACTTCAGAAACGTTCTACGTTTCGAGTTCTTCATCCACCATATTTCTCGGACTACCTCTGATTTAATTTTTTCAATTTCTACTTCTCCCGCCTCCTCACCAATTTTCGTAAAAGAGTAAAAAAACTTTCGAAAATAGTACCTGGACCTGAAAAACAGAAAATCTTTTAGTAGTTCACTAGTTCCAAAGGCTCGGATTTTCTTGCAAACGGGATAAATGAAATTTTCACGCTGGCAAAATTTTTAGCGTTTAATTTGATGAAAAATATTTCGTTTTCAATAAAGTTATGGTCATTCAAACGACACAAAAAGGAATTCTTCGAATAACCTTGTATTTTCAGTTTTTTATAGTGAATTTTAATTATCTATTATCTATTAGTTCTATCTCAAACCATGTTTCAGGCTAAGCACCAATTACCAACCTCTTTCTTCTTTTGCACCACTTAAATCGATCATAAAAGATATAAACAAGATATAGTGAGATGAGACGGTTCAGCAAATTCTCCAGATTCGGCATACATATCGTAAAATCGCAGTAATTAGAAATGATTAGATTACTACTAATCGTCTTATCCTAATTAACACTTATAATATTCAAGGATTTTGGTATGATTGTAATATTTTCATTTTATTTTCAAAATGCGAAACATTAAGATTCATAAATTTGCAGTCATTTGATAGCAAATTATGTTATATCAATCAAGAAAGATAATTTAAATTTGGTTTCCTCTAGAATGAAATCAAAAAAATCTGTTTCTTTCACCGTTTTCAGAGGACCTCTCTGTTCAATATGAATCTTATATTTATCACAGCCGCGAATTACTTGGTGATAAAGAAATCCTTAGCATTATTCGAATTTCAATATATTGATGGTCAAGCAAAATACTAGACAAGAAATTAGTGATATTTCGATTTGATAAACTCAGTAATTTTTCAATTAACATATTTGTAAGACCATATCATACTGATAAGCACGTAGTAAGTAGTAGTAAGTAGTTTTCCCTTAATTTGATAACTTAAATAAAGTTAATGCTTATTCGCGTTTGCATATTGAATTGGCTTGAAATGTGTCCTCTTTTTCTCAAATAACATTCATCTCGCGGTCCTCAACTTTCTTTATCTCACGGCTCCCACTGCCGATTCATTTACCTCTTTGGCCCGCGATATGCAGAAAGTAATATTTTCAGGCAACTTTCAAGGCGATTTTCAATGATTGGATGAGGGATTTGAAAATAGTAAAAAGTAGAAAATAATGGTTTTGTGTTTGGTTTTATGTTCAAATCAACAAGCACAATCTGCGAACTGTTTGATTTATTGTTGCTTAAATAGTTGCTTTTCCGCATCAGAAGCAATTTTATCGGTGCAGTATAATGATTAGTTGCTTAATGCGACATTTTTTATCATTTCTCACTTCGCCTCATTATTGTTATCAAAATCACAAGTGACACTTCAGCCGAAGCAGGAATTTTCCCAATATCGCGCGCTTGCCACTTTTCGCTAAATTCGAAATTTCGTATGAGACAACCGACTGTCCGAGTGATATCCGATTTCGCTTTGGCACTGAAGATTTGTGTTATTATTGGCTTTTTTTGAAATCTCACGAAATTTCTGGAACTTCTTCAACGCTTTATCATTTTCTTTCGCTCGTGAAAAAAATGCCCCATAGCAAATAAATGCATGAGCGTGTCCTTGTTTTGCGGTGAATGCAAAAGCAGGGGGGCTTTCAGTCGGGGTCAGTTCGATCCGCTCGGGGGTGTTTAACCTTTAAGCACGAAGAAGCACAATGTTCAAGGTCCAAAAGCGATTGAAGGGAAGAGGTTCAAATTTTATTTAGCCTTCCTTCCTAGAATCATTATTAACATATTTCTTTGCTAGCAAAATTCTTCCTTATTATAACGATTTTCAGCCTTTTACACGAACCCATAATACGAGGGAGAGGGTTTTTGAAACGGACGAAACATTGGGGCACATTGGGCATATAGTAAGGGAAAAAAATGGAAAGTGAAAAAGAGATTGAAAATGGAGAAACGAAGAAACACCAAGGATAGAGGAGAAATATAGAGAAAAGATGAAATGAAACTAGAGAAATATAGGATAAAAATGAGAGAAGAAACAGAGGACAAAGAAAAAGTAATTCCATAAAATAGTATTGGGGCATAGAGAGAGGTAATAAGCGAAGGGAGATAGATGAATTGTCGTCCTCATTGTCATCCTCGTCTTCTTTTTTCTTCTTTTCCCTAATCATCATTTGCCAATTGCCTAAGCAGCACATTCATCGCGCGCGATGTGTGTGGTCTATCTTTTTTCTCGTCGTCTCTCCCTCGTTGTTCCTTTCTTTGCACACTCTTTTCACTGTTCCTTCTCGTTCTCCGTCGTCTCATGTTTTCGCACGCTATTTCTGTAGCTTATTATTATTTTTTAGTAAGGAAAAATTTGCTGCCTCTAAACAATAATATTTCAGCGATAGACTAAATACCCATTAAAGCGGAAAGTTTGCTTTTCTCGCCTTTGCACTGCACTTTCCACAGTTTATGCTTTGCATTTCTGCAGTCCACGATTTACGCTTTCCCCTTCTTTTTGCATTTCTGCAGTCCACGATTTACGCTTTCCCCTTTTTTTTGCATTTCTGCAGTCCACGATTTACGCTTTCCCCTTTTTTTTGCATTTCTGCAGTCCACGATTTACGCTTTTCCCTTTTTTTTGCATTTCTGCAGTCCACGATTTACTCTTTCCCCTTTTTTTTGCATTTCTGCAGTCCACTCGTGATTCTTTTTGCATTTTTGCATTTCCATGGTTCACAGAAGTATTTCGTTTTTGCATTCCTACGCACCGACCACGCACGAATTGGCTCTTTGCTTTTGCACAGCTCACCTATGAATTACCATTTTTTTGCATTCTTATAGTCCAACTACTAATTTTGCATTTCAGTAAATGCATTCCGCATGAATTACATAAACGGTTCATAAGAATTTCGTTCATTAAGTCCGAAGTCGTTGGTTTCATTCGTTTTTTGCTGTATAGTTCACACTATCACCACGTTTTTTTCATTTATGTGGAACAACAAATAGCTTTTTTATTTTTTCCCATCTTTGATTTTTCCTCTACGGCTTTCAATTAATAAATGTTTTTATAAATCTTTTGAGAACATTTTTTTATTATCTGTTTTAGTTATAAATGTTTTTTTAGTTAATATTAATAAATTGGATAATTATACACTTTTTTCTTTTTGAATTTTCTTTTTTTGGTAGCTGATTATTGCATTTTATCAAACAATGTTTGATTAATAAAAGTGTAGAAAACAAGTGAAATTATTTTATATATAAGTGAATTTAAAAAATTTCTAATCAAGAAAAAATTAAAAATTAATTTAATTCAGTTTAGAGAAAATAATAGATATCAAATAAGGGATATCACATAATAAATCGTTAGTTGATTTTGATGAAAAGTTCCATTGAATCAGGTTTTATTGATTGTTAAAGGAATTTTAAAAGAATCGAGAATATTTTCGGCTTTTTCCCTCTCATTCTTTTGTATTCCTTATTAGTGTTTTTCTAACAATGTGCAGCTTAAGTGGTTGGACTATTTTGCTTCTAGGGGATTTTCACTTGCGCATAGAGATACAGCGACTTTTACTCCCATCCAGATTTCACCTTTATTAGTAGATTTATTTCACTCAAGAAGAATTGAACCTAAGTTGCCTACCCTCAGTAATCTCCATGCTATCGTTGTTTAACCATGTATTTCTAACTTCACTATAAAGCAAATAATCCCATAAGGCAAATAATCCCTTTTGAAATGGTCTTTTTGAATTTTATAAAAAAATTTTTACTAGCCAGCAGACTGATTGACGCCTGATCCAGGCCGTCAGTTGCTTTTTGCCTGCTTGCTGTACAAAATTTTTTTTTCATAGGAGGTAGAATTCATCATGGAATTTTTGTTAAAAAATCTGCTCGAGAAAAATTCCCATTACATTTTTTCAGTTTTTAAATTTAAAATTTTTTAAATTGATGAAAACTTTTTAAAAAATTTTGTAGCCAAGTATCTGTTTATTTAAGCTTGAAATCTTTTTTTATTTAACTTATAAATTTAAAAAAAGCACAAATCCAACATGAATAGTAATTAATTTGATGGATTTTTTCTTAGATAGCCAATTCCTGCATTCAATATAATGAATTAAATAAATTTATGAAACAAAAAAACGAATTTATTTATAGCGTTGAAAAAAGATATAAAATATATGGGTTCATTCGAATGAACCTTTCAATCCAACTATTTTTTTGCTACAGTCCACGTATGTGCTTCCTCTTTTTTTGCACTTCTATAATCCACATATTATTTAATAACAAATTTAGCAAAAAAAAGCGGCGAAGGAAAGAAATCAAGTTGAAATATTTCTTCAGAAATATTTCTTCGAAGTAGTCGTCGAAGTTTTTGATGAATTTATGAGAGAAAAAAATAATAGAGCAATTTACTTTATCATAAATTCGTTTTCAAATATTTTAAAATATATCAATCTTTGGCAATTTGATTAATAAGTGAAAAGTGGTTAAGTGGTTAATGTTCACGATTGCTCTAGTTTTTGTAGAAATTTTAGGAACGATGAGAAATTTTCGTCAGGAGATCACCAAGGGATTGAAAAAGGGACTGCAGATGGGTCGCCATATGAATTTTTTATTGCAAATTTTCCTCGCCTCAGAGGCTTAGAAATCATGCTCGAGGCGATAGTCTAATGCTCTATTTGGATCTTCTAATTATCAGACAATTAAGAAATAAAGTAACTTTGATATTTGCTACTAACTGATGGCTCTAATGAAGAACCAGTAAAAAGTATGGCATGAAGAACAGAGGAAAAATTCATCCGTATTAAAATGCGGTACATCAACATATTTATTTTTAAAGACAATTATTTTGTGTAAATATAAGGTTTAGACTTGATTTAAATGCTAAAAAATACACTATTTTTAAATTATGAATATGATAGAATTTATCATTATCATAGAATTATAAAAAATTCGGATGATACCCACCCACATTCCGAGAGAATGTGGTTCCCATCTTTAATTGCGAATGTAGACAATCTAACGAAAAAATTGTGAATAAATTTGAATGAAATGTTAAAATAATTATACTATCTTAACGAAAATATTAAAAAAAATATTGAAACAAAATGTAGGACTCTGGGTATCGAGACTGAACCTAAAATTTCATGTTAACTAGTATAAAAAAAAGAAACATTTTTAGTTGTTTGCCCTTTGTGAAAATCAGTGCCAATGCATCTTTTTAATCGTTCTTCGTTCGCATAACTACACCATTCACCTAGATTCTCACCATTGGTATCAATCGCTTATTAAATTGGCGATCGCTTATCGTGTGCTTTTCTGCAATTATGATTGCATGTATATTATTCATGTGAAAGCACTTTCTTAGTTTGGTTGCTTCCACTGATCACAGGGTTTCCACTTTATTTTTGTTTTCCTACTTCTTTAAATCTGCTATGGTTAATGTACTCTACAGGTACTTTATTAGCGTTAAGTGGCAAGGACCGAACCTAAATGCTTAAAATAAGTTGAAATAAATTCATCTGTTAGCCCACATTTGCTTTTGTTTGTAGGGTATTTTCTTCTTTCACTCTTTAAATAGACTTCATGATGCATTAACAAAAATGAGCATTTGCACAATTGCTGCAGATTACTGCGAAAATCCAAATTTTCTATGCTTTAATAATGAAAACTAAAAAATTTTACCGGACGAATGCAGTAATTATCTGCATCAATTAAAATTTAGTTGTGCAAACACAAACATTATTTAAGCGCACGGAAGGCAAAGTGCAATATTTGCACTGTACTGCGCTAAGTGAAAAAAAGGAACGAATATTTGCAATAAAAATTCAATTTATTTCCTCGAATTTTATTCAATAATTTCCTCTTTATTGGATTTTTTTTAATTTGTGCAATTGCAATAACATTCGTGCATTTTGGTTTGCACACTCTTCACTTCGCACATTTTGCACTTTTTACTTCTGCAAATAATAAATTTTCTCTTTAAAATTATCAATTTGCGTCAGCGTGAACTGAAAAGAAAAAAATGCAAAAAAGTTTGCCTTCTCAACACAACGATTAATTTGAACAAAACCATTATTCTCAATGATGGGTGGTCGGTCGGTTATCAACGAAGGCGGTGCAATTCTTTTGATGAGAATCGCGAAAAAATAAAAAATAAAAAAATAAAAAATAAAAAATAAACCATTTTGAAAATCAGTTAGTCAGTCAGTCAGTCAGCCAGTCACTGGTATTGTTCGAGCAATAAATGTGCTCATATATCTCTTCATTATTTCACCCATTCCTCACACGTTTTTTCACGTTTTCTACGTTTTTCACACGTAAAGTCTTTATGTTAATATATATTAAATAAATAATAAATAATTTTATTTTGCTTCATTTGAATCATTTGTTTATTTACTTTATCAATATTACTATTATTATTATCATTTGTTACTTATCGTTGTCGCTAGAAAAAAATTTATCATATAACAACACCGTCAGCTTCATATTTTTACTATCATTTTTTTTCTTACCATTTATTTCTTATCAGATAAAAGAATTCTTCAATGGACGAGAAGGAAAACAATGAAAGTTGGTTGAATTTTATTATGAAATTTTATTTTAAATTTTTTTCTTTCTTTTTTGTTTTCAAGTCCAAAATTTGAAAATGGAAATGAAATCTAAAATAAGCTGAATTCGAAGATTTAAATTTTAAAATTGAGAAATAATTCGAAATTTCGATTTGTCGATCGAAAATACTTTAACAATATTAAATATCCTCCAAAATCCAACAAATCATTCGAAATTCAACGAAATCTAGTTGCAAATTTTGGAAAAGAGAAAAAACTTCCATGTTTAATTTCTTTTCACAGTGTAATATTTCGATCGGAAGAGTTTTAAGTAAAGTTTTTTTTTAAGTAAAGTCTTGATTATTCCTTTTTTCCTTTATGTATAGATAATGAAACGATTTAGTATGATTTACTATGGTATATATTGAGAGAAGCCTGAAGCATAAACATTGGAGAATGACAAGCAGTGAAAGTATCATGGCAAAGCAAAATCTTCATGAGATGTACCAACGATAGAGGTGGCTGAATAAATTCTAATAGTGGTTGGAATATGGACTAAAAGGCAGAACTAAAAACATTGGTTAGCATGCAGGAATTACAATACTGAAAGTTACCAAGTAGATGGCATTATCAACAGGAGTGTCTGCTCGATATGTGGTTTAAAGTCTCTTAAGATGGGAAGTATTCCAGAAAATCATGGAGAATTACAAGGCTGAAATCTTGCGATTCCTCATTCAGACGTACAAGCAAGTACTGGTCATTAAAGAGATACCATAGTAAATAGATAATAGTAAAAAAAGATTTCAGAAATCAACACTGGTGATAGATAATACTAAGTGAGAGGAGCATTAGGAAGAAATTATATGAAAATCTAGAGAAATACAAGAAGCCGAAAGAGGAATTAGAGCAGATGAAAAATAATAACCAAAGTAATCCCACTGGGAGTAGGTGCAGTAGGAACTGTGATCCCTAAATTAGAAAATTGGCTCCAACGATTCCAGGAACAACATCACTCTCTCCAGAAAAGCATATTACGAAGAACAGCTGATGTACTGACCGTCAACTTTCAACCTCATGCAAAGCCCTCAAGTTCTCAGGTCTCTGGTGAAAGAACTGAAGTTAAGGATAACCCATATTGGAGGAGGTGAGAAAGGGATAGAACTTTGTCCTACGCCTTAATTCATTTATTCATACGAAATATTTAATACGATAGGCAGAATTTCAAAGTGAATCTTTGGCGAAGAGGACTTTCTTAGTAATCAAACCTTAAGTGGTATTATAATAACATTTGATCATGTTTCGAATATGGAACTTGCATGAATTTACAAAAATTTAAAGAATAAATGAAAGTTTCTTCGAATTTATGGATAAACTTTTTCAGTTGAAGTTAAATGGATTTAGTGAATTTTTTTTTTCATAAATTTTTAATAGAAAAGAAAGTATATAGCAGCAAATGATTAAATGAAATAATATAAAGGTAATGACGATTCTCAGCGATATTCGACAGCAAATCCCTTTTATTCTTTTCTTTTTTCCATTTTTTTGAGAAGGAAAAGTTGAATATTTTTGCAATTTTAAATTAGATTAAATCGAAAATTATTGTAAATAATAATCAGCTAGCGATAGATTGGATTCAAAAAAACATAAGTGTTGCAAGGTCATCCGAATAATTTGGCTCAGTTTTGATTAAAGTCATTTTATCCATACGGTAGATCATTGTCATTGATCTTTTTCGTTATCATAACTCGTTTTTCTTCATTATTTCAGGCAAATTGAAACTTTGCATAATAATTGATGAATTTTGTCAAATGGGCAATCTCTTTTTCTAATAACATATTACTAATCAATTGTGTTTTGGCTAACTAGAATGAAGCCTCTTTGCCAGAGTCACTTGATTATAAAAATATTATGACTTTTCAATTAGCTCAATTAGATTTTGCCCAACACTCGACTTTTAATTACAAGTATATTCTTGTAAAAATAGGAGAATCGAGCTTTTATATTAGTCGGAGCAATAATACCACTTGTAATCACTCTGTTGTTTTAATTTTTAAGCATATAAAATTTAGCAAATATTTATTAAAATAACTGTTTAAAATATTTCCTAATATCTTAAACAAATATAATAATTAATAAATTTCTTTTAAATTATGATTACAATAAAATATTTGAAAGAATTTTAATATATGTTAAAAATTTAAAAATTCAAGCAGTTCATTACGAATTTAATTTAATGAAATTAATTCATATTTCATAAAATTCGCTTTGAATCTTTTACTATTCAAAATTGATGAAAAATCCAATGGAATTTGAGCATAAAACCAAAGTCGATGAATAAAAAATTCATTTGCTTAAAATTTCAACTTCCGCTGATGATTACGACAATCATTCAAAACGATATAAGATGATTTTTCTGGAAAATCTTAAAAATTCCGATTGTTTTTCACAAACGAAAAAAGTGCTTGCTTCAAGCACTTTATGATAAGCTAAATATTAGATTTATATTACGCCAAACAAAACGGTGAATATCACCTTGGATCTTTCATGGTACTCCTAGTAAACACCAGTGATATGTATATATATATATATATATATTTATGAATAATTTATCGGTCGATCTTTTTTGACCAATAAATTATCATTAATAATTATCCTTAATTTCATTCTTCATTTTATTTTATTGGTTCAAAAATCAATTGAAAAATGGCGACCACCCAAAATTTTGAAATTACTTAATTGCTTACTAATTTAGTACAACATGTACTACCGCGAACGAAAAGCTGATTTATTTCTCCTTGAAGGTTTCTTTAATTTATTCGTTCATCCATCAAATTTCTTCAAAAACTTATCATTGCCTAGAATGATGATTAAACGATTAAATGAAATCCTATTTGAGTTAAAGAACTAAATATTAGAAAGAAATAATAAATAAATAAGCTGATATATTTTGCTAATTATTTTGTTTATCGTAATTGATAAGAATTTATATGATATATAATCCACTCAAAGAAATTCTTGCTTGGCAAACATTTAGTAGATTCAATTAAATTAATCATAATTTTTTTTTATCTATTGTCAAAATTCATAAAGCTTGGAGAAAAAATTTTCGCATCTTACTTCAAATAATGAATTTAATGAATAGCTGCTGAATATAAATATAACCGAATGAAATTAAAAGAATCATAGGCATATCACCGGGAAGTAGTCGAGATAGCTCTGGATATTCGTTATGCAGCTCGCCTGAAGTTGATGTAGTTGGCTATACTCCGAAACCACAGATTGTTAACGAAAATGATCAAAAGCGATATTATTGTCAACGATGTTTGAATCATAAGCAGCAACATCCAAGAAAAGGCCACAAACCATTTTGCCAGTAAGTAAAACATTTTCATAAATTTTTATTTTCATAAATTTTGAGCATCAATTGATTTAGTAACGTGTGTTGATTTCATACTTTGTAAAATTATTTCTCCATTTTTTAAGAAATTAAAACCTATAAAAATCTATTGAAAATAGACTATCGAGTGCAATATATATGTACATGCATGCATGCATGAAATGAACTTTTTGACATTTGGCATTATTTTTTTCGAAATATCTTTCATTGGCTCATAGAATAGAATAAAAAGCGATAAATGCAACATTTATCACAGAAACAAAGAACCAATCAACAAAGCAATTTTAAAAAATCGAAATATCCAATTTTGAAACTTAAAATATCCACCAAAGATTATTAAAAAGTGAAAATGAAAGAGTTAAATGATAAATTTAATTTCGCATCCGATTAAAAAAATTCTATTAAATATAATATTAGATAGCCAATAGCCAATAATTTTTCGCTCCAAACGAGACACCAAGAGATCGTTTTCTACGTTTTAGCATAAATATATCTTTGATAGTCCGAAATATCGCCCAAATTGCCCTTTGGCCACATCCATATGTAATTCTTATATAATTTATCGTTCCAGATTTTTGGGTTCAATATCTTCTTTGAGAATTTTTGAGCGTTTATATTATTCGTGGATTTTAGTTCGTTTAATTTCTCTTTGTCGTCACAAAAGCTATTTTTATCGCACACATTCAGATTTTTTTCGTTAATCCCTTTTCTTTTTTTGCGTGAAAATTTCCACAATAATGCAATTAGAAGACTTTTAAAATTGCAATTTAATAAATGGCGGATGTAACGAAGATTCAATTAATGGCTGAAAAAAATTTTTAATAAAAAGAGCTAATTGATGATCGCTGCCTTTTGCTACCTTTTTGACAACTCTTTCAATCATTTCCCCATTCTCTAATGAAAAAATTTTTTTATTTTAGACCGCCTGGAAACGTGATTTCAACTTCGAAATTAAAATTTAAAATAATTGTTAGAAGATTTGATTTGATCTGAAATCAGTTTAATGATAAGATAAGACTATTCTTGTTAAAGAATAAATACTGAACCAATGCTGAACTATGATAGTTGAATACGAAATAACGCAAATTATCATAATAATAAATATATCGCATAAGCGCACTCATCTTTTATTAAATTTATAAATTACACTTTGTGAATAAATCATAATAATTCGTTAAAATGACCTCAAATATCATTATCACTCTTCATATCACTGTTCTCTTAAATTTTTTTCGTGCTAAAATCAATCATCTCATCGAAATTTATTTCATTCGATTCAAATTCTTATCCATTTCATTCTTTTTTTCATTCATCTTGAATAAAATTCTTACAAGGAGGTCTTTAGCGGTCTTTTTTCGACGTTTATCATTCATTTGTCATTACATCCGTTAATCTTCATGAATCCATTGAATATAAAAAAAGAGATAACAATCACCTTTACGGGTGGTCATGACCTTCAAGGTTTTTAAAATTAAAAGTACAAAAGTACATTAGTGTCGATCGATCTTTAATGGTTAATGCTTCGATGGTCGTCTTTCTTGCTAACGAATAATGCAGAAAAATGTTGATATTGTTATCATTATTTTAACATTAACATTAATACTAACTTCACTTTTACTTAAAAAAACAAATCTATAGTTCGAAGCACTTGCAAGTAGAAAAGTAATAATTTCTGATTAGGTAAACTTTGCTAGTTGTTAGTACATTTAGAAGCTTTTGCCAGAGAATTTGCGTTTAGAGGCAGAAGTATAAATGGATCGTCAGCACCATCCGCATTTTTTATGGATACGTTCACTCCTGTCGGAGTAGGGAATTAAACTAATTATGCGCGGTACGAGCCGAAGTAGCCATTCTCACTACTCGATTTTTAGTCTAAATAAATGAATTATGATGGTTTAGGAATGGAAAAACTTAAGAAAAGTTGGAAAATAAATCAAGAAAATATCTTCTTTTCTTTCATATAAATTCTTTTAAACAAAATATTTCAATCTAACTTTTGAATTTCAAAATTTAAAATTAATTTTAGATACGCAAATTGTGAGTGTGCAGACTGTCGAATGGTGGAAGAAAGACGAAGGTTGAATAATATGCTAAGCTCAAGACGAGTTGGTTCATCAAATGGTAACAATCGTTCAACAAATGGCAAGAAGATTCGCGATCCAAAATGTGCTCTTTGTTCAGCGCACGGTGATAAGCAACCACTTCGTGGCCATAAAAAAGCACAGTGTCCATTCCTAAAATGTGGCTGTCATTTGGTAAACTTTAATTTACTAATGAAAAATCTTCAAATTATTCTTCTATTCTTCCATTACTCCTCGTGAATCCTTGTTATACTCACTTTATTTCTCTTCTTAAAAACCTTTTGTGATCGAGAAAGGATTTCATTTCTTATACCTGTCAAACCGCCAGCTTACTAGGTAAAAACCTTCTTCGTTGCCGGATTAACATATTTTGCTTCTGATCAAATCAAACTGATCAAAATGATTAAATTTTTTAGTGTGGTTTAGTAGAAAATCGCCGTACATTAATGGCTCGTCAAATAAAATTACGAAGAGATCAGCAAAAACAAAGAAAAGCGCAACTCAGTGCTAAATTAAACAATCCTGAAATGGCTGAGAATACATTAAATCTTGTTCAAGGTATTTTAAATATTTATTTAAAATAAATAGGCTTTTCAGCTGGCAATCGATTTTCCTTAAAATTTTCATCTAAAAATGGATTTAAAAATATGATTGATAGCAACAAACATTTTTAGGAAATTTTATTGCTTCTATTTTTTTTTTGAAAGTTCAGCTAAACAATTTTTACAGCTTGAATTCGTAATTTTATAAGGTTTCTAGGTTATGATTTTTAAGATGAATAATAATGAAATGCACTGAATTTGTGAAAAAACATATAATGTAAAGGTAGGAGTACCATTAGGCTCGGTGTTTGTCTACTGTTCGATGCTGAATCGAAAATATCTCATTTCATTTAGCTGACTATGATTATTAATAACGAAAATTCCGCGCTGAAAAAAAGAAGTGAACTTCACAAGAACACAATAGATATCGGATTGAATATTGCTCAATATTTAGGTTGAATAAAAGTGAATTTAATGTAGAATGAACGAACATGAGAAGTAATTTAAAGAATAAATAATAACAAAAAATTATTTAATTGTGGTTGAGTAATATTTATTATTTGAGATCCACGAATAAAGTTCTACGAGGGAATAAAACATTTCTGAAATCCTTTCAAACTCATTTGCTTTGGTTAAGGCAAGCAAGCAATGGTTCTCATACTTAATGAGAAATTGTTAATTGTTAATCAAACGTGCTAGAGATCCACTGATTATCATTATCAATGGTTTTTGCTAACTGATTGTAACAGTAACGAATAATCGCTAAATTATTTTAATTTTTGTAACTGCAGAATAATTTATAATTTATATATTTTTATAATGCTAATCGAGCAAAGATAAGCTTTTAAAAGCTAATTTAAACTTCCGACAATTTTCTTACAGTAAATTCTAACTAATTACAAACTATTAACCTCTCTTATAGTAAGTTCTTTGGGCAAAGGACGATGGCTTAGATTATAGATTATGTTGGCAGGATGTGGCTCCTCTACAGAAATAAACCATTAAATAATCAAGGACCTATACTTCTTTCGCGCAACGGAAGGATTCGACTCGACTCAATAATAATTCGGCTAGGACCTATATTTCTATCGCCACATAGCTCCCTAGCAAAAATTTCTGCCATGGCGGCCAGTTAAGTTACCCTAAAAGTGACTTTCCTATTTACTTAAGATATACTTAAGTATCTTGAGTTTTTGCGAGAGAGACCACAGTAGACCTTTTCATCAAAAATAATTAATGTCTAAAGTAGAACATCTTTATCTTTATCTTTAACATCTTCTGTGAGGGCGATCAAAATGAAACGAACGAACTCCAAATGAAATGGAGATGAGGAAGAATGCCACACATTAGGCATTTTCGGGCTTTTTTTGCAAAGAATTTATGTAAAATATACTGGTTCGTTTAACGATTTGTAAGCAGTTAATGGGCAACAAAAAATAATCGATGAAAAGAATCGAAAAATTTGCAATTTTTCTAAAGGGGGAAAGGGGAAAATAATCAAAATGATGCATAATTTCTAAAATTTTGATCGAAATATTCGTAAAATTTCCTTGATCAACACGTAGTTTTCAAAATATTTTAGCGTATAAGCGCTAATAGAAAGCGATAAATAAGTTTTAAGCGAGTTTGAGAAAAAAATTATTTTTGAAGCGTAAAACTAATGGAATGCACAATATTTGTTGGGTAAATGGACCACCGAATGGAAATGGCAATAAAATAAGAAAAAAGAAAGATTGATAGGACTTTCGATTTTCTATCTTTCCGAGCACTTTTTGAGAGATCAATTTTAAGCATAATTTCTGGCCTCTTCTGGTAAAACATTCACTCTTCCTTCAGTTCCTTAAATTTTCACAAAAATTTAGCCCCGAATTCTCAATAAAAAGAGACTTGTTTGCTGAAAATAAAAATTTCGAGTTGAAAGAGTGGATAGCCTCAAGGCAATTTAATCGATCAAAAATTTTCACTGCTAATTAATGATTGATTAATTCAAGGATATTGACAAATGAAACATCCAAAAAAACCTATCAGATCTGATGAATTTGATGTAAAATGAAATTACTGACTTGCTTACCTTTACCAGAGACTTAGGTAAGACGTTGCCCGATCGGGTGCCACACCTGGAATTTGAAATAGGTTATATCATGCCTGATTCTTGTTTTTTATCGCGTGATCTATCATCATGTGTCAATATCCGATGAGTTTTCTTCATCAAAATATGCTGTAAAATCTATTTTGTTATATTTTTTCCAATCAATTCCATTATCCAAATGCATGGCTTCACGTCCTCCTTTACTGCTTGATTCTGGGTTAAATGAATAAATTATGTATAAATGTATAGAATAAATTATGAAAAAAAAAATGACTTCATTAAGTTACGAAAAAATAAGTTACTATCTTCTCATCATAAAATTTTATCGTAACTAATCTCGGCGATATATTTTGGTAATCCATTTTATCTATAATTTTCGAAAATTATAGTGCTAGTTTCCATTTTATAAAAAAAAACTTAAAATATCTTAATAAGTGGTAAAATAAATGATTGATCAGAATAATTTCTTATCTTAATAAGTGGTAAAATAAATGATTGTCAATCAGAATAATTTAATAACATTGACTTTTTGTTAAGTTTTTCTCTTGGTAATTTCTCAGATCTTAATTTCTTATTTTCTTATTTTCAGAAAATAACACAAAAGCACTTGAAATATTCGAAGAACCATTACGAGTTCCGCCAGTTATGCCGATAGTTACCAAGCCACCACATCCACCGTCATCGGCACCGATTATCGTGCAACCGACACCAATTATGCCACCATCGCCACTGTACGTACAAATTTATTCATTCGAATGTTGCTAGGCCGTGATAAATGAAAAGATAATTGGTTTTTTTTTGTAGAGACCTTAGCCAAAATAAAAGAATAGCTCTATTTATTATTTATAACTGTTCGATTTGCATTCTTTTATTTTTTCGGGAAAATTTTTCAGTTTTGGTGAACCTAATTTTTTTTGCATATCTTTCATTTTAACACCATTTTTTTAGATTTAAAAAACTTGTTAAGAGAGGTGATTATGAATGTTATTTTTTTTTAAACAATTCTTGTTTGATGTTGATTAGATTTTAAAAAAATTGATTAGGTAAGGAATTTATAATCAGCCAGTTAGTTAGCCACCCATTTGCCCACCCATTCGGTTAGATTCAATATTAAAATATATTTCATAAGCCGTTGAACAAGTTTTGTGGAAAAAAAATAAAAAAATCCCTAATTATATTTAAATCCCTAATTATATTCAACGTTTTCTTAATGAAGGGATGAATTAATAATAATCATAAATTTAAGCGGTTTAGTTGGACGACAAACTTCTTTACTTTTGCTCCTTTTTTTTTAAAGGGAAGTAAATTTAACTTCAAATTTTTCAAATTTCTATCCATATTTTATTTTATGATTTTAAAATAACAAGAAAGATTATCGAATATTCATCGTTAACAAATCTCCTGTAATCACAAAAAAAGGTTCTCCCACTTGAAGACGAGTTGTACGTTGTATTCGCTATTTTGCTGATGCAGTTCCGTAAGGATCCCGGTTAATTTGAAATTTATATATTTCACCTTTCAGATTTGGGATTTTCAGTGAAAACGATTTATAGGTGATTTGTATGAAAATTTCAATTTTTCGATTGAAATTTGCATTCGTTGAGTGCTTTATGAAATAAAAATTTGAAATGCTGCATATGAAATGGCCTGTTTCAACTATTCAGGTCAAAGCATAAGCTTATTTCAATTATTCAACTAATAATCTCTTTGCAAATTTGCAATTTACATCGACTTCGACTTTGTCGGTGTTTTATCAGTAAATTTCATGCAATTTCATGATTGAAACTTCAAAAATTTTCAATTACCAAATTCTTTACACAATGGATTTCAAATCTGAAGAAATTTTTTCGCTCTATTTTTATTCTTTGTTACTTGCAGGATTATGAGAAAAATCCATTTTTTTCACTTCGCTAGGATGCTAAGAATGGATCGAATAAATAATTTCCAAATAACCTATAAATTTTTAAAATAGATGTGGAAAAATAATAATGGAAAATAATAGCAGTTTATGGCAAAATTAATGACAAAATTTATTGCCAATGTTTCTACATTTGTCTCATTTTTCGTCGTAAAACAATTTGATTTAACGCTTCAGTGGATTTGCTTGCGAATTTTTTCCTTTCCTAGAAATTTGTGGTTGTTTTTCCTTCGTTTTGTGCCGACGACGAACGTCTTCGAAGTGTACGATAGTTGGAAAATTTTTTTCCTTCTTTAAATAGGATCGACTCGCATCGATTCATCAAATTGCAATCGCTATCATTTGAAGAAAACGGTCGTCTCGTTCGCATTCCCCCTTTTTTCTTTGCACTAATAATCATTTCTCATGTTGAACATATATCGTACAACTAATAAATAATATATTCACCGAGAAAAGAGGAACGTCGAACGATTCGCATCAATTGGGAATTAAATGCTTTGCAAAATTATAGAATTTTTCACAGAGCTTTAGAAAATATACTTCGAAGAAGTTCCAGTTAAAGCATCAAGGAAAAATTTTAGTGGTAATAATATTGATAATAATTTGTGGCAAAATGAGGATGAGAAATGGAATCGAAATCTTATTGCAAATATGGTTTAATGACTGATAGAAATTACAAATTCTGTTGAGAGATTTTCAGGTTCATGGCACCACCGCCACCATCAGCAGCAACATTGCCGACTGCACCACCACAAGCATCACCAATCGAATCAAGTGATCCGGATGCATTTTATATGCGTTTAATGCAATATCGTTTTATGAATCCGGCACCAATCCCTTTCTCACCAGTTCTTTCCTATGTCTCTACATTGCAGTTTCTATCTATGCCGTAATACCATTATATGTTGGTTATCATTTCTTCTTCATTCGCCTCGGTTATCCAATTATCATAGTGATTTATATGATAAAAATTTTAAGTAACAATTCCACAAATTATAAACCCATAATGAATTATTGACACTCGTCATTCAAGGTCGTTTCGTTTCTATGTAAAATTTCTTTAAATTATTCACTGTAATAGTAATAATTATTTCGATGATTTATATCTTTTTTTAATTCGACAACGGATATTGTGTTGAAAATAAGAACGCTTTCCCACATTCCTATAAGATCCACTAGGGTAACGCATCCTTCCCCAAGTTATCACCGAGATTTTCTCGGATTATCCGATTACAGTAGGGAAAAAGTCAGTTTTTAGCCAGAGAAGCACTTGAAAATAGTCACAGAATGGTACAACACCAGCCATTTCAGTTTTAATGATTTTAAAAATTTCACTCACTACGAGACCGCCCCATAAAATATTAGTGGGAAAGTTATCAATTACCAATTACTTTTTCCTCGGAATGGAAATTTAAATCTTTGCTAAACTTCTTTAACATTTAATTTTTATTTCAGAAAATAATTAAGGTAAAATATTTTCCGGGTTTTCATAATCGGGTTCAGGCCATTTCTTGAAGCCATACGGGCTGGATGTATAAAAAAATATCAGTTTCATCTGTATAAAGAAAACCAAAAGATTGCCTTCTTTCTGAGTCCTTCAACTTTTCATTTACCTTTTGAGGGAAATTATTCGACAAATTACCAATAATTATTCTGGTTTTATAAAATATGACTAAGAAAAATCTTGTAAAAACGATAGAATGAAATCACCTTTATGGCTGCTTGCAATAGGCCCAAGCTTTATTTCTCCTACTCCTAGGTTCTAGCTATGGCTTTTAAAATTTTTATATTCATTTCATAATCGGGTTTAGGCTATTTTTCGAAGCCAACAAAGCGCTAAAAAATGCTCGCTTTATCTTTAATAACAACACCACAATTTTATGCATCTATGGGAGCTAAGGCATCAAAAAAAATAAGCGTTTTTGGCATTTCCAAAGAATTTCCAATGCTCCTAAAGATTTTTTTTCTCTATTCTAACGACGCTTATGTCTCTAAACGCTTCATCTTATCAATGTAGTTCATTCCCAATTGTTCTAAATGATATTGTAGTTATAAATGGTCCTTTATCCTTTAAATAAATTTTATTTATACTATTATATTATATTGAAAACACAAATTTTGAACAACATCGTATCGTACAAGATTATTATAAAAAATAAAAAAACTATAAAAATTATAAAAAAATGTCACAAGCGCTCGCTAGCTCGATTGGCCAAATTCCTTAAATTTCCGTAGACCTTTGATGGAGGAGAACCTGAATTTTAAAGAACCTGAATTGCGAAAATATAAAATGCTTAATAACTATACGTGAAAAGAAGGGCAATGCAACTTGAATCTACGAAATCTCTACAAAATATTGAAGCACTTCAACATTACTCAAACCAACTGCATTTTGTGAAAACCTTCCAAATACCGTAAAATACCCTTAAAGAAACCACAAAGTCCCGCTTTTCACTACAATATAAAACCATAGTTTTTGCCACCTCAGTCCTCCAGACATCAGGCTTTCAACCTTTAAAAATCTTCCAATCCAGCTTTTTTATAACGTTTTGACAAGCCTCTCGTATTTTCGCAATTGCTATAACTAAAAATTATGAAATGCTTAATAAGACACTTGCTGATAAAACCATAAAATGACTTTACCTGGGGATAGAGAATATAAGGGGTAATAGGGGTAAAAAGAAAAAAAATTAGTAACATGGTAGAATGATGGGAACGGATGGATGCACATAATGGATATATGGAATAATTAGGGGTAATAGGCCTACGTTTGAAGGCCTACGTAATGTTATAACCAAATGTATACTAAATACTACCATAGATGATTTGCATCAAATTCGCAGAATATAGAATTAAATTCGACATCAGTCATAAACGACCAGAACATTAATTCTTCAAAATTTTATGAAATTTTATAAAAGTTTTTCACAAATTTTTCACAAAAAACTTAAAAATGATAGAAACTTCCAACACTAACCCATTATCAATGATGAAATTGCATTTCGAGCGATACGAATATTCTGATATGCACCCATTAGATGAATTTTACTATCGGCTAAAACGATACGTGTCTGAAATCGAAAAAAATGCATTAGTAAGTTGCTATAAATAACTTTCCTCTAAATTGTCTATACAATTACTCAATAATCATAATGGCAGAAGAGAAAAAAATTAAAACTTATGGGCCTAAAAGAAAATTTAACATTTTGTGAACATAATAAATATGCTCTATTATTGCCAATTCTAACATGCAATATTTTCAGCTTGGTTGATACCACTGACTAGAAGGATAAGATCCACTAGAGAAATAAATAAAAGAATGATAAAAGTACAGGCATTACTGGTTCTACACCAGCGACCTCGATTTCACGACAGATTTGTTCCAATCAATAGATATCAATAAACTGTATCCTTAATCGGTCAAAAAAATATACGACCGCACTCCTATTATCCACTATCTTTAAAATAATTATATATAAAATTGTTTTTCTTGTTACAACATGCGAATTTTCCGATATAATAAAAAATGCTTTAGTAAAGCATTAAAATTAACTTTTGTTATATTTTCAATAGTAAATTTCGTTCGTCCATCTTTACCCGCGATTCTTCCGATAGCTCTTGACAAATGATCACCTTTTAATGGTTTTACGTCATTGATTTCGAAACTTTCAAGAAAAATATGATCAAGCCTAATAAGTGCTAATGCATCGTCAATATCAAAGCCAAGAATAAATGCGTGCACAAAATCTTCACCCTGAAATAATCATTTCATTTTATATGATAGGATATAATCTGAAATAAGAATTAATAAAAATAAATAAGTTTGCTGAACAACGTAGCGATATAATTATGTATATGACATTATGGTCACCAAGGAGAAATTTTAAAATAAATTCAATTGATTTTGAAAATGGATCAATTATCTAAAAAAAGTATTATGTGATGATGGAAGATATTTCAAATCCAGTATAACTATCAATAGTACATAGCCCTGTCACAAAAATTTTTTTGCATTAATTTTTAATTTTGTATCTATAGTTCTATACAAAATTTTCCAGTTACACTTAAATACCATAAACAGGAGAAATCCAGTGGAATAGCTTTATAAAAATGAAGGTTCATGGAAGTGAATTGCACTACTTATTTCAATAGCCACATTATCAAATTTTTTTGCTAATGAAAAAATGAAATAAATGATTGCGAAACGAATTTCACTATAATTAGATTCTAAAATCTGCCAGAAAATCTGAAAAAACGGAAGAAAATAACAAGTGGAAATCTTTAAAAATAATTTTACAAATTTTAAAACCATCTCGAAACACGAGATAAATGACAAAAAAAAGGGAGAACAAAACCTTCTGAAGATTAGTAAAATCCTCGATTCCATTTGGCACACGAATTTCGACGTTGCGTGTCTTTAAATTAAATCTGAAAAGAAAGAAATTAATTAATCAAAATTAAATAGCTTTTTTTCTGAATCCAGGGATTGTGTTAATTTATTTTAAATAATAACAGATTCTGCGAACGATCTCTAAAGAAAATCTTATTGCATCTCTAATCCAAAATGTTGGCTGAAAAAAATCTGCAAACCTTATTTGTAATTTGAGTTGCTTAACGACAGGCGTGAATAATTTCACCCAATTTTCCCTTAGAGGAGTATATCGATGTGGTGGTACGTATATCCGTCGAATACCTGTTTTATCAGCTGCATGTTGCTTAGTTTCCGATTTTTTTACCGACTTCTCTATATCTTCATCATTAAATCGATCGACTTTCTTGGAAATTTCTTCGTCTCGCCTGGATTTTCGTTCATCAAATTTCCTTTTTCGACCAATAATCTGTAAAATAAAAATTTAAAAATTGTTTACTATTTTAAAATTGCTAATTTAAAGTATAAACCAAAGCCAATATTTTGATATAAAGCACTTTCTAAAATTATTTACAATTCTTTTTTGAAAATATTTTTTGCCTCAGCAGGCACCAAATACCACCAAATAAAACGACAAAAAAGCGAAATTATTTTACGAGGCCAACAACACATTTCAAAAAAAGTTAAGAGGAAATGAGGAGGGGAAAAGCAATAAATTTAATGAACAACGACGAAGCATGCCATCATTGCCTGCAACATTTGACAATTTTAGATGATAAAGTGCATAAACGTTGAGATGAATTTAAATATCCATAAAATGCTAATAATATGTCTTATACTAATGCCGAATTTTTGCGCAAAATGTGCAAATGTACAGGTTTTACGTGAGTGCAAATGTGCACTCACGTAAAATTTTACAGATTCAAAAAACGTATAATTACAATTAACCAAATTCGTTAACAAATCTATACATGCACATCAATACAATAAAATTGCTTCCAAATTTAGCAGATAAATAATGCAATTATTATAAGTCTACGTGCACGATCAGTGCAATTTTTTGCACATTTAGTGCATGTAAATTTTAAAAAATTGTAAAAATGAGAAAGTATAGCAGACAACGAGACAGACGGAGATGCGAGCGAATAAAGAAACGTAATGCAAAACGAGTAGAGAAAAAGAGGCAGCGTAAAAACAATATTTTTTCAAATGTTGCGATGTGTGTGGTCATATCAGACTGGCAAAAGAAAAAATAAATAACGATGGCGAACAATAAAATTACATTTTTATGGGGAAAACAAATTTCTTTTAATAAAAAACAACAATAATAATAATAATAATACCAATGATACCAAACAACAATAATACAATAATAAATAGTAATTTAAAATAATTAGTTATAACAATAACAATAGTTAGAAATAATAAATAATGAAAATAATTAATAAAAATGGGAATAAAATTAAGAAATAGAAAAAGCGAATTGAATAGAATGATATTTAAAAAAATTTTTTGGAAAATTACAATAAAATATAAAATATTTATGGACATTTAAAAATAAATAGAAAACCTTTTGCCTTTTATTATGTAAATTTCCTTAACATAAAAATTTAATAAGTTAGAATTTTTAGAATTGTAACTTAGAATTTTTTTAAAAGAAAAAATATTTAAAAATAAAATAAAATACAAAATAAAACTGGGTGATGCTCGTGACTCACCCGTATTTCCATCACCAACTGATTTCCCTGGCATATGCCTGCTACGACAAGCCAGTAGAGCCAAAATTTAACCAGAAATGGTACACGGCTTTAGAAAAAAAGATATGAAAGGACAAGGATCAGAAATAAATGAATTTTTCTTTCAGTAAATAAAAAACATATAAATTTCTAGTTTATTAACAGTTTTAACTGAATTTTACAGAAATAACAAATAAAAAGTAAAAAAAGTTTTTCTATTTAATTGAGTACTTTTAAAAAGAGTGTTATAGATCGATTGGTGATTCCTATAGATTAAATGATTATTTATGATTATATAATTTAAATAAATGGAGACCGGGACGCGGTTCTGCTGACCATATATTCACGCTAAGAAGGGTGCTGGAACACAACGCTTCAAATACCACCACCTCACTTGCTTTATCGATTTTATAGCTGCCTTCGATTCGATCGATAGAGCAGCGCTCTGGCGTGACGAAATGTGACGATGCCCCAGAGAAGATCGTTCGGCTCATAAGGGCATTTTATCAGCAATCTCTGGCACAGGTCTGTGTATATGTGGGAACTGATAGATTCCTTCGGAATAAGAACTGGTACACTGGGCTGCGTCCTTTCCTCTACAATATTCAACTATGCGATAGACTGGATAATAGATATCTCTTGTTGACACTCAAGAGATCTACAAATCAGTCCAGAACATAGTATCACAGACCTTGAATACACTGATGATGTAGTCCTTTTTGCTGACAGTTATAATGAAATGCAAATAATGTTAAACAATGTGTCAACAATTGCAGAATTGGACTCAAAATCAATGTAAATAAAACGAAAGTGCTTTCGTCTTATATATAAGATGCTGATAAAATATCTATCAATTCATTGCCGATTGAGGAAATACTGGACTTTAAATACTTTGGATCCACTTTAATCCCAAATGGCCATCCAAAGAATAAAATAGCCCGGATAACGACAGCTAGAAACGCGTTTTTCCTATTGATGAAACTTTTATGGAACCATCGCGAAATCACCATAAAGAGGAAAATCCATGTTCAAATAACTGCAATTCGCTCGATCTTGCTATATGGCTACGAAATATGGCCAATGAGAGTGGAAGATATTAAAAAATTACCAGCCGTTACCACTCATATCTAAGACATTTTATGGATCCGAAGTACGGACTCGAGCGGATAAAATCCCACATGATTGTATCCATCTTCGCTCAAATACCTGTTTTAATAATGTTATCACAGAAAGTTGCCTTCGCTGGTTAAGGCATCACCGTTCTTCACCGTTCAGCACAGCAGTTGACGCATATTTCGCTACTTGCAGAATCCTATGATGGTTGGCGTTAAAACCAAGGAGGACCAATCAAGACCTGGACTGTTACAATCAGAAAAGATTGAAAGATTTTGAACATATAGTGGGACCAGCGATATATGGACTTAGACGATGGAAAAAGGAAAGAAAAAGAAGCTTCTACTAGTAGCGATAGTATCTGAGCAGCTTAGAGACATCTTACCCATGTAGCCAGCGAAGCCAGCCTAATAAATAATGGTGAGAGCTGTTAGAAGAAAAAAAAGAAATGAATGGAGTTCAGAAAGCTCAGAAAATTTTTATAATAAAAAAAATTTTTGAAGAGCAATAAAAAACACAAAAATATATAAAACTATTTTTTTTGCAAAATATACGGAACAGTTGTAAACCGTCTCCGTCTTTTTTATCAAGTACTTAAAACTGTCTTAAATGCGAATGAACCTCGATTTCAGCCACACTAACTAAGTTGGACTTATTGCATAATTCAGTAGCGAAATCAATAAGAAACTTTTTGGGCAAATAATGATTCAATTAAATTACAGTTCACAATAAAATCGAAAATTTTATACTATTAGAAAATTTCGAAAATGATTTTTAAATCTGTTATTAACTCCATGAACAATCAACAAGCAATCAACAATCAACATAACTTCAAAATACAATTTACCTGCTTAAACGGTTCTTCTGAAGGTACATTTTCGATTGGGGTCGACGAATCGTCAATCAAATTTGGTAATGATAAAGCATTGACGTCCGCTTCAATTAATTCAGGCACATCATCGACCTCTATTGGTATATAATCCATATTCCAAACAATTGAACCAGAAATTCGCTTGCCGATGAAAAAAGAAAAAGAATTTTCCAGGCCAAATCAACAAATCGGACTGATTTAAATCTGAACCAACGAGCCAGAAAATTGCTCAACTAAAGAAATAAATTAAAATTTCAGGATAATTATAATGCAAAAATATATTGGAAAATGATAAAATAAATAATGTTTAGAAAACTGAAAATAAACAAAAAATCTATTTTAATGAATTTTAATCAACACTAATAAAACATGACTAAAACAATAAAAAGAATACAACAAAGAAACACTATTATAAATATAATATTTTAAATAAATAATTCAAATATTTAAAACACTTTTAAAGAATTCAAAATGCGATAAAAACTTCATTCGGCACATGAATGGAGTAAGCCTATCAATGAAATAGAGTAGTAGTAGCAGCTGTAGTCTTTGACGGAAGGACTTCACCATACAAACAGGCATTCAGTCAGAAATGGTGCTTGAAGAAGTAAAATAAATACTCTAAATAAAATTTGTGAAGATAATGCGATAAAAAAAACAAAAAATGAAACAGAAAAGAACAGAGAAAAAGAAACAATATTTGGATAATATAAAACTTTTATTCCTTTTGCTGAGAAATAAAAAAGGGTGAACTGATGAAAGTTAACAATCAAACTAATTAATTAAAAATATACAATAATCCGCAGATAATTTTCAAAAGCAATTTATTCTACATTTCTTTATTTCAGTTACTACGATTCACGATCACATAACCTCATTTGTGCCCATGTGTAATATAAAAAGGCCGAATTTTGTCGCAATCGAGATAAACGTTCGTAATGCCTAAATCAAAATGAAAATAGCGCGAGAAAAAATTAAATCTTTATTCAGCTCTTATTTTGAACCCTATCAAGTAATTTTAGCATTCGTTAAACGCTAAACTATAAAAATATTATATTGTAATTATTGTATATAAATATTGTAAATATTTATTTAAAATATCAATATTAAGAAAATTTCGCCGAAATTTCACTAAAATTTATAGTTGATTTCTTTTTGAGTTGCTTTAAAAAAATGCAAAAGATTGCGATCTGTTGGATCTGAAAATATTCTATTTAATTTTAAGAAAATAAAGCTAAATAGCCAATTAACCTGTTTGTATAAGGAAGAAATGCTTCAATAATAGACGGAAAATTTGGTACTTTTAATAAATAATCTGGTTTGAAGCAATGAAGAATATCATAAAGCACTTGCTGACCAACCTTAAAATTAATCAAAATCGAGAAATATAAATTATCAACCTGTAAATTTAGTAAAGTTCAAAAATTTTTTGAAGCACTTAACATAACAGTGACAACGGTTTGCAAAGTGAAGGTGTTTCTTTGAACTTGAAAACGCTAAATAACTGGACAATGCATTGATAAATAATTTAAAAACCTTTTTTCATTTAAAAGTGATTTTTTATTTGTCATAAATTACATGAGCCAAATGGCTGAAGATTAAGATCTACAAATTATATTTCATTTTTTAGATTTACCAAAGAAATCATTAATTATAAGCCATGATATAGTCAAAAATATAACGGAAATATGTATAGAATAAATGGAATTGAAAGACCTTACATGAGCCATTCGACTATTCGTATTCCACTGAGATGCAAAATCCATTAGTACAGATAAATGTTCCTGATGTAATTTCGAAATAGCTTTACGTAATTCCGACACATCCTGTTCAATCATTAATTGGATAATTTTCATGCAACTAAAATTTAAAGAATTTTGGAAAAATATTTCTATGAAATAAAGCAAATAAAGCAAAAAAAGCAGAGTGTTTAAATGAACAATTTAAAATATCTTACTTATATGATTTTGAAAGAGTAAGTGAATATTCGAGCGCTTTATCAAACTGCTGACGTTCCACAAAGTTAGACAATATCTGTTCATTATGAACTCTTTCAGCAGCGATTTTAAGCTCTTCTTCTCGTTTCTTTTCAGAAACATCATTCCATATTCGAATCCTTCCATCGCTACCAGCTCGAAATAACGCCATAAAGACAAATCAAGCGATCAAAATAAATTCTTCCCTTATAAAATCCTTCCAACCAGTTACCATATTATATATATATATATATATACCATATACACCATACCTTTCTACTATTATCAAGCTTTCACTTTTCATTTCTATTTTTAGCGAACGTATGCGAATTTAAAATTCATGAGAAAAAACCTGTGATGAATTGATTTTCATCTTTTGATGTAAGAAGAGCCCATATTTTATCATCATGCGCTTCAATTGTTTTAATACATTCCTTTTCTGCGACATCCCAAATTTTCATTAATCCACCACTATCACTTGACAACAGCTGCTTTCCACTATTGATCGCTAATACCTATAAAAGCTTATAAAAACTAGATATGTAATATATGATCCTACTGATATACGATTTAATGATGTACATATGAACCTTTAAAACAGCAAAAGAATGGCCAGTAAGTGTAGCAAAGCATTCGAAATTATTAAGATTATATAGCCGAATCATGCAATCACCACTACCAGTGATGACAACCTGTAATACAATATTATGCAAATAACCTAGCATAATTTTCAAATCATCCAGCCAACCAATAAGTGAATATTGATATATATATTGATGCTAAATTAAAAAGAAAATATACTTGACTGTTTGTTGCAAAGCGAGCATCCCACACACCTCGTCGATGGCCACTCAATGTTCCCGCTATCCCAAGCTGCATTTTTTCTGAGTCTATATGCCACAATTTTGCTGTTTTATCCATTGAACCCGTAACACAAAGACGATCATTAATGCTAAGGTTAACACATGTAATATCTTTCATATGTGCAACCAGAGTTGATGAAGCATGAAGTTTTTCGCTATAATTTTAAAAAAAATCATCTGGACATATGCATATAAACAAATAATAATCGTGTCATAATCAATAATAATGCATATAAATAAATAATAAATAAATAATCAATAAACAGTGAATGTAAATAAAACTTATCATATAACATTTTGTAAATTATGAAAGTTAAGCCAGCCAAATTAATATCTGAATATAGAAAAAAATAACCCTTGAGAAATAGATGAAATACTACTGAGTGACCACAATTTAATGGTCGTGTCGTTTGAAACTGATACGAGAAAATGTCGCTTAGCCATATTCGAAAAGCATACAGCAGTGACGCTATTTGTATGACCAGTACCACTAGCAAGCTGAAACATTCATCATTACAAATAAAGAAATAATTACGTAAAAGTAGGAAAAATTTTCACCAAGCTTCTGCAACTGAATAAAGAAGCTTGAAAATAAGATATAAAAAAAAGTGATGTTACAAGCGAATCCGAACTACAAGTTTATTTCGCACAAAAGCGATTTCATTAAGCTTAATTTACATACTTTTCTTGCTATACATCCTATTTCACCATCTAGGTTTAGTTCCCATAAAATAATAGAATTGTCTTTAGATGAACTGAGCAGCCAATTGGGATTCCATCTTGCTGCGCATAGAGAAAGAACACTGTCAGTATGCCCTAAAATGTATATAGAATATGAATATTTCTAGTACACGATGACTTGTCGAAATATGCCAAGGCATCTCTTAGCGATAGAAGTGTGGAAGAGTCGCCAGAATCATCTGGATCTTTGAAAAAATTTATTCCCGCCTGGAGTAGAAATTCAACACCGACACTTCAACCGAACTAAGCAACAACCCACTGAGCCATTCTACTTTCATTTGTTTTTCTTCGTTAGAAAATACTGCCGCCCAACGAAGAGTGGTGCGTCTGCGAATCTATGCCTCAATCCTCGATGGCAATTATCTTGTTATTGAGTCAGCAAAGTACCATTATATGAAAATATCAAAAATAAATTGAAAAATAATACCAACCATTAATCAACTGACAAGACCAAGTATTTAAATCATATAAGCGAATCTCAGCACTGTTTGCTGCAACAGCAAAATGCTGATGATCTGAACCAATAAAGCTTAAATCGAAAATTTCATCATTGAATCCAATTATCTGTTTGATCACTTTCAATGAAAATATATCGATAATTAAGAGATTAAAATCCGATGTCGCAAGAAGAAACTGTTTACGGTGCGCGTTATAAAGAATCAGATCAATTCGACAACTTAATTATTTCATATAAAATATCCGATAACAGTGAAATTATATTATTTTAATAAATATCAACTAACTACTAAATATCAACTAACTCGTTTTCAATCAAATTTTTAATATTATCATCCAAAACATTTGTAAACTTTTGAAACATTCGAAAAAAAAAAATTAATAATCAAATCATAAAAAATCGGATAAATAATTTGAATTCTTCAAATCAAAACATTAAATTTGTTGAAATTTAATTTATTCATAATTATAAGTTTTTTATTTACATGAAAATTAATTTGTAGATCTATAAGTGTCATTTTATAACGAAGTTATTAATAAGCAAAAATTGATTTTACTAATAACAATAATTTTTTTAAAAGAATTCTCATCATTACTGGTTAAACTCGCTCCGCTGGCTTGTCGCACTGGGCGAATATGCCAGGGAGTCTCTTGGCGATAGAAATACAGCTGAAATGCTAGCATCATCCGGATTTTTGGAGATGTTTTTCTTACGGGGAAGAATAGAACCTCAGCAGCGGTACTCAGAATTGAGCAACAACCCACTGAGCCATTCTATCACCGCCTAATAACAATAAAAAAATATCACGATTGAAAAAAAATTACATCAATATCCACCTTACCTTGATAGTTTTGACGACTTCATAAGTTTCGCACTCTCAACGCTCCAGCATTTTAAAATTCCTTCTTCACCGACTGTAAAAACCAGACCATCCTCATTGAGCACAGCTGATTCAATAGGCTCAAATAATGGCAGAGCTTTTATTTTTTCTTTCGTTCTAATATCTGTTAAAACCATCGTTTGATCTCGGCTTATCGTCGCAAATTTCTCATTGTCCACTATCAATATTGAAGCAATTGCACTAAAGAACGCAGCAAATGACAAAAACAACAAATGAAAAATGAAGAGTAAAAATGATAACAAAAAAATATATGTTTGATTAAAGAAAAATAATTTGAAAACAATTCTTAAGGAAATAATTTTTGTACCAACTCAACTTCTGATCATGTAAGGAGCGAAACACGAAATAAACAATCGATAGTGATCAATGAATTAACAGATATTTAAAAGAAATTTAAAGAAAAATTGGCGAAAAATTGCATAATCGAATAAAAGTGTATAATACAACAAAGTGGAGCAAAATATATAATAATAAAATAAAATATATTACAAAAAAATATAAAAAGTAATAATAAAAACAAAAAATTAATAAATATGCAGTAATAAGGTTTGAATAAAATGTTATGAAACACCAATAAACAAAATAAGTTAAAAAAATTTTATTCAAAACCTCATTAAAACTTCAAACCTTGTATGATTTTTCCATTGGCAAATTGGTTTTTTTAAATCATCGATTTCATAAAATTTAACACTGCCATCAACAGCGCCAATAATTAAACGATTATCATCCAAAAAATTTATATCACTAATAGCACTTGAACCCTTTATGGAACCAATGCAAACATGTTTCTCAATTCCCCATACCTAAAACTGTTAAAGCAATAAGATTTGCGAATATACTTGAATATTCGAAATATTGCAAATATAAGCCCCTTAAACAAAATTTCTGGTATAAAATAGCATTACTTTGAAGATCAAGCAAAACAAAGCCAAGCTATTTATATAAAGTAAAATATATAAAATATTAATTAAATGATCGAACAGAAAAGAGAAAAATTAATTAGAGAAGCGAAAATAAAGTGAGGAAGTGTTTATGCCCAATGATATCGGGGATATTACAATTATTCGAAGTAAAAAATATTTACTTTAACTGCAAAATCAGCTGATCCAGTTGCCAAATAAATATCATTCGGAGAATTTTTCATAACGAGTATTGGCAGCGTATGAGTCGACTTCCACTGCCGTTTAATTTCAGCTGACAAATTCGAATCTTTATCAAATGATAACGAATATTGACGCAAAAGTGAGTTTGAATATGCGATTATCATTGAAGAATCATTCTTATTCAAAAGTGTACAAGTTATTCGCAAATCTTCATTAATATCACCAATTATCAATCTGAAAAAGGAAATAAATAAGAGATAACAAAAACAATTAAGAAGCAGATAATAAAAATGTAATAAACAAAAACAAATGGGAAAAAGCAAATACCGAGGAAGACTATCGTCACAATTAAATGCCTTAACGATGTTTCCACAAGTTGCATAAATAACGGTTCCATCAGAATTCCACTGCACCGAACCACCTGAATAAAACGCTTCAACAGAGTGAAAAAGCGATAAATCTGCTACTGCTCGCTTCATTTCTCTCTCTGAAAACGAACTACCTTGGAAGTTTACGATCAGCTAAATATCTAACGACATCTAAAAAACTATTAACAATGAAAATAAACCGATAAATTTCCCACAAATGATAAACGACATCAGCGACTACTCAGGAAGATTGGGTGACAGCCATTTTTTAAAAAAAGCTATTTCGACCACTTGGAAATACAATAACTTCCCCAGTTCACAATGGCCACCGTTCAAGGCTTTTCATTTTGATGTGAGAACACCAACCATATGTGACCTATGATTTAATCGTGTCATCCGATTCATGCCAAAAGTGTCCATCCAACATTACCTTAAACTCTACTTTAAAGCCATTCAAACCACCCTAAAATTAGCGGGTGAAAGCTGAAAGTTAGAGGTGCTGCTGAATCACTATATATCGGTTCCACAGTTTTTTAAAGGCGTTTTTATGCAAGTTTGGTGTAATTTCTACCTTCCGGATTTCCTTAATTTTTGTTTTGAGTTCGGAGTTTGGCGAAAGCGTTGTGGTTGTTTGCAATTAAAATTAGATGTGTTTAAAATTCTATTAAATATTTCCAATATTCTACTGGAACTGTTGCCAAGTTCATCAAAAATAAATCTTACTTTGTATTCTAATGGGGAGATTAATTAAACGGTTTTTTTTACTCCGTGAATAAAAGCGAAAAAATTTTATGTTTATTAATTAATGGTACGAATAACGCAGTCAGAGGATCAGAGAAAATATGGATCAGAGAAAAATCCTCGATTATGAATCATTCTACCCGCTATTCATCAATGTATTAACTACTGCAGCGAAAATAACATTCAAGAACAATAAATAAAATGGGCCTTTTCGCCTCATGCACCAGAAGTTGATAAACTGCCATTTTTATCAAGTCATTGGTTGAAGGAATGCCAGACTTCAAACATCTTATTAAATATCTTGGATTAATTCTAAGTCCGAATGACCAAGCGAAAAATGAAACTACAACCCAGATAATGGTAATTAAAAATGCATTCTTCCAAAAATGAAATTACAACTTAGATAATGGTAATTAAAAATGCATTCTTCCAAAACCTTTATGGTGTAGCTAAATCACCAATCATCTTTATGGTGTAGCGAAATCACCATGAGGACGAAAATTTATGCCTATGTAGCTGCAATTCGTTTGATCTTGCTATATGGCTGCGAGACATTGCCGATGAGAGTGGAGGATATTAACAAGCCATTTACCTTTGACCGCTCATGCCTAAGATACTCGTGCTTATTTTAAGGGTCCGCCGAGTTGATAAAATTTCAGGTCATCCATTTTCGCTCAGATACATTGACAGTACCATCATACAGCGTCGCCTTCGCTGATTATTTTTCTACACCCACCACAAATGTTGACATATATTTCGTTATTTGTCTGTGATGAATGGAAGCGAGGATTCCCAATCAAGACTTGGACTGATACACTCAGGAAAGGTTTTGAACGTATAGTATATATATATGGTCCAGCAATATATGGACTCAGACGATCTAAAAAGAAATGTTAGAGATGATATCGGATCGAACAACTTGGAAATGTCTTACCCTTATAGCGAATACAGTCGGCCTAACCAAAAATGGTGAAAGCCATTAGAAAAAATAGTGTTATTAGCGAAAACCTATAAATTTGTTATACCCTTGGAGTTGCAAGGTCATTCGAAAAGTTTTTGTAAAAGTTTCAGTTTCAATTAAAAAAAATTGAATGCATATGTTTTTAATATGAATTCAGTTAATATGAAAAATAAATGTTTACAAAATTCAGTTGTTGACAGCGTTTAATGGCTTTTTTCATATCCTGGTATGTTATTACTTATATACGCATATATTTCGAACCGAGGGAAAAAGTTCAAAAATATTTCTGGCATTGGTCTACTTTCACAAATAATGAAATATCCTTATGCATTACAATTATGAATGAAGAGACGATATGAATTTTGAGCATGATAAAAAAATCTTAAAATGATTTACATTTACAAATAATCCTTTAATAATTATCCTTTAATTTGTAATGCTTAATTTATAGCATTAACGATCAATAAATTATATTTCAATTCTCTACAGCATCTATAACAGGATCATAAATAAGACGCGGCCAATTTGATGGTTTATCGCCAGAACATTTCTGTTTTAAAACCAACTCTATTTTTCGTTCTCCGAAATTTACCTGTAACAAACGTTAAAAATGGTAACAAAGATTTCACAAACTAAATAAACTAAATGAAAAATAATAAAAATAAACAAAGAAATTACTTTTGATTCTCCAACCTCGATTGCATCAAAAAGTTCATATTTCTTTTCAGTCTCTTTGGTACCGAAGCCATGTACTATCTTCAAAAGCAATACGAGGCCATCGCATTTTACAGAACACTTATCAGGCATAACACCTTTACAATATATATTCAGATGTACAAAACCCGAACGACAAAACCAGTCTTCACGAATTTTTGCATCTATCTCTATCTGCAATCTTCCTTTACGTTCAGTGAATTTCATCCGCAAATAAATTAAAGTTTCAACAAAGCTTTCTGAAATTTCAAAAAAAGCGACAAACGCTAGGCCCCTCTTTTCCTTCTGATGTCATGCACCAAACCAGGTCTGCTTGGTTCCACTGAACATAAGGTGATAGCATGTTGCTAGAGAATTAGCTGATAATAAAATTATTACTAGATTCGCAGCACCATTTTTAATCAATTTAAATTCAGGCTAATCAAGTGAAGTCAGAACCGACAGAAATCAAGCGTATAATGGTTTAGCTTTAGTTCATCATATCACATGACCAACCTGTCCCCAAGATATGATCTGTTGCTTAAATATATTCATTAAAATTACCTTAGACCAGTTATGTTTTCCAGCAGTACACCCTTTCTGTTCCATAAATGCTCCAAAATCAGTAGTCTTTTTTTCACAGCATGACCAAAACTTCATTCCTTCGTGAAAAACAGCTGTACCACTATGGTAGATACATGTTTTTTCATCACTCATGAGACCTTCATAAACCTGAATGAAATTCACGTTCTCGAAAATAAATCATTTGTAGAGACAAAAAATAAATAAACAATATTTATTTCGAATTTGGGCAAAAATTCCTTCCAACAATTGACAATCATTATAATCCATCATATCCACCTGATGAATAAAAAAAAAAATCTAATTAACATTGAATAAAAAAATGAAAAAGTTTATAACCTGGTTGCAACCTGAATTTCTGCAAGGCGAACCAATCTGAACAACGTCATTTCGTGAATTTAAACTGGCATGTTCAAAAGCCTCAATGGCCTTGACAACCCCATCACTGATATTCACCTCGAGATTTTGCATTATACGCGGTCGATCATCACGAAACGCCGGTTTGTTTAAACCATTCCATACAATCACCTATAGTCAAAAAATTATGACAATTCAAATACATTCAGAAGTAATGCCAAGAAGTTAACAGCAAAATCGAACGATGACATGATACTCAATTGTGGGTTTTGAAGTTAAGAAAAGAATAAGAAATCTGACCATTAAATATATGATATTAGAAATATTAGAAATTAATATTAGAAATATATTAATATTAGAAATTAATATTAAAATATTTTAATATTAGAAATTTAAAAGGAAATCTACCTCTTCAGGAGCTTCTGGTCGAATTTTTGATTCACTTTTAATCGGTTTAGCACTATCATCAACGTTTGGCTTTTCACCATTATGCATTCCTTTGGTACATCCAACGAAGCTAAGCCACGTCCCGAAATCGGTACTTTTCTTGTTGCAACAGTTCCATATTTTATATGCATCATGGAAATATGGTGGTCCTGGATGATATAAGCATGATTCTAAAAAAAGATTAGTTTTGGAAATTAATTAAGCGATTAAGATAAACGAATGATAGCCGTAAAAGAAAAAGGAAAAAAGCAAAAACGTCCTTAATTCACTGCAAAACAAAAAACAACTAACCAGGACCGTTCTCAGTGGGGTTGAATTTTTTACCGCATCCTTTATTATAACAATAAAGTAATGATTTATCACCGCTCATTCGATGATATCAGTACAACTAAAAAATTTCCAGATGAGAAAAAGAGGGCGAAGAGCAACGAACGAAGGCTGAGATATTTCCAAAATAGTGCGCAATTTTTAAAATCATTTAAGGAAACCATTTGTTTTTTGGTGAACAAACAATACAAAATATAAAACAATACAAAATTTCAAATATCACAATAAATCAAACTATTTTTTGAGTAATAAATTTCAGTATCGACTACTTCCTTCCCCAACTAATTGAATATGACACACCCATCACCGCCAACCACTTCACAAAATTTACCAAAAAATTTTTAAAGGTCTTCTCCACCCTCGCCATAACTCCGGGAAACCACATACTAGAAATTTCTTCACCGTAAAAAGAAAGTCTTTTCAAGACCAGAGAATTTGAAAGGGTGCCTCAGGGCCACTTCCTTCGTTTCCTTTCCACTTTTAAAATGGATATTAATTGCCTAGAAACGATATTTCTTTTTGCCATAATATTCCAAGTATGAAATACATAGAAATGTCGAAAATTGGTGATCGAAAATTTTGTTTGCTAATGATTTTGTAACTAAATTGCAACAAAAATTATGAAATATCTTTGAAGAAAGAAAGCGATTGCAAGCAAATTAAATTATTAGTTTAATTAGCTTACAGGTGTGCAATTAAAGCAAATTTTAATCTTTTACTAGAACAAACGAATATTTAACGTTTGAAAACAGCGATTTAAAATTATTCGTGTCTTCGACCGTAAAGCCAGCTTTTTCAGTTTTATCGTTCGTTAGCTTAAGAGATTATGGCACGGAAATTTTTGGTGTCATTCGAGGCTTGAATGAATTCAGTGACCATATTAAAATGAGCTAAGTGACCATATTAAAATTGTCTGCAGAGATTTGAGTGGTACTGGCGACTGCTCTTGCCAAGTGAGTGCATGGCAAAAATCGACTTATTGACTGCCAGTCGAGCTAGCTTAACCAGAAATGGTGAGCGCTAATCACTTACTTATAATAGATCAGCAGATTAGAACGGGTTTCTCAACAGGAAAATCTATCAGGACAGTTATAACCAGTCTTACTGATAGGTTGAACTAAGGACATATTTATATCTGGCAAATGGTTTTCAGTTATTACGACATGTTCGCTGTCATTGCTTTCTTGTTTCTGTTGAATACAGAAAGAATAAATTGTGCAGTAAATGCGACGTGTCAAGTCGGTGGAACACTTTGTGAAGACGAATTTACTGAATGCGCTAAACTGTTTCCACCTCAAGCAGTTACACCTGGTCAACCGTAAGTTTTTCTAAAATGATTGATAGGTTGCGATATTCAGATCTTTGCTTATATATTTCAGGCTCATTTTAACTGTCTTTCGAATTTTCAGTTTTGCCGTTGCCGATGAATGCGAAAATTTGACTCACTTCGCTGAATTATGCCCAAAATCATGCATGACTTGCTGTAATCTTCCACGCTTTAAATGTAGTGATAAGGAAAAAGGTGATTCGAAAACGGTTTCGTTTCGTTTGTTTCGTTTCGTTTTCCTAGGAATCAAAATTCTTCAAATAGAATCTCTCAACCTGGCATCCACAGAGGAGAAGGAAATCTCCTTGAAATAATAATTTAGAAGATGCATTAACTTAGGTGGATGTCCACTTTCCTTTCTCATTCCTGCATCCAAATCCAGACGTAAATCTTTATCATCAAATATCTCGAATTCTAGACGAAAAAGTATGCCAATCGATCAAAGATAGTAAACTGTGCGAGACAACAGATATGGTTCTTCGGGCGAAAATAAAAAAGTCTTGCGCGCAAACATGTGGGCTTTGCTCGAGTGGCAGTTGCGTTGACAAAATTAAATATTGCAACGCATCAAGATGTGATGAGGATTTATTTAAAGAATTATGCATGAGCACTTGTAATCACTGTGACGAAACAGGTTGTTAATAACATCTTCGTTGAGCTATTTTTTTTCGCATATAAAACCCTAAATTTATACAAAATTGATTTCTGTAAGGAATTAAACCAATCCATATTTTCCAGCTTGTGTCGATAAAGCGGCAGTTTGTCCCGAAAATTTATGCAGAGATTCAAAATATGAGCCACTTATGAGTGAACAGTGCAAAAAGACATGCAACAAATGTGGTATAACTTGCAAAGACAATTTGCCGTCGTAAGTCTGTCCGTTAATAATTTATTATCGGAATTTTCTTTTAATTATTTTTTCCACTTTTTTCAATTTCATTTCATTTCATGTTTGTCGATTCTTCTCCGATTTTTAGTCGAAGAAATGAAATTTCGATAATTATACAGGAAATTTAGCAGAAATAGTTAGTTTAGCATCATAGTAGGCCGCAATTTGCACAAGACAATTACTGGTAAAATTATTAAAATCCACAGCTCATTTACCAGTCTAATATTGGCTATAAAAATGTGTGGTTGCATATTTATTGTTCGTTTATTCCAAGTTATCCTATGGCGAAATGTGTTCATCCTGGCAGTACCAACAAGATGCAGAATAGTGTGCAATGTTAAACGAAGAACAATAAATAAGGCTTGATAGACTTAATATAAAACATGGAATTTTTAGTGATTCTCATAATTTATTATATTTATTAGGTGCGATTCGTTGGCTAAAAGCGGATTCTGTATGAAATCTGATCGTACAACGGTTTACAGTAACTGCGCAAAAACCTGCGGACTATGCCATTAAGATATTTCAATGAATTTTGTTGAAACTCAGAAAACTTTTATGATTTTACGATTCATTCGATCATTTTACTATTTTTTATGAATAATTCTCATTATTGTTGGTTTACTGGTTGTTGGTGTATTGTTATGTTATTGGTTATTGGTGTATTGTTCGTTTATTTTATGAAAATATAAAAAAATTGATCCACTGATGGAAATTATGAATTTTAGTCAAAAGTAATGTGAAATGGGTTCTATACAAATCGGCAAAATAACTCGAATAATTCGAACCCGCTGAGCCATCCTACAGAAGCAATTTAAATGCTTTTGATTCACAACTCTTTTCACAACTCTTAAAAATTATATCCAAAATTGGATACTGTAGACAATATTTCTTTTTAAATATAAAGTTTAAGCGAGAATTCAGATTTTTTTCAGCTTAGGTCAACTTTATACAAAACTTTAGTTTATTACGAAATCATGGAATTTAGAAGATGAATTCGTCACGCTTAGGAAACGCTTTATAAGCAAAGCAAAGGAATAGGAATATGTGTATTATGTTATGTTATTAGATTTATTCCTAATTTGCCAAAATTACTTCTATTGAATTAGCTGCAAAATCCATAAATAAATAAACAAATAACCGATAAATGTGTCGCATTAACTTTCGGAAGTAATTTAAATGAAATTTTGAATGGTAAAATATAATTTAAAATGTGAATTAAAAAGTATATGTTTTAAAAAATAAATATAATAATACAAACTAATAATGAAACTAATGTAATAATAATGTAGAAGATATAAAAAAAATGACAATACATTAGGATTTTTACTAGTAAGCCACTTCGTGGACCAACCATATTTTTAAATGACGGATTTATTCTTGCCAGCAATCGAACCTACATGCTCAACCAAAGTCCACATCACTTTGCATATTATTCAATAATAAACGTATTCAACTAAAATTTTTTTCAGACCATTTTTCCTATGAATTTCGCAATTTTTAAACTTGAGCAGTGAAGGAAAAATTTTTCAAAGCAGTTTAGGTTTCGGAATTTTGTTATAACAGAGAAATATTGCTCACGAAAAACGGAGCAAATACTAGTCATTGTAATGGATTCGCTTATTTTAAGAAGCTAATTTCTCTTGACCTGTTGAAAATCCGGTTTCAGCGATTTTCTTTTCTCCCAGTCTCCTTCACCTCAAATATGCTTTAACAAACAAATGAACCACCTTTCCTCGGCATCTTTTTTCTCAATTTTATATTTTACAGTTTTAAATACCATAAATTTAATACCATAAATAATACCATTTTAATACCATAAATTTTTCTAATAAAAAAATTATTTTATTTCGATTTATCAAAACCCTATCACTCACTCAAAATTTTACGAATATTTGCCATTATTGATTATGTTTATATTTGTAATGATCATATTTATAGTAATAAGCATCAGCAAATCTATAAAAATAACGTTAATACAGTTTGGACTTGGCCGCCAATAATTGAAGCCAATTTTTGCGAATACAACAATTTTAATTCGAAATGAGCAGTAAATTCACGGAATGGAATCAGTCATGTTTGTTATATTTTTGAATTATTCACAGAATCTTTAGTTATATCTCTTCACAGATTATTATTAATTCACGGATCTTATTGGGTCAATGCATTCCACCAGACATTTCCAATTATGTCGTCCATCGAAAACACATGGATCTGAAAGCAGTGTTAATGGATTCATGCTTATTTTGACAGTTTTTTATTTCGGAATGAATGAGAAAAAAAAGAAACTATTGAATAAATTTTCTAGCAGGAGCTAACGACACAGCACCATCAACAAGTAATAAAAAGGCTACTGATGAACCGCATCAATCCCGACCAGAATTCCCAGTCCACTTCATTTTGCTTCAATCAGGTTATATTTGAACGAATCGACCTCATTGCTAACTTGATATTATGTATAAATATATAAGGTTTAGCTACATTGCTTCATTCACCGTATTTTTCTTTAATGAATTCAAACTTGATTATATTTTAAGATATCGGAAAAAATAAATTTTTTCACTGCTTTTTTTTCTCCGATAATTTATTTCGAATAATTTTAGAAAAGTATGGAATCGTATCTTTAAAGAGAATGGAAGGCAAAGTACCAAATTCAGAAATAGCAAAAATTAAGCATCAATGGGAGACAAACATACGGCCAAAGGGCGAGGTTTGTCCATAATAAATCGCTTAAAAACAATTTTATGGTTTTTATCAATATTACTTAATCAGTTAAATTTTATTTATCATTTAATTTTGCAATAACTTTCCTTATTTCGGGTAAATAAATAACATGAAAAGATGAAATTATCCTTATTTATCGGTTATTATAAGTAATATTGCTTGGCATACCATTTTTGGAGCGTGAAATAGTTAAAATTTTTGCCAGGAAGCCACTTGCCGATAAAAATACAAGTGGATTGCCAGCTCTTTCCGGATTCTTTAATTGCAGCCTTACGTCTGTCAGGACTAGGGAATTGAACTTCTTGCGCTCGACGTTAGTCGTCACTACATTGAATCATACCACTCGACCTCTCTGTTCTCCTGATTATTGCAGCCATAGTTGAAGTGAAAAATAAAGTAGGAAGGAGACAAATATTTGAAAAACAACAATGTCAGCACTGTGATTCAAAGACAATATTGTTCAAACAAAATGATTGTTTGGTAACAGTTGTTAAGCAATTTAATCTAAAGCTAGAATAAGCAATATCTATAAAACGGCGAGTCGTTTAAAAGTGTTTTCGCTGCTTTAATTTCAATTAGCAATAGTGAAATTTTCGTTCAAAAGTTCGAGACGATCCAATTTCTTTACATTCGCGCTGATATTTTTAAATTTTATCTTGTTGGACGTTGAATTTTATTGGTGCATTGCTTAGATTATTAGGCAGAATGCTTCGATCCCCTAACGAGGGTAAATATCACCAATGCCAAGTTCAGTTGCTACTATAAGTCCACATACACTTTTATCTTCAAGTAGTCCCCTATCTCCCTTTTATAACAGTCGATAGAAATATGATAGAAATATAAAAATTTATAACAACCAAGAAGAATACAACAATTGTAAAGTTTTGAGCCGATACCATTTGGCCAGCAATTGCAGCCGAAAACTGGTTCGGAGATACGAAAAACATATGAATTTCCACGATGGCGTTCGAGCGACGTGATGACAGCATCATTAATAGCATCGAAACCAAATATGCAAATACCGAGTGATAGTGCAGTACCACTTCATAGACAAAATCTTATCGAGAAGGCCAATAAAAAAGCTAAAGTTGACAAGGTACCACGAATTCTATAAAATTTTTTGACGTGCAAATTTTTAACAAATGTATTTTGAATATTTCATTTAAATTTTTTCTTAGATTCGACCATTTAACCTGATAAATTGCATTTATCTTTAAAAAAGCATCAAATTTAAAGTGATTAACTAACCACTCGATATATGGTTAGAAGAAAAAGAGTGGAAAAGCCCAACAGTTTATCAATGGATGATCGTAGAACCTTCTTCTTCTGCTTTTAGTATGAAAATATTTCTGATGTACTAGGGAAAAGGATAGTCGAATGGCGTATTGTCTTAATTAAGGTCGAGCTTATCATAAGTTCGATAATATTTTCCCTTGCCGGAAGAGAACCTATCATTAAAAGTAAAATCGCATTAACTGAAGAGCCAGTATTAATTTTATTCTCAAATGGTTCTTTGGTGAAATCCATAGCCAGTGAAGCCAACCAAATCGGAGATGGTGACATTGTCAAAAGAAGAAATAATGAAAAAAATATGGCCAATAAAATGAAAAAAATGACAGTTCCCTTTTCTAGAATCTTCAAAATTTAATTCAACAAATAAAAAGTTTTGTTCGCTTTTTGGATTTTACCATTCATCAAATTTTATATTCCTTATTCTTTACAACAAAAAGGATTAAAAAATTATATAATCGAAAATTACTGACAAGTCTCAGCTCACCACATTTCAAGGAACTGTTGCATCAAACGCTGAAACCCCTGAGGAGCCTTGAAAAAAAGCAATCAACGAGCTCGCTGAATATCCAGCTCGCTTGTAATCCGTGGTTCGATGTGACTAAGCTTCGCCAATCTATTATTAGAGATTCTATTGGTAATATTAAAGCAACGAGAGATAAATTTGAGCAGCTTTCTAAAAGTAATAATTTGCTAAATATAAATATGTAGATTAATTAATCTAATTTAACTGTTGGCCCGAAAGTTGCCCGATAGAATTGAAAGATAACTGAAAGACGAACGAAGATCATAAATATTGAGCATCTTCTCCGTGACAAGGATTAACGCTAATGGTGACGAGTGACAGCAATCGCTTCACCGATATATTGGCTGAAAATAAAAAATTAGACAATAATTAGATAAAAAAAACATTATTATTAAAATAGAGATATTTCTTATTCCCTTTTTAAATCTATGTTAGGCACCTTCAGTAATCCAAATGGATGTTTGAACCAAATCTTTGAATGAATGAATTTAAGGCATATCACCTTATAAAGTAAAATTTTAGATGAACAATACCCGATAAGACGAAACGTTGATTTTTACAATTCGCATGACAATTTGATTTTGAGTAATTCGACGACTAATGGATATCAAGAAACACGCAATGGAAGTGAAGTTAGAATAATTCGAAAAATTTATTGAAGGCGGAAATTATTTAAATTAGTGACTTTATCACAAATTAATAGTTTAGGACCATTTCTCTGAAGTAACTTCAATTATTTCGAATAGCAGAGAAGATTCGCAAGATTCGCAAAAATTGACATTAGTACGAAATCAAAGCACTACTGAGAACTGCTTCACAGCCGAACAACAACTGTTCTTATTTCTTCTGAAAAAAAACGTGGAATTTGTCGAAGGTAAGGTTATTTTAACTGAATGTAGCTTATATTGAAATGAACATCCCGTATGTCTGGTCCCTGTTATGCAATTACACAGTTACATTTAACCTAGCCTTACTGGCAAATTACTTTTGCGAAAGAGGAAAAATTATTTGATGGAGATATTCTATTCCGGACATATTTTTTAGGTCAGTAAGAAGATGAGTAGAAGAATAATTGAACAAAAATTCAGGACTAGGAGTGAATATTCCAAACAACGTGAAAGAATTGCTTCAAACACTACCACAAACTAATATTCACGGAAAGTTGGAACCTGAACTATATCAAGATCCTTCATCACTAATCAGTAGAAATGCAGTTGAGCATTCGGAAAGGACCAAACATTACGTAATGAATTTCTGTTTTCATTTAAAGCACTTACTATTTGTGGTTTGGCTAATCTACTTATTGCTGGCATGGATCCCTTCCAAAAAAGAGCCATTTGGAAGATAAAGCATGGAAGAAAATAGGAAGGTGAACCAGTAAACCTCTGACTCTGATTACACGTCTAGAATTAATATTTGATCATCAAAAACATGTTTTTGAAAAAGGTTCAAACAAATTTCTATAGTATCGAACGTCGCTTAATACTGGTAATCTTACTTCAGAACTTCACATTTAGGATTTAGTTATATTATTAACTGAAGAAGTGCCCACTCCAATATGAAATAGCCAATCTAGTGAATAAACAACAAGAAATAAATTACAAATATAGCAATATAGTAGTATCGTGCAACAGGAATTTAAACTCGATGCAGAGACGAAGAAAAAAAGCTTGAAAAGTATACACATTTGGCACACAATTTGAAAATGGAAGTCAAAATTGGAATTTACTATCCCAAATATAATTTTGAATATAAATTCGAATAACGACCATTTTCACTCGTGTTTAAATATAATAAATTTGAGATGGATGCAGAGAAAGCAAGCCGCTCGTTGATTAACGCAAAAGCTCGAAAGCTAAGAGTCATGAAAATGGACTTCGACGAGTAAGAGAAGACTTCGGTTTACTTGATTTGGATGAAATATTGCATGGATGAAAGGAGGGATGAATTAACTAAAAATAAATGTAAATGCAATGCGCATTATTTATTTTTTAAAGAATAATCACCGCAAATAATCTATAAAACAATCGCACAGAGATTTTACATTTTGAAATATTTTCTACAAGAAAGCGAATTCTTCTAAACAAAGATAAGATAATAAAGGAATCCCTTTCAAAAATATTCAGCGATTTCTTGTGTTTTCAACCAGTGAGCAGATGATAAACCAATGTTTGAATTCACCTCAACTCCAAACGAATAGAAATCATTTCCCTTAAATTATAAATAAAAATCATCATTTGTTATTCATGAACACTTGAAACAAACAAATTTCCGTGGAAAAAATAAATTGTCAAAAATAGCAAAAAACTCCGTAAATATGATTAAAAGAAAAATGGCGAAAAATAGAAAACAAGAAATATTAAAAAAATAAAATCGCGAAAAAACAACCTCAAAGCCAATTTCATTTAATGCCTGGCAAAGTGCATCTTTATCCATTTTCAACACTCGCAGTAAATAATGAAATGGTAATTTAACATTTCGGCACTTATATGCTATAGAACAAGCTAAAAGCGCCGAAAATCGCATAAAAGACGCATGAAAAAGCATTGAACATCTGAAAAACTTAAATGCAATGATTCAAAAACTAAATTTGAAATTTAATGATAATGTTTAGTGATGAAGAAAACAATTTTCAAATGAAAAACAAATGAAAAACGACTAATTTTGATTTTGAAAAAAAAAATCAAAATCAGATCAGCAAATTGTAAAAAAAATTTGATTTGATGGACCTCAAAATAAGATCATTTTGCTTCGAAATCAATCGAAAAAATCGAACAAAATTTTTCGTTCGCATGGAAATAATTGCTTCCTCAGCGAATTTAAGACTATCGATAGACAAAAAAGATTTCCATCTTTTCAATTGCAATAAGGACCATGGCTCCAGTGCATTTACAAAAAGGTAACATTGTAATATCTAAAAAATGAGAGATAAAGCAGATTAAATTTTTAAAAACAATACAAATGTGTTAAAACTTCCTCATAGGAATACGATTTATTTTTATAGAAGAGAAAAGAAATGTACATTCGGAAATTTTCAAGAGGGTGAATAAGTGGAGTTCTACTAAATTTATTTTTAAAAATGGAAAAATTTTGCAAAAAAAGTCACAGAATAAAAAATAGTTTTTTCAATTCTCATTTTATTATTTACAATTTTATTATTCATTGAAATCTTACTCGTTCATTTTCTAACTTCAAATGTTCGAAAAGTTCTCTCCAATCAGCAAGGCAATCATATAATTGCATTCGGTGCAATTTGCGGTCGTACGTAGCACATCTATCTATTCCAATTTCACACCTTAGTGACGAAATAAATTAGACAAACACTATTTATTTTTATAAATTCCATAGAAAAATAATACAGAATTTCATGTTTTAGGGAGAAATTTGATTACTATGGTGTAATAATTTTTAAAAACCTGTAGAATGCTTTTATATAGAAGATAATAATAGATTCCAGCAACTGCAGGCTTTCCATGGGATTCAAACGCTGTACTGTCATATCTTGTCGAACAGCACGCAAACGATCAGTAATAAAACCATATGCTAATGACCAATTATCATTCGACTTTAAATTATTCGCAATTCTAAAAAAACAACTATAATCTCAGTACCAAAGAACACAAAAGATAAAAAATGAATTAATATGAAATAATCCATTTTTTAATTAAAATAGGAAAATCTCAAATTTGAACCAAAATCAATTTATAAAATTGGCTTGTCGATAAATTGCGAATATTTAAACTTGAATTAAAAGCTTTTCAAATAGAACAGCCGAGAATTGACAAAAAACCTCATACTTCATAAGATGAAAAACAGTTTTCTCCAAAACTGAAAATGGTCTTAAAACTTGAAAATTTAAAATTTCTTTTCCTGCTGCTGAACGCGTATATTCTTTAACCATAAAATGAGAATCGTCCGGCTTTTTCGCATTTTCAAGCGATTCTTCATCGTTTTCATTCCAACTATAAATATGATTTCAAAATATTTCTTAAAAAATAAAATTTAAAAACCACTAAAACTAAGAAAAATGATTTCCTGTAAAATATTGAGGAAAAACGAATAATTTAATTCGATTATATTTTGAATCCACCGAAAGACAAAAAAACTTTACATTTCATGCCAATTTATTTGACAATCAATCAATTTATTATAATAAAAAATTTTTCACCTAAAAAACACCTAAAAAATTTTTCTAATAAATAAAATTTAAACTATAAAATATGGGATAGAATGGCCCAGTGGGTTGTTGTTCAAATGGGAGCAGCGGTGCTGAGCAGACGTAAACCTGTACAAAAATCAGGGTGATGCTGGCGACTCACCTATATTTTTATCACCAAGGGACTCCATGACATATTGCTCACACAACAAACCAGTGGAGAAAGTTTAACTTGCAGCGGTGAGGATTCTCAAAAAAAACTTGAAATATACAACTATATCTACACAAAAAAAAGAAAGTGCATATTGAGGCCACAAATTGAATTGAGGTTCATAAAGTACAATTGCTCTTCAAGTTTTATATTGCTTCATTAAAATCTATTCTATCCATATTCCACATAATATTTGTATACTCATCCCATCAAAACGCTTGAAACCAGACCTCACATTGGTAAAAGCCAGAAGTCCGTGTAAGGTTTCTAACAAGTGAACAAGACCATTTTTACGACGAAAAATAACTTCTGATTGCGGACACATCGACAAACAATACGCCTTATTCGACATTGCTTACATCCTTCCTATAATTGTGGTACATAATTAAGCACCACTGCCTATCAGTAATAAGAAATTTAAGGCAAAATGGTCGAGTAGAAATTGCTCACTTCGTCTCTTCCATTAAAATTCAGGAACTCAGGTCTGCGAAAAACAAATCTGCCACAAAAATCCAAACAGCGTCAAGGATTTGCCGTACTTCTAAATAATCTCTTTAACAAAAATCTCTAATATAATAATAAGCAGATGGTAAATTTAACTATAAATAATGCTAATCACTTACTTTTTATTTATTATTTTATAATAAAATAGATGAAAATCTGTAGACTTGAATACAAATTAAAATATCATTAAGCCTCTGATTTCCAAATACGATTAAAGAAATTTTTAATTTTTTAAATTATATTATAAAATTATATTACGAACAAAAATTATATTATAAAATTAAAATACAATAAATATATCTCTGCAAGGAACATAGACAATAAATTACGAATAAAATTTTAAAAAAGCCTTTATATGAACATATCATCCAAAAATTCATCAAGGTCGTCGTCAACAGCTTTTTCACAATCTACTTCTTCTTGAGGCCTAATCCAAATTTCCATCATTTTTCTTGATTCTTCTTTTAATTTCTCAGTTTCTGTGTCAAGTTGTGAAGGCTCATTCTTTTCTGCTTTCAATATTTCTGACTCTTCAATCGTTGGTATATTTTGAGAAGATACAGTTTGCACTTCCCTGATAAACAATTAATAGTTATAAAATAAATAAAATAAATTTCTGTGAAAATCAATTTAAAATATTTTACAACAAATCTTCAAAAAAAATCCACAAAATGGAAATTAACTTTTTAATGGGTTTATGAATATTTTTTCTTTTCTTTTCAAAACGCCGCCTTTTGCTGTGAAAATTCAATTTTGTCGAACATTGGGGACATAAACGAAGCTTGACCAAAGCATTCTTTCTTTCAGCATTTTCAATATAAGCAAAATTGACCTGAAATGAATTTATCTTTTAAAATCCACTTCTAGTTCTACAAGTGATTCTCTGTCGAAAAGATTTTATAATTTCAGCAGACAGATGAGTCAGCCAAACCAGAAATAGTGATACTGAATCAATATTAAACATCAAACCTTCCATTTTCTTCTACATATGGATACTCTAATGGATATTCTAATAATAATAAATAACAATGATAACAAATAATAAATAATAATTATTATTAATAAATAATAATAATTAATAACAATCAATAATTAATAATAATAATATTATAATAATATATTACTATTAATTATTACTGTATTATTATTACTTTATTTACCATTAATATTACACAAACTTGACAATAATTTTTTGAAGATTATCTCATAAACTAACAAATATAATTTACCCACTTCCCAACTAGTCAAATCATTTCTGCAAGAACATCGCTTATCTCCGCATTCAAACTGTCCTTTGCCTGACCTCACTTCTTGTTCAGTACGCCAGCGCATAGCAATTCTATATGATAACAACGATGAAAACAAAATAAATTTTAAATACTTGAAAAATAAAAATGAAATATTATATCGAAAATATTTTTAAAAAGCCAAATAATCTTTATTCAAAAAAAAAGTATTGCTAAATCTCAATTCATAATACCAATAATTTAGATCTATATATATATATATATATATATACAAAGTAAGCGATGGCGCTGAGGATCTAACACCGAATATCTTTATTTCGCTATAATAATATAATGAATCATACCTGTTTTTTCTATATTGCGTAAGATCAGCAATACAATATTCCTTGAATAATTTATCATAATACCGCTTAGCAAGGCGAAATTCCCACGATTTTTCAGCAGCTCGATTGAGCTGAAAAATAAATTTTAAATTTTTTCTTTGAAAATCTAAAGAAATTTCGAATGAAAAACTCTTTAAAATAAATAATGGAATACTTCTTCTTCATTCCACAGAAATCTGTGATTCTTTCTGAGAAAATCATAATCAGTAAGATCTTTCGATGTGTCTCGAACCATTTTCGATGTTGATCCTGGATAATACAAATAGTACTGATTTATTAATTCTTTGTGACGAGAATAAACATCCATCGTCATCAAACGACGTTTCTGCCTTAAATCATAAGTCATAATAATTTTAATAAAACTTCATTAGTTTCAAAATATATTTTTCGAAAGAGCAAATGAAATTATTTTATTATTAAACTATTATAAAAAAATTTTCTGAAAAATTTCACCTCTCCATAAGTGAATGCTCTTCATCAAATATATCTTTGGCTTTTGATGTGCCAGCAACTCCTCGACCCAAACGTGGTTTCTTGAATAGTTCGTCATCTTTTAATTTTTTACGCTTTCGCTTCTCATCATCGGTGCCATAGTCAAAATCAGATTCAAAATCTTCCAACTCATTATATCTTTTCATTAATCTAAATTTTTATACAAATTTTTATACTTTTTTATAAATAAAACAGACAATCACTTCACTGCTTAAAAAAAATGAAATACATACAATAACGAATAAAATCTTCCATTCAGATTACAATTTCGAAAATTTTGAAAAAATATAACAATAAAATGGCATTTTTGATAATTACCTCCGAAATATAAATTTAAAAGATTAAAATATTTCATAAAATTTTGAAGGAAAAAACTTTAAAACCAAACAATAAAAAATCCATTAAGAGATCTCTAAAATTTGCGAAGAATATTGATATTTTCTGATGGAGAATTTTATAGGAAGACAATTCCTCTGAAAATTTCTATTCCACTAAATAGTTAGAAAATTTCTATTCAACTAAATAAAAAATGAAATTGGAAAAAAAACGACTTATTAAATGAACAATAATAGATTCATCTATGGCTAACACAAGACTAAGACAATTAAATCAAAGATAAACAAAATAGATTTCCAGATATTAGACAAACATAAAATTTAATCAAAAACAGATATCAAACAAGATAAAATTTAATCAGTTATATAGCCTTTAATAAGCGGTATTCCTACTGGAACTTTTTTCTGATATTCAATATATTGTTCACCGAAAAATTTAATTAAAAATCGTTCTTCCCAGTAAATCCGTTCATCAAAAAATTTCCATCCGATAAACGAAAATGCAATAAGACATAATGGATTGCACACCACAATTTGAGTGCCGATACACCAAATTAACCAACCAAGATAACCAGGATGACGCATAAATGAATATATACCATTTGTAACTAGTTCATGATTAGGACGTCGTTCGATTGCAATTAAATGAGTAAAACCACCTTGTGCGTGCAACATTGCCAATTTTCGGACCGTATCACCGATTATAACCAAAATAAGACCAATATAACTAATAAGATTTAGTTTTATCATAGGTATTAAATAGCATTCGATGCCATATTCAATACAACTAGCGCCTTGAGCAAACCAGTATGCTTTTGAATGATCCAAAAGATATGAAGATGAATTTAAATCATGCCGATTGGCGATTGCTGTCACCAAAAATTCACCATAATGAAAAAAAGAAACTGCAGCAATATACATCGAAAGAAGAGCAATTTGAAGATTTTCAGTTGTTATAACGATCATGAATGCATTTGTAAATATACCTCCAAGTAAAGCAGCTTGAGCTGATATCCATCGTTGCTGCCAATTATGAGAGCACACTGATAAAATTACTGATAATAATAAAGTTATCAGAGTCGACAGATAACGGCGTTCGACAATAAATACTAAGCAATTATTAACAGCCGAAAAAATGAATGATAGCGTCGAAGATCGGACTTCGACATCATACAAAACTTTAATGAAAAATTTACGAATTTCTGCCATCATCAACTGAAAACATTTGAATCTTTGATGAGAAATCTTCGCCAGCGAATAGAAGTATAAACTCCCACAACAGCCACTCAATTACGTTTGATTTGACCACTGAAATAGTGAACACCGAGCAAATGCCCCTTCCTCTTAGTCAAAGTAAAATAGAATTCAACTGCGAAGCCTCAGAAATCTCAACAATCATCAAATCACTGCTGAAGAAAATTCGGAAGATTCAGCCCACTTGTATATTAGTCTAAATATATGTTTTCAACCTGAAATTTCAAAAAATTTCTCAATTTAAATCAATCTAAAATATTGTATAAAATATGTATAATTATCGAAACTTTTTCATTCAGAAATAATTAATTTAATTAATAAAATAATTAATTTAAATAACAAACTTGAATTTTTGAGATTCAAAATACTACCAAAATTTTATTGAAATATTAAAATATTAATAAAAATTCATATCAAAAAAGCAAAAAAATTCATATAAATAATTATATTTGAATGACAAAATCAATAATAAATAAGTGTTTTAACTTTTTATTAATTTTAAAATCGAAATTATAGTTTATTTAGAAAATTATCATAAAAAATAGAAATTAAAAGAAGCGGCGAAAATTGGTAAATTTGGCGTTTAAAATGGAAATTATTTGAAATTTCAAAGTTAATCCATTCATTGGACGCATAAAAATTTTCAATAAAAATTTGAAGAATTCCTCTGCCGCTTCAACAAACGATTTCAGAACGTTTAAAAACATAAAATCAGGAAAGGAAAAAAAGTGGAAATGTGATTGGCAAAGTTTGAATCTCCAATTACTATCTCGCAGACGGAGGGGTGCTTCGGTTTGCAGATTGTACTGCCGCACTCAGTTCGCGGAAAGTTCATTGTCCCTCCCGCGCATTAAAAACCAGAGATTTAAAAGTCTCCAGTACTTTGTCAGTGACTTGTTGCCTTCCAGTAGCTGTCATCATTACTGGTCAGGCTGATTCCGCTACAAGACACCTGCAAAGCACGTTTAAGGCCATGGGCTTAACTGCATCTTTGTATCAGCCCAGGTCCTCGTCCTCTTCACTTTTGATGACATCTATCACGGGACTTAGTGAGGAAAAAAAATCGATGAGTGGCGAAGAGCATAACCATATGGTATCCGAGTGCGAAGGTGAATGCGGTGAGGTTTTACCCAGTGGGCACACAGGATATAGACAGAATACCTTGGACAGGAATTACGAATGATAGATATCTCAATATTTTTCACTGTCATTGACCATGTCTCACGGCTATATAATAGAATAATGCGCATTCTAGCCATACGCTCTCGTTTTAATAGTAATTTGGGAGCGGTAGCCAGATGAAAGAATGTATTTTTCATTGCGGCTGTCCGAGTCGCGATATCGCTTTTTACTTGGCCATTAGAATAGACCCAATATATTTAAAGCTTACCACTTTCTCAACCCATGATGAATCAATAATAATAGGTAATAGGTATTTTATAAGACTTTCGATCCGGATTTTGCTGCATTGCATCTTCCGCATTCCTTCATAATTGCCAGCAAAGGACGTTGTATTCAAGATCAGTGACATTATTGCTCTGGGTTTATTGATTTAAACAGTCAGTAACAAAATATAAAATAAGAAGTTGTCGACGAAGCTTGTCATTTCTAATAGTAATATTTTTATTCTTCGTTCTTCGTTCTTTAAAGAAATATTTTTTTAAACAACGTAAATAAAGTCCTGCAAAATTATAAATTTTTTTTGTAATACATTTGACAAAAACCGACGAGGTTTGTAATTTTATAAGAAAAATTCGTAAAAGCAAATATAATTTAAGATGATCATCAGTTTACATAATGTAGCCTTAGCAACAATAATGAAAAATTACAAAATAGTTTTATATAATATCAAAGAAAAGCACACATTCGTTCCAAGTAAAAAGGACTGAAAGCACTCAGATATATCAATTCCTTCTTTCCTCTTTCACTTCGTCCTGAAATGAAAAGTTTCTACTAGGATTTGCAAAACGGCCAATAACTGACGATTCTCTATGCCGGTTATCCATTATTCGATAATCTCTCTTCATATTTAGAGAAAAGGAGCGAAAAATTCAGCGAAAAAACTGATGGAAAATTAGGAAAATTAGCAAGGAATCAAAAAATTCTGGAGTCAAAATTATTTTTAAACAATTATATAGATCATACCAGTGAAATATACAAAAAATACCCTTTTCAGTGACAATCCATCGCTTGCTTTTGTAGTATTCATAGATAGAATTCGCTTCAGCGACCGTGTAGAGTTTAGTTTCTATTGGTATAAAAGGCTCGATTGAATCAATACCCTACAAAGAAATAGTTCACACCATATAGCCTGACCATAATTTCCTTGACTGTTTCTTAGTGGCTTTCAATCATATTAAATGATTTTTAATTTTTAATGATTTATATTTGTTTTTAATTGAACTAAATTATTATTTACGACGCTAAAACAACAATGAAACAATGGCTAAGCTGTTTTTTATTTATATTTGCAATAATTTCTGTACTAAAATACGCTAAACTTGAAAAAACAAGGTATACCTCTTCGCCGAAGAGTTCGAGTGGAGTGATAAGTGGTACTGTTTCTTCATCTCTTGGGTTACTAAATTCTTTTTTATCAGCAACCATAATGCAACATCCATTAGTCTGGAAAATAACGAAATTTAGAGATTGTAAAGAAGTTGCTTAATTTATCTCAAATTATCTTAATTTGAATTATCCCTTAGGCAAGTAATCTTGAAATCATACCTCAGTATAGATTTCTAGAAGCAAAAATATGGAAAAATTGTTATAATTTTTGAAGCAGGAAGCTAAGAAGAAAAATTGCAAAAAAAAAGAAAACCATACCCAATCGTTACTGAGCAATTTCTTCATACAATGAACCAGTGTTAAATCCGCTGTATTCACGAATTTCCGATCAGATCGCCTTACCGTTGTCCTCCCAAAGAGTGAATTAGCTGCATCAATCGCAACTAGGAATCTAATTTTTCCAGAGCTACTGTATCTTTTCAACTCTTTGAGAAGTGCACCAACACAGTCTGATGCAGCATATGGCATTGATATTCCCTAGAAATTATAGAAAAAGAAATTATAGAAAAAAAGGAGAAAAAAGAAATAAATGAAAGTTAAATGAAAGTCCACCATATCCACAATATCAGTAATTGGTCGACCACTCTCGGTTTTATCAATGCGAGACCACACGTAATCTTTTTCTGTTACCAATTCCTGAAACATAGAAACATTTTATAATGAATTTATTTTAAATAATTTTTCTAAATAAAAAAATTCTTGACCAAAAAAACTGGAAAATTTCTTAGGATTAGTAAAAAAAATCAAAAAATTTTACCATAGTAACTTACTGACAATTTTTCCCATAAATGAGCATTGTTAAGTTTAAAATTTTCTAGCAATTCTTTTCCTAGAGCTGGACAATCCACTCTTCCAACATGATGAGATGACATTTGAATGTCCAGTGTACAACGAGTTATTCTCATTGCTAAAATCAAAAACATCAAAACAAAGCACAAAGAGAAATGAATGCCCAGAAATAGTCTCTTTCCTAAGAATTACAATAACATTGTTTATATTTTAAAATTAAAATTAAAGGACTTCAAGCTTTCAAATTTTCTTACCATCAGGAACAACAAATATAACCCAATTCTGTGTAAAGGCGTAATGAACGGCTTGATGCAATGTGATCGTTTTACCAGTACCAAATTTCCCCCAAAGTACAATACGGAGACTTGGAAATGTGGGGCGTACAGCCTGCAAAAATTTAACACGTGACATTAATTTAACATTACAATTAATAGCAAAAGTCATAATCGAAAAATGAAACCGAAATACCTGTAAACAAGTGATGACATCCCAAAGCGATTCTCTGTACATCCAAAGACATTCGTTTAATGTTTCTATTTGTTTCTTATAGGGAGATGGAAGGACTTTTCTATAATTTAATTCCTCAACATCCTTCATAGGCACTTCGTAAAGATGGCCCAAATCTTGTACTGATAAAAAAGCCTGAAAATATTGTGCATCAATGCTGAAAAATAGCATAATCAGAAAACGTTAGAAATAAATAAATCTTAAATATTTTTTAATTCAATAACTGGCCATAATTTATAGTTCTCTCGATAATCGTTCTACAAAATATATGAAGATTACTTTAAAACCGCTATTTTGACAAAACGAATTTTTATCAGAGGAGATTTTATGGTCAATATCACAATATACTGATATAGTTGCTTGAATCCATTAATCAAAAATGAGAACTAGCAGATAATTTCAAAAAGAAACATTTGCAGATAAAAGAACAAAACTAACTGGATCATCGCAAGAAGTTCGATATTTTCTCAACTGTGAGGTCAAAATTGTCAAAATATCTGAATTATGCATCATAAAAACAACCAAAGAAAAATGTGTTGAAAAAACCAGCAAATAAATTATTTTAATTATTTTAACTTATTTCAAATAAGCATTTTGAATAAGTATAATGCATAAAAAATTAAAATTAAAATTTTAGCAAAAATTTTTTAAAAGTAAATAACGCTAAAAAAATTAGCAAAAAATCAGCCAACCGATTTCTTCCATGAGCGAGCATTATTTCTAATTTGGCTAGCCTACTTGACTAGTAAAGTTGCCTCTTAGTGATAGATATACAGAAAGCTACCCGACATTCCCAAATAATTCACTCAACAACAAATCGAGAAAATGGAATTAAGACTTTTTCTTCAACAGACTGATCAGTTCAATTTGAAAAACAAACTTACTAAATGATGATGGGCGAAAACTGGGCAATAATTTTGAAAAAAGTTGCATTAATTTTTCTTTTTATAAAATCATATGAACTAATATTGAACGATTCGCAAAAAGAAAGCCTAAAATGATTAGATAATATTCTTCGTAAAATAGAAACAAATACGAAGCAAATCACTAAATCAGCTTTATTATTCAATAAGATTTATTTATATTTTGTACCAAGAAAAAGATCCTACGGTCGAAAAGAATGTTTTCATTTGTAACATCTCTAACATTCCTTGAAACCTATTATGATCTCTGAACCACCCTTCGAGCCTTGATGCTCCATTTTCACATTCACTAAATCCCTATAATTCTTCACGATTATCCTCCTGTAATATCCCTTTGGTACTCCATTTATTGATGCTAACATTGCAATTCTATAAGCTTTAGCTATGACCATGGCAAAAATGCGCTGAGATGTTTGAACAGATTGATAGCATTAAATAGCAATGTTTAGGAAAGGGACTAGAACCTGGGTTTCAAACGATTAAGTGGGAGAAACGTTTAAAATGGACTGGAAAAATACAGTACAGTGGTGTATTACCACTGCTTTAAGATATAAGATATATATTTAACGACATTTATGGGATTTATGGGACGTCTTAATAAAACAGCGAGATTTTGCGATTATGTGACCAAGTTTCAGAGTTAATCTTTATTATCAACAAAATACCACAGAAAGAACTGGAGAAGCTTACATGGGACAAAGAAGCAAATATTGCTACTTTGTTTTAACAAAAGAATATGGTATATTGTGAGAGAGTTAAAGGTGATCAAGGGAATTTTGGGCTAATGTATGATAGTTCCTCAAGAACTTGCGAAGGAGGTATAATGGTGCTAAAAGAATTAATGTAGTATAAAACTCCTTAACATTATCGATGAGATATGCCAAAAACATAGTAAGATTTGAAGAATCATTGGGCTGTCCTGATGTGTTAACGGATTCCAAAGTGAGGGAATCATGTTGGGAATCATTTAAAGGATACAAAAGGTTATGCAGCCCAAAGGAAGCTGCTAAAGAGTTGGAAGAAAAGTGGAACTTTGAGAGTGGAAGGGATTCTTCAGAATAATCGGAATTTGTACGTGGAGGACAATGCATGAAAAATTTCAATGAATTAGCCAAATTTTGGAGGGAATAAACATTTTCTTTCCTGCATACAGCAGATTCAGCATATTTTCTTTCTCCTAAGAGCTCACCATTTCTGGTTAGAGTCGCTCCGTTGATTTGCCAGATCAGTCAACTTTGTGAAGTCACTTGGCGACATAAGTGTCGTCCCATTTTTAAAAAACAAGAATCTTTCCCCTACCGGAAGCAAAATCCCGACATACACACCGCAAGATGATTATCCAAAACAAATCGAGAAAAGCAACAACCCACTGGATTACTTCTGTCTACCCAATATACTAATAAATTAACGCAGAATATTAAGAAATATTCAAATAATTATCCAAATTATATAATAAGCAGAACAATAATAAGCAGGCATAATCTAATTTTTATTTGAAATAAATCAGTAGTATCATTTTAAATTTGTTATTTCAAAGCTCATTTTTTTCAATTTTAAATGAAAATGAAAAATGTACTTAAAATAGAATTCACTCAATGAATAACGTAAACGTAAAAAATAAATAACGTAATAAATAAAGAAAAATTTTTTAAGTATTAAATTTTAGTATTAAAGTATTAAATTTTTAAAAAAAAACTAATTATCAAATAAATGAAAATAAAGAATGAAATAAAATCAAAACATAACAATGAATAAAAGAATCTCATTTTTTTTAAACAATTATGATTCAAGCAAAAATTCATAAAATAGACAAATTTTGTCCATAATAATATAGCATACATATAACAACTAATTTCACGACAATTTTATAAAAAAAATTATTGGTGCCTTAGTTCTCTTATAATAGAAATTATATAATTATTCTATCACGACCGAATGTGCATGAAATATTAAAATGAATAATATTAGATATTAGATAAATAAAACACTGAATAAAAAATATTTAATAAAAATAATAATAAAAAAATATTTGAGCAATTATCACGAAGGTGATTCCGCTGTTGAATCCACAATATAACCAATATCATCGCTATTCCGATATTCGGCGATATCTAATGCAACAACACAACTTTCTCTAACAACATGCTGAAATTTTTTTTTAAATACATAAATCAGTGAGTAAAAATCATTTTTAATGTTGAAACGAATTGAGGAAAATTGCAACTAATTTACAATTAAATAATTTAATAGAAAAACAATTTAGCTCTTAAAAGAAATAGGAAAATGATTCCATCTTATTAACTTTAACTGCAACATTTTGTAAAAAGAAGGGAAATTTTTTAATCATTATTAGAGAAAAATGAGAATTCTAAAATTTGATTCAATACTGACAAAAATAACCTCTTTATCACAGAGAAATTTCGTCAACAGCGCTTCACAGTCAGGAGAACCAATCGAACCCAATGCTTCCGCACATTCATGGCGTACCATTGGATTCTCATCAATATTTTCCAAACCTAATCGCAATTGTTCGAATGCAACATTGGACGCTACTTGTCCTAATGCATAAGCAACCTCATGTCGAAACAATGCGCTATCTTTGCACTGCAGCCCTAAAATGTTGGAAATTAATCAACAATGGATGAAAAATGAATAAATTTGGGTAAAAAGAAATTTGTGACAAATTTGGAAATTAAATTAAATTTTATTGATTTCTTCACGCAAATTATCATCTTTTTTATTATGCAGAAATAATTTACGATCGGAAGAAAAGCTTTCATTACACTATTATACACTATTTTACCTTTAGCCAAAGTTGCAATAGATTTATCAGTATTAATATTTCGTAGCGCAAACATGGCCCTATATCGTTCCCATAGCGATTTGGTTGGATTCAAAAGCAATTGCCCCAACAATTCAACATCATTTTCTTCGGCAGCAGGTGCTGGGTCTGCATAATGATTTCAAATAATAAGTAATAATATTAATAATATTATTATTAATATTATCAATAATATAAATAAATAATATTTTTTATAAATAAAATCTTAATAGCGCTTTCAACTAAATGATGAGCAATTCAAATTCAAAATTTAAATTCAAATATATCCTGATTTCGCACCATTTGCAATCAATTTAACAAATGATTAAAGTAACAAAAATTTATAAACATATAAACCATGAAGAAAAATCTTACCAATTGAATTATAAGGGCTCCTGTCAATGAAATCTTTTCCTATTGCTTTCTGTTCAAGCCGCCATTCAATTCTTTTCAGTGCTAGCTGACATGTCTCCAACAATTCTTGTTGCTTATCATACGCGTATTTCTGCAATATAGCGACAGAAGACTCATCGCCTATAGCTCCCAAAGCTTCAGCGGCCTCGTGACGAACGATTATTTCTAAATTAACGAAATTATTAACTCATATAATAAACAGATGAATTAAGTAAGCCTAAAAAAAATTTTTTGAAAATTCATGTAAAAATGACAATCTATTCGAGTAAATTATATATATTAATTAAATTATATATTATATAACGAATCAATAAATAAAAAATACAACTGTGGAAAGCGGCAATCGAAAAATTTTAGCTCCATTTTTTCATGAAATCATTTGGGTTGTTTCCATATGGATTAATGATATACCAAAAAGTTTTCTTGCTAACCATATTTTTGCTAATCTTCACAGAATATAAACTGCCATCGCGATGCCACTCATAAAAAAATACAAATATAAAAATATAAAAAATATACCTTGGTTTTCATCCTGTAAAACTGTTTTAAGGATAGGCAATGCGGTTAAATTATTCGTTTGGCCAAGGCAATAGGCTACTTCATGTTTTAATAAAGCTGATGTATCATCAAAACATTTCGCCATCCAGTGGACAGCTCGATCATCTGCGAGATTTCTTAGAACAAACAGAGCTCGATAACGCTCCACAAGATTTGCACTGGAAAGATGTCACTTGAAGTTAAAGCAGTGAAATAATAATTTATTTAAAGAATAGATAATTAATTAATTAAATAAAACAAAATAATATGAATAATATAATATATAAGTAAAAACATCTACAGAAATCTTGGTTTTTTTCGACTAATTTACTCTAAAAAAAAAATTAAACCGACAAAACATTAAGAATGCGAACATAAAATAACTTTAATTAATAAACTTAAAAATTAATAAACTTAATTTATTTGAAATTCATTTAATTTATGAGAACCAAGCAGAATAAAACAGAATATGAGAAAAAAGTGAATGAATTAAAATGAAAAAAATCATTTTTGGCATCAACAATATTAGCAAAACTAGAAATAAACAGCGAATACCACTCCAAATAAGGTCAATGATAACCGTATTAAGGCCAATTTTTGAGGAACACAAAAATTTTTTGAAAATTCATGTAAAAATTCATGCATTCGAACAAATCTGCCACATTCTGACTTTCTAACAATTTGTAATGCAAATCAAAATTTTTCACTAATTAATAAATCAAATCTGAAAAAAAATTAATTATACTAATATTAATAAATTTATTAAGGAAATCAAAGTATTTAGCGTTGATGTGTTAAAAAAAAACTTGCTGACAGATAATTTAATCTGCCCTTTCTGAAGCCATTTAAGTATGTTATTCGAACCATCTCAACAACTACCTTTTAGCTCAAATTAGTTAAAGCAAAATCAGACATTAACATATTAAAATGCCTGGCAAAGAACCACTACACTGACTAGACAACGATCAATCATGAATCATGAAGATTACTTGGATAATATGAAATACTCGAATTTTTTCCCCATCGAATTTTAAATGGGAAGAAGCACTGCTGTTCTCCTTTTGTTTATTAATTAGATAATTAACTAATTTTCACCAATCTTTATACTTTTTTTTGTACCCTTACGTGTTTTTTGTTGTAAAAAGGTATTGTCAACTCAGAATTGACTAAGCTGTTCTTCTTAAAATCTCGTAATTTTTCTTTTCGTAATATTTAAATATTTAATACTCATGCAAATATTTAAATTTTTGACTTTGCTTACATTAGTTTATATAATTTAATTTGGCGCCTAAGAAAGACATCCTCCAATGCCTTCGTAACTTTCAAAATTTTATATCCATACCTGAATTCATTGGTCGATTTTCGAAAAATTAAAGCTTTCGGATTTTCATTTTCATTTACTTAGACTAAAAAGCTTTTTGAATCCTAAATAACTCACCAACCTTTTCCAAATTATTGCAATATCATCAGAACTACAAAATTTTTCTCAAAAGCAGATGATTGTGCTCTTTTTTGCAAGGTTATGTAGTGATTTTGATTCACCGAACAATTCATATTTTAGCAACAAGTAAATCAACTATATAAAATCTTTATATAAATATAAATATGGCTGTTGGTGAAACAGATGAGCTGTTACTTACGATTTTTTAAACTGAGTCTTCTGGACCAGGGGGAGGCAACGACGAATAAGTATAGGTAAGTGCTCTTGCTTGAAACTTCTAGAAATATTATTCCTATAGCGAACCGTGAGATCGAATGGAACTGTGAGAATAGGGGGAAAAATGTAGGAATGGAAAAAGGGAGATTTGTTTGGAATTACTACTTTGTCATCTTTCTATAGTTTTTTGAAAATAAAAACGATATATAGCGGAATAATTTAATGATGTTCCAGAACAACATAATTTGACATTTTGTATGGGAAATTTAATGAAATAAATAAATAAAGTTGCAAGCAAATTAATCTGGTCAAAATCAACAGCATTATTTCCCTTTAATGTTAAAAGTATTTTTTATAAGCGCAAGACGTAATGAATTTTTTCAATTTCCCAACTCGCTTAAACTCGCTTCGAAAAAGTGTTACAATGAAGATATTATGATTTATTATTAGCTTGGAGGTTCCATGATGAATTTAACAACTGTTTTCAAGAAATTCTTAGCATGAAAAACTCTAATCTAATCGGGTTTTAGATCCATTTTTAATTACTGAAGAACCAGAATTATCATTTTAAAAAAATGATAGAATAATCAAATAATCAAAAGCGAAAAAATAAATATCACCAATTTATTTCGAATTGAAAACTGCGAGGCAAAAAATTTTTTTATTCCATTTCCCTCGTCAGGATTATGCATATCTTTTTTTTAAATAAATTAAATTATTTTTGAAAGTTTTCTAAATTATATAAATTCTAATTTTGGGAATAATGCCAGAATTCAAAATGTCTTTGAAAAATTAAATATATAAGTGAAAAAAGAATGGATTGACCTCAATATTAACCCCAAAGATGATTGCATTTGTGTTGGAATTCCATACAGATCTATCGTGAAAACAACTATCTATCATCGAAAAAATAAAAAATCATTCATATCATTGTTGTAGAAATACTAGCCAATAAATATTGAGAATAGATAATATTCTTCAGTATATCTATTATATCAATAACCACATCAATTCTGAAAATTATCTATCCTTATGTACTAATATGCTCCAGAATAATCTGTGACTTGTAAAGTTCGGTATTTTAGCTTTTTTAAATAAAAAATATTCTTGTACTGTTTCAGTAAAAATCTAAGAATAGGTCTTGCGAAAGAAAAAAATCAATAGCAAAGTTAGTTATTTATATTTATTATTTATTTATTATTATTAATATTTATTATTTTATATTTTAAACCTCCGTCAAAGAATTTTAAATTTTATGAAATTAGCAACATTACATTTTTTTTTTTAATTAAAGGAATGAACTGCTCAAGCACGCTTGGTTAATATTATGGGTAAAATAGAAAATCGCTATTAATATTTTAGGAATGTGTGAATCAATCAAGTAATAATTAAAATTATGGGAGATAGAAGATTAGAAAATGTAAATAAACAGGGAAATAAATTATACTCAATCTCAAATAAATGTTTAAAAGTGGTTCCAAAAAAATTAAATGAATGAATATAATTGGTTCGAAAAAATATCAAGAATATTCGTAGAATTTTCATAAACATTAGAAATTTTCATAAACTCATAATAAAAAATAGCAGAAATTTAAAGACTACTAATATTCTTAAATATATAACAGTCTATTCAATTTATATTAATGAAGTCATCAGGCATAATAAAATGTTTTATTAATTTACATATTAATTAATATATTAGAAAAACTATAAATGTCAACAAATAAAAACAAAATTTTTAGTTAAAGACAAATGATTTAATATCAGAAGAGTAATGGCTATTCATAAGAGGGAAAGGAAATAATAGCTGGCCTACCATAGTTAACCTGTTTTTACTTATAACCAGTGAAACTTGACTCATTATAATGATTTTCATGTTAAAAAAAAGCTCAGTCCGCTCTAATTCTGACTGATTGAAAACCGATAAAAACCGTATGGTCACTTCAAAGAAAAGTTCTGCAATATTTCGATCATCAATATATATGCTCCAACTTTAAGCGCAGAGGAGTATGATCAAGATATATGGAACTTCAATTTCTAATTACATCTCAGACGAAAAGTGACATGGCCATAATCGAAGGAGAATGGAATGTACGCTCAGGTCATGATGCTACGATAAGCTCAATAATTGATAAATATGACATCGGGGTCCGATGTGATATTCGATAGAAAACGCCTTCTTCATTTCGCCGAACAGCTCTTTGTTAATATATGCTTCCGGCATCGGATAAGACATGACGTGGAACTCTACAGATAACCAATATTTCAATTAGATTGACTATATCTTAATCAGATGCCGTTGGAAGAGTTTCGTACCTGGTCGGGTGGCTGAAACTGATAGCCCACGAATCTGACCATGTCAAGATTCGAAAGATTAGCATAAAACACAATGCACAAGAAACAACGTCTCCAAAGATCTTTCAATTATCTCAAAACTAAAAGACTGGTGGATAGTGAGTGCGCTTCAAACCAAATTATTGAAATATTGAAGGACCTCGGCTCCAAAAATCAACCATTTTCACACTAAGATATGCTAGTAGGAAATGCACTAGCTGGGTATCGGAAGTAATTGTCCAACTGTCCGAAAAAGCCGTCCAAGCACGAATGTCAGGAGATTCTGACTATAGGATGCTTCAAAATATTACAATAACTGCAGCACGGCAGAACAGAATTGCTATTATATGTAGAAGGAAGATGACGGTTCGATTAAGCGATATTAGAGAACTATTATGCTTTTATCACAACTATAACTCGACGAACGATAATGAAGTGATAACAAACAATGGCGTGCCTGTTAAGAATATTAAGGATCGTTTCGTAAGATGAAAGGGATTCTTTAAGGCCAAATTTAACTACGATACGTCTATTGTCCTGAACATGGCTGACACGTTCGCCGAACCATACGTTTGCAATTGCGAACCGCCAAAGAAATAATCACCGTTATCTATAAACTTAAGCCAACAAGGCTCCAGGAGATGTTCTCCGGGCTGAACTCTTCAAATATTGTCCATCTCCATCGTCTTTCATAACGCACCTTCAACAACTACACTTTCTGGTATGGAAGAATGAAATATGAAGAATGAAAGAATAAAAAAATGATCGGAGCAAAGCAATTCTTCCAATTTCTAAGAAAGGTGACAGGAACTGTGACAATTATCGAGGAAGCAGCCTACTATACATTTCTGGGAAAATTTTTGCTTCCCTCCTGCTGAAAAGACTTTTGGCAGAACAAGACAGCAGGATAAGCCATAACCAAGCCGAAATCAGATCCGGTGTTCGACCAGGTATTCGCACTAGGAATGGCATTGGAACACAGCTTCAAATATCAGCAACCCAATTCACATTTTTTATTGATTTTGCAGCTGCTTTCGTTTCATTTGATAGAACGGCGCTTTGGAGGATGATGGAATGTGACACTTTTCCAGAGAAGATCATTCGACTCATAAAGGCATTTTATCAGTGTATATTAGCAGATATCTGTATATATTGGGGAACTGACGCACTTTCGAAATAAGAACTTATATTTATCAAGGCTGCGTCCTTTTCTCCAATAATATTCAACTGTGCGATAGACTGGGTAATGGACATTGCTTTTCGGCACTCAAAAGGCTTGCAAATCAGTGCAGAGCATCTTATCAGAGATCTTGAAAGTGCTGATAAGATTATTTCTTTTTGCTGACAATTATGATGAAACGCACTTTTTAATATTTACGAATATTACTTAAAATTATTTCTCTAAGTTTGCTTTTTTCTATGGACTTTTAAATAATTTTCTCTAAAACTATATTTATATTTTCGTCTATTTTATATTTCCATGACAAAAATAAAAAGAAAAGCAAACCTGGAATTGCACAATATATTTCCATACTTATCGACGTCCTCTTCCGTATTTTTCATTTTCCGCCAAAACCGCCAAATACAAAATGATTTAAACCTGAAGAAGGTTGCTTGACCGTGCACAGATCTATATTTAAATACGCGATGTGACCGCCGCACGCGTCATTTTCCACCATTTTCTTAGACTCCACCTATCTTGCTCAGTCTCTTTTTTCATGGTTCGAAGCTAATAATATTGTGTGGCGTGAAAACTGACTAGAGGGAAGCAATTTGTGTCGTATTGTTTTATCAACTTCTGGTGCAAAGGACGAAAGGAATAGCAGAGTCGAAACGTCAGTTCGGATTCATCTCGCTGCATTTGTCTTTTGTTTAGTGGGATTCTTAGCAGATCTAAGAATGGTATGTTAGCGGGTGCGCTCTAGTAGGCCGAGTTCCTTACGGGCTCATTTTCTTGGTTCCTTGGTTCATTTTCTTGGTGTTTGAGGTTGGTTGTTGTAGTTTTGTTTGATTTTTATACTTTGGTGTGTGTTTTGGCTGAGTTGAATCGTGCTCCTCTCGATTTTTCTCAGGGAATTGCTTGTGGGTTTAATGTTGAGTACTCTCGCGCTCCGTTTGTTTTTAGGGCATCCTTTTCTGTAGTATTTCTTAATTTTAGTGTGCTGATTGTATTTTTGTTTTTTCCTTTTGTTCCTTTTGTGGTTTTTGTTCGTAGTTCTTTTCCCGTTTTCGTTATGTTAAGGTGATGGGTTTCTTTTGGTTTTTTCTTACGCCTGTGAGTTTGTTTTTTGTTTTTGTTGCTTATAAGATGTTAGCTTAATTTAAAGGATTTTTGGCCTTTTGGTGCTCTTCACATTTTGTTTATCGTTTTAGCTTATTAGGTTGTATTTGTTTTAAGAATTAGGGTGATCTACAAATTTTGAAGCGTTTTCTAAACTGTTCTTGATTTATTGTCGTTTGTTATTGCTTTCATCTTTGTTGTTTTTCTTGTAAGATTGTTTTTTGTTCGGGAGTTGGGTGGTTTCTGTGAGTTTTTTAGTAGTTTGCGTGTCAGATTACATTTCTGGTGGGGGTGTTGGTGGGTATTTTGTTAAGTGTTTGTTGGTTTTGATTATGTTGGTGATAGCTTTTAGTTTTTATCATTGTTCGGGTTGTACTGAGGATGTGTGATGTAATATTGTTTTTAGTAGAAGTTTGTCTATGGTTAGTCTTTTAGTTTCGTTTTTGATTTGGTTTTGGTTCGTGTTCATGTTCACTGAAATTATTTCGGTTTAGTCTGCGAGTTAATAGTTTGTCTTGGTGGATTTTGCTTAGTGAAGTTCATCATCATGTTAGAACTCTTTTGGTTATGTTATTATGTTTATATGAATTTTTTGATTGGTCAAAGGGGTAAGTGGGCTTTATTAATAGTGCGTTTTGGTACTAGTTTTTTATTGTTTAATTTTATTTATTTTTTATTTTTTTAATGAGATGATGTGTTGTTTTATTTTTGTGATTTTATTGTATGAGGTATTTGTATTCTTATTATTTTGAGAGTGTTTCTTGGAACTTTGATGTATTTGCATAGATTATTTTCGTTGGTTGGGTTTAAAGTTTTTTTGTTTAGTTATAATTGATATATTGTTTAATATGAGAGGGCGAATCATAAGGATATTGGTTCTATGTGTTTAATTTTTAATTTTAATTTTTGGTTTCTGGTCTGGTATGTTTGATGCTGGTTTGTCTATTTTGATCCGTGCGGAGTTGTGTAAACCTGGTTTTTTTTGGTAGGGATCAGTTGCATAATGCAGTTGTTACTCTGCTATTATGATAATTTTTTTAATGATAATGCATAATTGATTGGTGATTTTGGTAATTGAATGGTGCCTTTGATATTGGGTGCTCCTGATATAAATTTTCCTCGTTTGAATGAATTATTGGTTAATGCCTGTGTCTTTGATTTTCATTTTATTTGCTTATTTGATGGATAGGTCTTGTGGTGAAATATTTATCTTCCTTTTAGTATGGTGGTCATCCTGGTAATAGGGTTGATTTAGCTATTTTTAGTTTGCATTGTTCTGGTGTAAGTTCTAATTTTGATTTTGTCTGCTTTTGTTATTGTGAGTCAAAATAGTTTGTATTTAACTGGTAAAAAGGAAGTTTTGGTTCCTTAGGTATGATTTATGCTATTTAAGAATTGCTTGAATTGGTTGTAGTTTGGGCTCATCATATATATACTGTTGGTATGGATTTGGATTCTCATGCTTATTTTTCTGCTGCTACTATAGTTATTGCTGTTCCTACTGGTGTTAAGGTTTTTAGTTGGTTGGCTACTTTATGTGGCATAGGGATGGTTTTTCAACCTGCGCTGTTATGAGTTTTGGCTTTTATTTTTTGTTTACTATGGGTGGTTTTACCGGTGTTATTTTACCGGTGTTTAATTAGTTTGGGTGTTGTTTTACATGGTACTTATTATGTTGTTAGTCATTTTCATTATGTTTTGAGGATAGGAGCTGTTTTTGGTATTTTTTGTGGTATTAATCTTTGGTGGACTTTTTTGACTGGTTTTATTTATGATAAAATTTTTATGAGTATGGTGTTTCTTGTGGTTTTTGTGGGTGCCAATTTAACTTTTTTTCTTTACATTTTGTTGGTTTGCATGGTATTCCTCGTAAATATGTTGATTATCCCGATATTTACTCTTTTTGGAATGTTATTTCTTCTTATGGTTCTATGTTAAGATTGTTTGTTGTTTTAATGTTTTTGCTTGTTTTGTTGTTTTATTCTTTTTTTCTGGTCATTCTTTTGTTTATGATTATAGTAGAAGTAGTGGTGTAGAGAGTGGTTACAGTGGTTGTTTTTTCTCATAAAAGAAAAGAGAGAACAGGAAGAGGTTTATTATAGTGGTAATTGTTAGATGTTTTATCTCTTTTATTAAATTTAGTATATTTTATATTTTTTATTGCAGACAGAAAGGTTTTGGGATTAGCGAATTAGGATAAAATTGAGTCTTGGCAATTCATAGTTGTTGGCTTTATTCGTTAGGGATTTTAGTGTAATTAGTATGGTTCATTGTCTTTGTTTTGGTTTTAATCCTTGATTCTCAGTATAATTTAGTATGTTTGATTTCCAATCTTGTGGTTTAGGGATTGTTGGGATCTTTTTTTCATGGTTTTAATTTTAATTTTATGGTTAGATATTGTCTTCTGGTATGGATTGGTTTCATTATTTTGGTTGTAGTTTTCTTTTAATGATTTTAATGATATTTGTTGTTTTTTGTTTTATAGTCTTATTGGTAGGCGTTATTATAATAGGTTTATATATAATAGGTTGAGGATGATTATCATTTGTTGAATTTTTTTGTTTCTTTTTTTCCTTCGCTGGTTTTGATTCGATTGGCCTCTGTTGATTTTGATGGTGCCTTCTTTGGCTTTGTTATATGAATGTAGAATGATGAATTTCAATAGGGATTTGAATTTTGGTGTCGTTGGTCATCAGTGATATTGGAGTTATCAGTGATATGAGTATTCTGATTATTGAGATGATGTAGGATTTGATTCTTATATGTTGTCTAGTGAGGATATGTCTTTAGGAAATTTACGTTTATTGGATGTAGATAATCGTTGTGTTATTCCTAGGGTTGTTAGAGTAGGGTTCTTGATTGGTTCTGAGGATGTGATTCATTCTTGAGCTTTGCCTTGTATATCTATTAAAGTTGATGCTGTTTGTGGTGCTATTCTCGTGTTACTTGTATTTTTCCTTTAATTGATCTCTATTATGGTCAATGTTCAGAAATTTGTTAGGCTTATTTATTTATTTATTTTTATTTATTGATAACCAGCCAAACAGGGCGACAACGCCATGTGCTTGTATTAATAACAGTTAAAATACAGAAAAAGAAAACACAAAAAAAATAGCATAAACAAAATTAATTATAAAACAATATGACAAAAAATAACAATTTAAAGAGGAAATTGCAGATCAATATAATATAGTACAATTCGAACTAACATATATAACCTGAAGATAAAAATCGAGATTTCTCACTTCCTGCAGTTCTTGCCTGGTGTAAACTCTTCTCTTTTTTTTTGTTTTTAAATAATATCGTAAATGATATTATCTAGTCTTTTTTAAAGACAGCTAAGGATGACGCACAAGCTACATCGTTCGATAATTTGTTCCAGTAGTTAATAGTACAACTATCTTAGCGATTTTCGCTCTGATCAAAAATTTTTCTCGTTTTTTTCAATTGGATTGTACGAGAAATAAAAATGCTGAAAGGATAGAAAATTTACAAAAAAGAAGAATGAAATTGGATTTAACAGCCGAATAAAAAGGGCACTGAAAAATACTGGAATTTCGATGATATAAAATGAAAAATTTTAGCATTAATAAAGAAATATAAGGCAAATATGCCCAAATATGTGAAAAAATATCTGATAAAAGATACCCGGAATCCCCTTCTTCCTTATAATTAATAAGTCCAATATCATGATTCCACTGTTTGTCAAGATATGTGATGCGACGCCAGTAAGTTGGAACTAAAGAAAACTGATAGCAATATATTGAGATTAGTACCACAGATGAATAGAATATAAGCAGCGTCCAATAGAGATAAAGAGAACGACGAAAGAAATCGAAAGACATCGTTCGATAATTTGTTCCAGTAGTTAATAGTACGAATAAAGAAGACATAAGTCCTTAGTTTAGTTTTGCTTATAGGTTTTAGTAATTTTAAGCCATTAGTTCTCGTTGGATTCATATTTAATCTAAAGTTATAAAGTTATAATATTTCGAGCAATCTAGTTTAACATAACCATACAGAATCTTATTTGTGTAAATTAAATCTTGTTTAATTCTACGAACTGACGGAGAATCCATGTTATATTGTAGAAGTGTTCTTTTAAAATTAAAATTATAATTTTTATTAGGAGAGAGCCGTAGTAGAAAATATTTTTGGATTCCTTCAATTATTTTACCTGTTTTGCGATGTCTCGCGGAGTAACATGTAGTATTGTAGTCAAGAAGAGGCCGAACGAATGTTTTGTATAATTTGATAAGAAAACTTTCAGTTTTGTTCTTAAACGAACGAAAAATAAAATTTAGTATCCTTGAGGATTTCTTTACTATGGTTCTGCAGTAAAGATCGAAATTGAGATTTTCATCCATGATTATTCCAAGATCGGAGATGTGTGAGACTCTATTGATTAAAATGCCATTTATAAAAAGGTTAGGAAGATCGAATCCTTTAGAGTTGATGTGAAGAACGCTATATTTTTGAAAGGGAATATAATTTGCCTGTCATATAGCCAGTCAACTATTCTGTTAAGGTCCTTCTGCAGTGGAGATAGGCTATCCGTTCTACCATGAGAATAATAAATTTTACAATCATCAGCATAAAGATAAATAGAATTTATTACCACTGTGGTGATATCATTTATATATAATAGAAATAGCAATGGTGCAATACAAATGCCTTGGGGTACGCCTGATTTAACAGGTGTCATGTCAGAAAGAGTGTTGTTAACATATACAGCCTGGTAACGATCTTTTATGTAATCTGAAACCCCGTTATAGAGGTCCCCTGTTATGTCATAACTATTAAGAATGATCAGTAATTTGCTATGGGAAACAGTATCAAAAACCTTAGCCGAATCTAAATACACAACTGATACTATTTTTCCATTGTCAATTGATGCTGACCAATCAGAAAGATTTGCCAATATTTGTGAAGAAGTAGATTTTTTTGTACAAAAGTCATGCTGATAAGAAGATATGAAATTATTGGCATCAAGATAAGTATGCAAATCAACCTTTCAAGTACCTTGTTACCAAAACATGTTAAGCTAATAGGTCTGTAAGAAGCGTCATAGGTGCTTCCTTTTTTATGAATGGGAACTATATGGGACAATTTCCAAATTTTGGGATTAAGGCCAGACTTCATAATATCTTTATAAATTAAAAATAGGGGAAGACTCAGAGAAACTGCGCATTTTTCATAAATTATTTGTGGAATGTTATCGGGACCAGCTGAAATGGACGGCTTAAGTCTATTTAAGGCATCATAAACATCCAGTAGTGTTATTTCAATCTCGCAGAGAGAAGTGCAACAAATTCGATTTACGTTAAAACAGGAAATATGAGTATTATCCTTAGTAAACACACTAGAAAAATACTGATTAAATACATTTGCAATATCAATATCAGAGGTGATCACATTATCATTATATTGCAGAATTAATTGTTTTCATGGATTTGCAAATTTTCTTTTGATATAGGTCCAGAAAGAATTTCTATCAATATTTAAAAGTTGTTCTTCTTTATTTGAAAAGTAATTATGAATGTCGCTACGGAAATTTTTTAAGCTTTCTTTATTTGCAGAGAGGTCATTTGGCAATTTGGTTAATTGATATTTATTATAAAGCTCTTGACACTTTTCTTAAGGGATTTTAGAAAAGTGGGAATCGACCTAATGTTCGTTTTTCTTAAAGGGATATATTGGTCTATTAGATATAAAATGATGCTATTAAGAAAATTAACTTTTTCATCGATAGAGGGAGCTAAATAGAATAAGAAATCCCAGTTTATTTCTGCGAGGATAGAGTTAAAGATTTCATAATTACAGTGACGGTAACTTCTAGAAAATCTCGAGGGTGGTGAATAACGGTCTAATTTTAATGAAGCATGAATGATATTGTGATCACTATTACAAAAAGGTTCCAAGACTCTAATATTATCAACAAGAGAGATAGAGATAGATAGCTAACACAACATCTAATAAATACATTGTTGTAACTAGTGGCGACCTTAACATGTTGTTTAGAAAGTCCTCTTCAAATTTATTGCTACTTTTTAAAAAACTATTTTCCCAATCTATGTTTGGCATATTAAGGTCACCAACAATTATATATTCAGTACCAATTAATTTTAATTTGAGTAACAAATTGTAAAGGTCCCTAGTGAATTTGCTTCCATAGCCTGGTGGGCGGTATAGATTTAAAAGGAAAATATTTCTGTTATTAAGATAAATTTTAATTATCAAAGATTCAAAAGAGGAACAAATATAATGTGCATTTAGGAAAAGATATTAACGAAGTGGAGAAAAGCTGCACCAGTTGTAAAGCTGATACATCAGTTTGCGCTGTTTTTTACTCTGGAATGAAATTTTGTTTTGTCCTGAGATTATTGATGAAAATGAATTAAAATGAGGTGCTGCGAAACTCCACTTCTGTGAATATATGGATGGTTCGAAACCTGTCGGAGTTGTTCACTAATATTTCGATGGATGAATAGCGCAATAGGCTTGCTGCTACTTGAATTAATCTACCAGTTAGAACCAGTAGACAAAATACAATGTCAATTAGGAACAATTAGCAAATGTTGCGTGATCAATCTCAGCATATTCACTTGTTATAACTGAAACATAACGAGACATTTCGCTTTATTTAATGAGGAGAAAATGCATATTCATAGAAATTCACTAAAAAATATAGATATAGATATATAGATATCCTTCAAATAACTAGGATGCTCATCCATTATCCCGAAATTCGGAACTGTCTTTTGTAAGAAAATTACGAAGAAAATTTCCATTTAATGCAAAAATTAATTTAAAAAACTTTATAATTACAATCTATTTATAATTACAATCTATTTTGCATATTTCTTATTTCCTTCATTTTGCGATAGCAGTTTTAATAATGTGTTACCTTACTTTTTTTCCATGAATTTCCACATTTACATGATTGCATGAGATTTAAATTAATTGCATCGTTTATATCTCATGATTTCTTTATTCGTAATATTAATTTCTGGAATAAATTACCGAACGATATAGCTTATGTGTCATCCCTAGTTATCTTTAAAAAAAGAATAGATAATATCATTTATGGTATTATTTAAAGAATTCACATCATGTAGGAAGTGTGAAATCTCGATTTTTACCATCCGATTATAGTTATTTCGAATTGTACTATATTTTATTATTTTGCAATATCCTCTTAAATTGTTTATTTTATTTTAATATTTTTTTTTTGTTATTTATCATTAATTCTTATTATTTGTTATTTTAACTGATGTTATTAATACAAGCACATGGCGTTTGCGCCCTGCTTGGCTGCTTTTCAATAAATAAATAAATAAATAAATAAAAAGGAATGGTTTTTATTAGCAATGGCATCGGATTGTATAGCTTGGAGACATCTTACCATTGTAACCAGCGGAGCGAGCCTAACTAGTAATAGTGACGGCTATTAGTAAAAATATTATTATTTTATCATCATCTAATAAACTTGATTATCGATGGATTTTATCTTCTGGTTCTTCGAGTAATTTGTTTCAGTAAGTAAGGCTAAATTTCAAGATAGTTCCAAGCTCTCAGTTTTTACAAAATATAACTAATAATATCAATCCATTCCATTTTTTGACATCAAAATTGAAACTAAAACTGTAAAAAACCAATGCCTAAAATTGTTAATTATACTTTATATTATTTATTATTTTTTGTTTTTGACATTAATTCTTATTATTTGTCATTTTAACTGATGTTATTAATACAGGCACATGGCTTTTGCGCCCTGCTTGGCTGGTTTTCAATAAATAAATAAATATCTATTTGATCAATATCGGCTGTAAAATAAAGGATTTGTTTTTGATGAGCACTCCTGTAATTGATTTTTTCAGTTTAAAAAGTGACCATATTAATAAATTCTTCAAATAACATTTGAATTAGATAAGTAGAAAAAAACTGAGATGATGCTTTCAATCACCGATCTTTCCACTTTCCATCTTGTAGCTTTTAAATATAGATAGCAAATATTCGATAGTAAGCCCATTCCCAGCAAAATAATAGATTTATAGTAGATTTTATATGTTCGTGCATTGTGTAACATCTAATATGATTATCATATTAGATATGAAAAAATTGGTACAGTGCAAGAAGAAGAAAATTCCAGTATTAGTATAAGTATACATCAGAAATTGGTTTATGCATAAAATTTTTGTCTTCAGTATAAGAAATGATAATCATAATCACTGCATTCTATATAAATCGAAAAATCGAAGCTTTTTTTTCCAACAATACTTATTAAGTTTAATTGTGCCGCAATGATAAACTTGACAATGATATTTTCATGATAAACTTAATAAAATATGAGTAAAAATATGGGTCAGTGAAAAATCAGTAAAAATAATAAATACCACTAGAAGTTATTATTTTATTATTCCTTTCCTAATGATTCCTTTCAGTAAAAATTCTTTTTTTTCGCAATCATACATTAGAGAGAATTTTCTAACTTTAGGCTGAAAAGAAGTTACTGGCGATAATTCATTTTCGATTATCAGTTACGACCGATTTAATGAATTGTTCTTTGTGAATTATGATTTTGGGAATAATAATTTTCAGAGTTATTTCATCGTAAATATATGAACTTTTAATTTAAGTTGATTATTAAATTGCATAACTTTGAAAAACAAAAATTTATTCCTCTTGGAAATTAATAAATTAATAAATTTCTAATTTCCTAAAAATTATTACCATCAAATTGTGAGTTATGCGCTACGTAATTCTCTGCTAATTATCTATTTATAAATTGAAATTCCCAAAAATTAGAGTTATAGAATATTCAAAAAAAAAAAAAAAATTTATGATTTAAAAAAAATAAGTGAAATGTAAAAATTAAAAAAATTTCGTTAAATGAAATTCGAAATAATTTTTCGATTGTTTCTTTATTACTGAACTTTAATAATTGAGGAAAAATAAATATTTTAAAAAGATTTGTTTTTTTTCCAAATTTTTAAAAATTGAAATGGAGATTTTGGATATAATTCGAGAAGGAATTTTAAAAACTCAATATTCAATAAAATAGGAAATTTGTTTTCTACGGTGCATTCGTCGCTAGTTAGCAGGCACGCTTCTTTGATGGCATATCTGAAGCATCAACGATCATATGAACTTCTTGAACTCCATAAATTGAACTGCTATTAGAATTCGGATACTTCTCTCTGCAAGTGCTTGAATATTAAGAATACTAATACGAATAATGGTAATGATTTAACCAATTTTTTTGCGCATATTATGACGAAATTTCAGGAAAAAGAATATGCTTGAACTTTTACTTATGTGATTTATTCATTTAGAAATGAATATAGTTAAGAGATTTTGCAACAGTGAAAAGTAGAAAAAAAGTTAAAAGGAAATAAAGTGTAAAAATTTTAAGTTAAGTAAGAACTTAAAAATTTCCTTTTATAGAATGTCTGAAAACTTTCACCTTAAAATAAAGAGGACAGGATGGCCGAGTGGGTAGTGAATCGGATTATCATGGATTAAAGACAAGGATTCAGATTCGTTTCGAGAGGAGTAAATTCTGGCAAATTAGACAGATAAGAAAAGTAATTTAATCTCTAGGATGAATTCCATTACCATTAAATTTTGTTTTAATTTGACACTAAATGTTTCCATGAGGATTTCTAGACCGTTAACTGAAATATTACCATTTATCTCTATTTATCGTTTTTCAAAAGTAAAAGTTACGCAGAAGAAAGCATTACCTTTAGACTCGAAATGCTAAAAAAAACTTGAAAGAAAAATCGAACAGAACAAATGAAAAAGGAAAAAGTAATGATCAAATGAAATAAACGAAGCTGCCCTAGTCCAAGCTTTTCCTAGTGCTTCGCCCTCTGTGAAGAAAAATAATTCCTTTAGCGACGATTCTAATTTCATGCAAATTCGATAAAACCACCTCAAATTATGCGATCTTGGTTTAATATAGGAAGATGGCTGCTTGAATCGGTTGATTTTATTCAATGTACCCAGCGCTATTTTTTCTTCTTCATACGCTTTTTTCTCACGTAGAAATCTAAAGAAAAATGTGAACTATAATTTGGAAATTTTATCCTAAAATCGGCTTAATTAAACAATTTTAATTTAAACAAATAATTTAACATCGAAATTGGTTAACTAAAAAAAATTGATAAAAGAAAGCAAAGAATGGAAAATTATGATATGCAAATTTTTGGATATACTAAATATTAAATGCTTTTCGATCTAATTTTTTCTAGAAGATAATATAAACTGAATAATAATACTTTGAACGGTGATATGAAAGAATGAATCCGAAGATGATCAGCACAGTAATCAGAATTGAAGCAAAGACCAAGAGAAGCAGTGCAGTTTCTCTAAACCTGGATGTTGGTAGAGTTGATTCTTTGATTATCTTCGCTGAATTCTAAACTGTTCTATGAGGAAAATGCATCCTAGTATTCGACCTTTTGATATTTACAGTTGGATATTACATCAAAGTTACATCAAACCCGGCTAATTTGATGAAACGACGATTTCATAAGGATTTACCTACTGGTAGCCATCCCAAAGCTTATCGAATTCCACGTTGTGGTGATAATTTTCAATTGCATAATGGAAATTTTACGCAAATAAAACCATTATTCTTATCACTTGTGCTTACTAATTATTTATATTATTAGCGCTATTGTTGCTATTAAGTATATACAAAATGATACCTGCAGCACTTCCAGAGAGCTGAGTTTTGGTATGGATGAAGTGGGTGTAAGTATATTCTTATCAATAAGCGATATTGCATTTTCAGCTAGAAGAATCACATCTGTGGTTGTATTGATAAAAATGAGTTGTAACCAAAGTGCGTCACGTTGCACATATCCATCCGTTTTGACATATTTGGCGTCAATAGGCAGAATTCTACATGCGCAAAGCTCGGACAGTTGCCTAAAATTTGTTATTTGAACAATTCAGTACAATTCAATCGACTGAAAATTATTTATTTTTCTACTGTTGTCTCTTATATTTTACACGATATGGTAGCCTTCTTCAATGCCGGCATTGAATTTCAACCCATAATTCAATAAAATGAATGAAATAAAATAAAATTCAACGGCTCATGTTTACCTCATCAACTCCTCTAACTGAGCGACATCCAGATTCTTAGGATTTTCATTAATATAAACTTGTACAATATTGCTCTCATCATAAATCCAAATCTACAAGGAAATTACTTCATTTTTCCTTATTACTTATTTCAAAAATGACATTAAAAGATTGATAGGCCAATTATCAATATGGCAAATTTTATTTGATCTACGACAAATTTTATTTCTTCTAATTTGGGAAGAAATGTTGTTTCTTCTACGATTGAGATAGGCGTATAAGATTATAATACAAAAAATTGCCTTAATTTTTGAGGTTGATATATGCGATTGTATGTCAGAAATATCAGATGTTGCAATACGACCTTCAAAAAGTCCACCAGTGAATTCCTTTGGAGATTTGCCGAGAATAATTTCACCGGAATTTTCATTGATGATGATGAATCCATCTGCTTGCCTCACCTTACCCATATAACGATAATATGTATTGTCAATACGATAGACAATCCTACTCTTCACGTCTGAAAATTTTTTGCAGTCCTATTAAGCAAATCTTGTTAAAAATAAGGAGGAAATCTTCTGAAATATTCAAAGATGAGCAAAGAATTTACTGCTATATAAATTTGGAAGCAAGCTGTAATTTAGACGAATCCGAGTAGTGCTTAGTGATCTGACTTTCTAGCAAAAAGAATCTTATCTTATCCTAGTAATCTATACAGTCAACCACATTTAAAATGGTGGAATGCCATTAGATTGAATATAATTAGCTATAATTTTTTTAGAATATAATTTTTTTTTTCATCAGTCTTACTCTATATATTGTAACACTTCGAAAATTTTGAATATTAACTTTCCTTACTCAAATCTTAAAAACAGAAAAAAACAGGAAATAAATCGTATAGTAAGACAATGGTTTCCAAATAAAAATGGCAAAACCTGGTGAAGAATTGGTTGTTACATCCGGATCTGATGCACTAACTGTCATAATTTTTGCCCCAGCTAGCAAGTGAGAAGATATTGCACTCATATAGATATCTTTCTCGAAAATAGGGCCATTATCATTACTGTAAATGAATGCATAAAGAGAAATAACGCTTCGAGCTGAATCGGGATCTCTTGTGGATCTCTTTGCCTGCTTAATGAAATCTATGGACCTCTTCGCTGATTAAATTTTTAGGCACAAACATTAAAATACATAAAAATACATAGAAAAGTGTGGTTTGAGATGAAAATATTTGTGATATACGTGATAAAGCCTCACAGTTCATATAATTTTGATACTTAAAAGAAAGACGTAAATTTTTTTCCATACAATTTCATCGAATTCCGAGAGTTTTTTATTTAATTAATCCTTGGATTAAGTTAACTATTATGATGCTTCCGATAAAAGTTTCTCAATTTCTTTTTATCATGTCTTTGTCATCTCTTTGCTAATATCTCTTCATTTATCACTTATCTAAATTAAATATTATTGACAGGCTTTTTTCTGACCCTTGCATTCCATGATAGGAATAAATCTATCATAAAAATTTAAAATTTATTTCATTTTTCAAATTATCCTTTTTATATAGTTTCGAAACGTCCTATCGATCTGAACATAAGGGCAGCCCAGCGATAAATGGGCTTGCGTCCAGTAATTGTCAAATTCTTTTCTACAGATCCTCTAGATGGTGCCATAAAAATCCATAATCTCCATAATCTCCTGTGCAATATTTTCAAGTTTTAAAATTTGAAGATGTTTATGAAATTCTCCCACCCAAGAATTTCGAATGAATAATCATTAAAAATGATTCGATTCATATAAATATATATATATAATAATATATATATATACATATATGATTCGGAAGATTTCTATGCACTACCTGAGACTAACCATGGATCCCAGGGACCTTTGTAGAATCCGTTTTGACGACCACTGACTTGAAAAAGGTGGTAGTTTTTTATAGTTTCAGGTATGGCATCGGATGGAAAAGCCAGCGGAGTTTTGTTTAATCCATAATGTTGAGAATTTTTAAAATAAGAAGAGGTTCACTTTCACAATACCAGATATTTTTTTTGAAAATCTTACACATCAAGAACGTTTATATAAATGGTGGCGAAATCGCTTTTTGAATCTTGTGTAGAATAATTTTCAAAATTTGATGCAATGACATTCAACCTGAAGAATAAAAAAACCTTCATTATTTAAACTGTTCGATAAGCGTTTAGAAGAAATAACTAATGAATTAAATTAGACTTAGCATGAAGATGGGATTCGGTCTGGATTAATGCGTATAAAATGAATATTCTGATACTCACACGTATGATTCCTTCTCTTCCCTATCAAGTGGTTTTGCCAAGGTCAAGACTCCACTTTCCAATCCAATGGTGAATTTGCCGTCGCCACCTGTCATGTGGTAATAGATTTTATCGCTGGTATCTTCGTCGACAGCTTGTATTTCAGTGATTATCCTTCCTAGACAACAAAAAGGAGTGAAATGGAATTAACAGTGTCATAACTCAAATTTTTATTAAAAACAATTTGATTAAGTTAAATAATACAAGAAGAAATGGAAAATAAATGGCTTTTTCTCAGCCAAAACAGATGTTAAAGAGATTTTTCCGAGTCAAAAAAGTGTGTACCTAATGCTTCATCTTCTCGTATATTTAAATATAATTCTCGATTTAGCATTTCAATCGAATTATCGTCGATGTCGATAATCCGAATCTCGATGAGTATTTGCGAAAATAAATCATTACTCTGTGCTGCGACGATTAGCTGAAAATGGGGTCAACTGAAAACGAAAGAAGGACTGTGAATAAAGCTAAGAATGGGAAGTTTTACTGGAAATCTATTATCTCTAATTGACAAAAATGAATTCGAAGAATTAAAGTCTAACCGAGTATTTATTCTTTTCTTCATAATCAAATGCAACTTTCGAAGTAAGAATGCCAGTTTCAGGATCAATTTCGAAAAATTCAGTACTATTGACGTATTGAAAGCCATCCCATATTGCATAAATAAGATGACAGTCTTCACTAGAAACTGAACCGATAAAGTGAGCTAGTTCTTTCGGTGGTTCTTCATTCTAAAATAAACTTTCCGAGCGCAATTAGTAAAAATATTAAAATTTTACTCGTAATATATTAATTCAACCAACTTCTTTTAAATAAAATATATTTTCGGTTGGTTCAGAAAAACTCGGTTGACATTTAGAAGTCGGTAAAATAGTCATAAAAATAGTTGCTGATGTTCCACTGTGATAGCCGTCCCGAGCAATAATTGCAAATTGATACTTTCCGTCGAGTCCGAGCAATGGTTCCGCATTTCGGATAACGCCATTACGGTCTACTGTTAATAGTGAGGATAAAGCTGAAGATTCACTGTTCATCATCAATGAATATTCAAGCAATGAAGAATTGTCAGCATCTTCAGCCTGAAATTCGCTCTTATAAAAAGGAAAGCAAGTGATAGTGATATTTTTATAATAAGTTATTTATTTGAATCATCAAGAAACCATGGAAAATTATCCACATGATTGCATTTAAAATTTTTGCATTGTAACAAATTCCCTCAAAGATAACAAGAATTCGGAATACTTCAGTGTACATACTTCAGCTTTGATAATAAATGAATTTATTGGAATATTTTCCATAACTGTTGCGGCATACGATTTTTGAGGAAATAGTGGTTCAACATCGTTTTGGTCCAATAGATTGACAGTTATCTGAAGAAATTCTTAAAAGACCGATATTCATCACAATGCGATAGGTCCAATAAAATCTTTATTACTCTAGTTAGATCTTCGGAAAAATTTCAATTATAAAATCGAAATATTTTTGTCAAATCTCATAATCAAATAAATTTATTAAGAATATTAATATTAAAGAAATTTTCGATAATTACTGGCACAAACCGGAATAACTGAATGTTGTCCGGAAAGATTCGATGTGACGTATATAAACGCACCAAGATGAGGATTGCTTTCACGATCAAACACCATAGCACTTCTTAATATTCCCTAAAAAGCATTCAAATAATGGTTTCGAACATCCTAAGTTGGAAAAAGAAAGTGAATGAAAAATAAAAATGCAAAAAAGGCATCCAATATTTTCTGGCTAAGAAATCTCCATCAACATGTATGTATGAAGCTATATGGTGTATCCAATATGAAAATAGATAGCTCATGCGGATTCAAAGATCAATGTCAAAATCCCACAGAGAGCTTTAGATTCAGTAGAATCTTTCAGATTACAGGAATTTTCATTTTTCCTCTCCATCTGATACCACCTATCATCTCTGATACGAATGGCTACCTAAGACTAAAGTGAGATCTTTTTAGAAAAAAGCTATCTGCGGTACGAGTGGGTTCCAATAGCCCACACCCACTTTCATTTTAATAAGATTTTTAGATCAAGTAAGGAATAATGAATCGAATTTATGATGAATTTTAGGATTCATAGTTATTATAAGAAAATTAGCTGGAAAAAAAAATTATTACTCAATATGAAAGTGCAAAAAAATAACCTCATCGTCCAGCTTAAAATGGGAACTGTCCCGTCCCATAATTTTGTAGGATACATTACCTCCAGTGACTGGTACGAGTTGTTCGCCAATTGCACTACCTGATGTAAAAATTATAAATTATTCATGTAGTCGGAACTAAATGATAAATAATAAAAAAATGTCCAAATTTGTATGCGATAAAAGCAAATATCAAGTGTTCAAATGCTAAATAAGAAAATAATAAGGAAAAATTAAGAGGAAAATTCATACCTATCGGAATGTTCTCATAAATATTGTATACAAGGCTATCAATAGCGAATTTCGGTGCACTTCTACTTATCAATGGAATCGCAGCAACCATTATTGAAACTGACGAACTTGCTTGAGTATTTTGCTGGTTTGCAGTTATGGTAACAGTGGAGTTACCAGTTCCTCGAAGGCTCGATATAGTTGTTATTACCCCTTGAAAAAATCGAAGTAAACCAAATCGTAAAATGATAATATTCTAATTCACAATTAATTGTTGATCAGGAGTGAGGAATGAAGGAAAGAGGAAGGTTTTCATTGTTAATGAACAACAGAAGTACTCGTCGTTCGATGCAAATGTGTTATTATCAAAAATGACGTCAATACGTGAATCGTCTTTCCTTCTCTCTAAACAAAAAGAACTATTTTGAAATTGCTTGCAAAATCTAAAAGAAACGGTGAAATCCTTTAACATAAGAATTCATGCTTTAAAGAGCACCAAGAAATCAGAGATAGCTGGGCAGTTCTATCTCAGTTGTTCAGTCTATAGCCTTAATATTGTCTTTTCTGATTTACCATTACCATTATTACCATTACCATATTACCATTTGTCTTATGAGGATAAAAAATGGCTTTGAAAAATATTCCGAACAGAGAGGCGCAAGGAGTACTTCTATGGAATTCATGGATTGTTTCCAGATGAGAAAGAATGGAAATTGACATTATTTATTTGATGAACTATTTAATTTTCTAGCGAATTATGCGAAGATTAATAATATCTTCCACGCAGCAATTCAAAAACGCATAAATCAACTAATTTTCAGCTATTAAATAATTTGCAACTTAATTTTTAATGTACTCGCGAACCTGTAATAGGATGCACAGTGAACAGGCGATGTCCTTCAGATAAAGAATATACTATTCGTCGATTTTTCGCTAAATGTATCGGAAGTGGTTTAACGTTCACTGTATAAATGTAAGACCCAACTGCTAAATCTTCAGCAACTGAGACCGTTCGTCTTATTTGATCAAATTTTAGCATCTCATTCTCAGACAAATTTTGCTCGGGTAGAACGAGATGGATGAAGAGTTTTCCTGAAAAAATTCGAGGATCGGCCTCATTTCAATAATCTCGAAATTGTGCACTCACATTTAAAAGAAAAAATAGAATATTTTTAACCATGGTCATCTGGTTCATTAGGATGTCTTGCATCTGAGACGGTAACTGTAAGATCAAGGGCCATAATATTTGAATTTTTAAAACTTTTGCTCAAAAATAATGATCCATCGTTCACACTTTGTTTCGGAAAACGAAAATATTCAAAATATTCAGATGAATCAATTATCTCGTTTCCCAACTGATCATATGCCTGAATTTTATGGATCATATATATCAGTTGAGCATTCGGATCGTCATCGGTAGCATTAAATCGATGAATTAGTGCTCCTAATCCAGTATCTGCAATAATTTTCGAAAGCACTATGATTATTAATATTTCATTATCTGTTAAAAATCTGTGGAGAAACCAGAAATGGTGAATGCTGATGGATGAAGGAGATAACTATAAATATGTTTATTAATTATTTATTAATTATTTAAAAATTTATCTATTAATTAACTATGAATCTTTATTGCGAGTTAGTTTGAATATTGCGAATTTCAAGTTTAATGGGTCTAAAATAATATTTTTTTCTTTTTAACCTTTTTTAATCATCACAGAATTAGCCAAAGGTGATTTAAACTTCGGTGGAGAGCTGCCTAAGCCAGCAATAAGAACTTGCACGACTGTGACATCAACTTGAGGTGGAGAAGATTTATCTAAAGCCAAAATCTGCAAAAATAAAAGGCTATAATTAAAACTTTTATGATCTATTTGCTTTCTTTCTCTTCTAAACAATTAGAAATTACTGATATTTCAACTTTCGAAAATTTTAGATTTCAGCATTTTCTTGACATAAACCTAAAAACGTATCATTTGCTTACCCTTAGGGTATAATTTCGAGCATTTTTCTCTAAAGGCCCTTTGTAAAAAATTCGACCATCAGTTGAATTGATATAAAAAACATTTGCACCACCTTCAGATAATCTATAAGTCAAATCACTATCAATAGTTTCCGCTCTAACTTTTCCAACGAAAGTTTCGCCCGGACTTGCTGCGAAAGCATATATGCTCTAAAACACAAAAGTATAAGCCAAATATCCAGAATTATATTTTTTTATCTCAAATTTTTATATTGATAAATATGAATATTGATAATATTATGAGCATAACGAAAACCACTGGACCACTTACTTTTTTCGCCAAAATATATACGCTAAGTAAATCCAGTAATTAAGTTTAAGCTCGAATATTTAAGCAAATACCTGTGAGAATTTTGGAGCAGTAGATTTATGGCTGATTATCGGCTCTAGCGATACCATAATAATAGCAGTATCACTTTTATTTTCATCGTCAGAAACGGTAACAGTTAAGTTAAAGTGTTCTCCCAAATTGTCAATCGTCAATAAATCACTATTCTGTAAAGAAAATTCTGACAATATTCCTTGGTTTTTTGAAGAAAGAAAATGTTTTTAGGATCCACTGCATCAATAAAAACGCTAAATAAAAGTAAATTGCTAGAAGTCCAAGAATTCGGGAAAAATCGCTCGATCAATCTTATTTGGTCAAAATAAATCCAATAGAGATGGTAAAAATATTAAAATTTATTTAGAAAATTTATTCAGAAAAATCTAAAAACAATGTGGAGAAAATATTGCACGAAAATTGACTTACTCTAATTGTTAGAACACCATAATTGGCATCAATTTGAAACACAGAATCATAATCGTTGAGCGAAAAAATCAGCTGATCACTGCCTTGATCATCAACTTCTAAAATTAAATGGTAGTCGCTTGTCAATCTCTCTTTCAAACCGATTGGTACCACAGCTTTGCGGAATTTCGGCGGAGCTTTTAAGGTTTCGTTTAAGTGAATCGTTACAGGAATGTTGGCAACCTTCGATGAGTCACGATGGTAGGCTTGCACGATTAATATAAATTGTCGTGGAAATTTCGAACAGCTATGAACACAACCTAAGCTCACCAATCGTAAAGCATCACTTGTCGACGGTTCCAATGAAAAACTGGAAAAATTTTCATTCACTATTCACTAATAATCCATAAATTGTAGAAGCAGAAGAACGGAAAGTGCTAAGAAAAGTGCTCACTATTTTGCCATACTTCCATACAAAGCGAATTCTAAAGATTCAGTATTAAGATCACTCGCAAGCTGAAAAAAAATTGGAATAGCAGTATTTTGTCGTAAATCGCGTTAAACAAGAAAATCCAACTTTTTTGAAATAAAAGGCCACAAATAAATTTTTAAATGCGATAACTGATGAGCGTAAAAATTTCGACAAAATTCAGTGTACCAATGGCCAATGGAATCTATTAGATTATCTTTCCGAACATAATGGTTCGACCCTTGCCTCTGGCCTTATATAAATCAAATCCAGGTTATTCAATTAAAGAAAATCACTAGACACAAATTACTGAATTGAAAACCTTCAATAACCCAACAACAATTGGTATTTTCAGTTGTTTATCCATTTCGAAATAGTACGCGTTTTGTTCAAATATTTCGGATGGATCATTATTTTTAATCATTATCGTTAAATCAAATGAACCATAGATACCATTTGAATCAACTGATTCAGCATCAATCTTAATTTTTTTAACTTAGTTTGGTGAAAATTTTAAAAAATCTCGAAAAGCCCCCATTACTTCCATAAGTCATTATTTCTAGTTGATTTTCCCAAATCAATTTTCTGAATGAAAAAGTTATCGAAAACTGAAATTTTTAAAAACTAGATGAAATGATTATTCTCATCGTTCAGTATTTCAGTATTTTTGAAAAGAATTCGAGAAATTTTGTTGGAAATGTTTTTAATAAATAAATATATGAATGAAAATCGAACATGCAATTTAATTTTGCTGAAATTTCGGAGAATATTTGTGTCATCGATGATAATATCGAATTGTTGACCAGCAACTAAAGTTGATGGCGAAATAGAGAATGCGTTCGAAAATTCCGTTTGAAGAAACGATAAACGAATTCTTCCAGAATTCTATTAAAAAAATTATTTAAGAATTATAATAATTTAGGGTAGAAATAAATTCAGCTATTGATCGAGTTGCCGCTTGATAAGCTCAAATTCTTTTTTCGAAATCGAAATCATCGGTTCGGAAATCAGTAAACTGCAAAATCAATCAATCTACTAAAATTTCATTGAAGAGCCTAATAGTCTGAAAAAAATTCACTGCTCTTAAAATGGGTGATTCGAACGGCAGTGGCTGATGATCGGCGAAATTTCTTGATATAGAAATCGTTGCGCGAGATGGTTGGAAGACATTTCCATCTAAACGAGAATGTGGTGAATGCAATTTCAAACTTGAAATTTCAAATACTGAAAGCAAAAAACTAGTGATATTGCCATAATCTCATCGAAAAGAAGCTAATTTAATATTTATAAAACTATAAAAAAACTAATCAAGAAAGATTCTTCAGAATGTTCATAAGCCATCGGAATCCACAACGCAAGAGAAGAAATTATCCAATATGAAGTAAAACTGAGGAAGTATATAAGCATATTAAATATACAATAGATATCTTGCAAATTATCGCTATTTTCTAATAACTAAGTTTTCGATGCGCATGGTACCACAAGCTGTTAGGATGACATCACTTTACCGGAGAGTCACTTAAGGAAAAAAATTCAATCAGCACCATCCATTTTTGCTTATATAGGCTTATTCTCCCAAGGGAACCAGAATTAGATAGCTCACTCAAAGTCCATCTCCAACATATATGTCGCCCATCCTCAATAAAAACTGAACGGCTTTAAGCTATTTGTCATGAATGAAAAATTTCTCACATGATTTATAAATTTATTTTTTTATAATTTTATAGGTTTCATGAATAACATTTTTAATCTAATAAAATCTACCACACATTTTCAAATTCAAAGAATTTATTCTTTATATCATTTATTTAGAATTTATTTCTTTTTTAAATAATATTTTCCATATAATTATAAAATTTATTTAATAGGAATATTTAAACTTATTTCGATGGACTAATTCATCAGAAAGACGTAAGAGATCTTTCTAAAAATTATTATTATCCAGGTTGCTAAAATTTCGAAAAAAAAGTACCATCGTTTGCGTTAAAAGCCAAATGTATTGAAGCAAGAAATATGAGAACGACACAAAACATTTTAAAATTCTCGTCGTGTTCGCCTAACAATTCACGATAAAATTGGGTCAAATCCAAATTTTTTTGATATGAAACAAAAGGAATTAATGACTTCAGTCTTTTTAACAAATAAATTCACCATGCTGCTTATTGCATTTAAATAAATTTAAATATTTTCTCAGCACGACGGTCCTTTAATGATACTTCGTCTTCTCGCAACACTCCCGGATACTTCGAAGAAATTCTCTTTTTATATAGCCATTTAATAATTCTTATTTGTGCTTTCCATATATCGCTGAATTTGAATGGCGTTGATGAAAATACGTTAAGCGGAATAAACTTTTGCATTCGCGCGAACATGCATGCAACGAATGCATGTATGCTATAAATTTAATCTATGCTATCGCACTCCTCTCATGGCGCTTCGTCATTACTTATATTCGCGAATAATAAGAAACTAAAACAAATTATCTATTCAATTATCTTTGATAATTATTATCATTGTTACAAATGCAAACAGTAATGCCGCAATATAACATAATAATAAACTTGAATTAAATTTTTTATTGTTGCTTATATGTGATGATTCCTAACATATGTAATGATGCTTTATTTATTTAATTGGATTTCTCGTCAATTTCTCGTTCAGATGGAATTAAGATAAGAAACAAGTAGAATGCAAATGCAAATTTAGGTCAATTTAGGTCAAGAGTAAGCCAATTTCAAGTGATCATTTAATCGCATCATCCTGTGAATTAATTTTGTCACTATTTGTTACCCATCAAAATTTGTTATCGAATTATTGCGAAGATGTTGTTCAATAAACCTTCTTTTTCTTTAAACTTTCTTAAGTTTCACTTTATATAATATAATATAGACTATAATGAAGCAAAAATTCGACTCTTTATTTATTCTTTAAGCAAAGGAAAAAAAAGATCTTTTTAAAACTTCTGGAACATTGTTGAAAATTCCGAAATTTTTATTTCGAAAAAACTCAAGAAATTAGGTGAAAATCAGAATGAGCGTAAGGAAACTTTGTGATTTATAGAGGAGAAATTGAAGAATAAGGCAGCTGAGCCGCTATGTCTCGTTCAATAATTCGAACTGAAACGAAATCCAAATCTAGATTGTAAAATAATGATAAGCACTTATCAGTGAAGCAAAATCGAGGAGTCAATTCATAACCTACAACCATCTGCAAATCCTAAGAAATAAATTTTACTTAAGAAAAAAAACAAACAAAAATGAATTACAACAAATAATTTTATTGAAATTTTTAGGGGTTCACACTGATTGGTCACTGCTATACATACAAACAAGTTTACCTGTTGTGAAATCGATTTCGGTACAAACAGATTATGTTTCGAGTCAATATGATCAATATATGACGAAAATGCAGATGGTATAGAGTCAAGTGTTTGACTTGTAGCCATGCCTAGGCACTCTTCAGTTTGTTCTGGTTCTTCATCTATCCTGTAATCATAATTTCTATTTAATTTCTATTCAGCTGAACTGAACTGAATGGAAATCAAAAGGAAAAAAAAACAATCGAAGATGAAAAAAAATTGAAATAAGTCAGCCGAAATAAAAAAATTCCAAATCTTCTCTTAAAAATATTAAAATATTTTTGGCCAACCTATGTAAGATTCGTTGATCGGCCATTTCTGTCATAAAATCATTGCCAAAATATTCATTTCGGATATCAACTGATTCTCGTATAAAACGATATTGAATGATATCTGCTAAAATTCCCAAAAATTTCTTGTGTATTTCATTCTTGATGGGAAAGATATTGCAAAATTCTGGTAAATATTTGCAATAATTTATAATAATAATTTATAATAATAATTTATAATAATAAGTAATTTTATAATTGTTGAATATAGTAATAAAACTGGCTAAAAATTTTTTCAATCTAAAAAATTCGCTATAAAATAATTAATATTTTCCAAATATTTTATCTTATTGGCCTTTTTATAAGTCGTAGCATTAGTATTGTTACGAATAATTTCAATTTCAGCACAATTTATTTATTGCCAATAAGTTCGTTAGAACAAAATGATAATGAATAATATATTTATATTCAAAATCACTTTTGGAAATACAAATGTTTTCTTTTGCATTAAGTATTTCTTAAATAATAATTAATTATTATTAATTATTTATTTAGCTAATCAGCAACGTCGCAAATTTAAAAATTTAACAAACAAAGCAATTTAAAATAGATAAGATTTTTACCTGAACTGATTTGTTTGTTCTTGCTATCACTATTTGCATCATTTTCACAAGCTAAATAAAAGCTATCACTAATTGAGCCACTTGTATCGTTCGGTGAACAAGTTCCAAGTGATGATTCTTGGGGACTAAAACGCATTATCTTCGATGAGGATGAGGTCGAAAAATTGGTTGTATTAGTGAGAATTCATATTAAACAATTTAAATTAAATATTTGGCCTTGAAATATTTGACAACAAAAATTTTTTGTAAAAACAAGTCGAAATATTTTTGGAAAAACTGTCAGTAACCTATAGATAATTAACATATAATAATAATTATGAAAAATTCACGAATGGCATTATTGGCCTTCTCTTCTAAAAACACCATTTCTGGCTTGATTGATCTCACTGACCGCTGGGATAAAATCATGAATGAAATTATGAAATTTCATGAAATTATCAAGTCAAGAAATTGGATGATGAAATTCTTTCCAGAAAATTTGTGGGTAAAAGAATAGAAAGACTTCCTACTTTATTTAGATCAACAGAGATGAATTAAAAATAAAGAAGCAGATCGTAACGTTCTCCTGAATTCAGATTAGACGTCGTCTTCACTCATAATGAATAGGAAAAGATAAAGGAAATATATCATATCTCAAAAGTATATTAAGTTTTTCCGAGAAAAATGGGCTAGATAATTTTATAGTGTTAAACTTCCTTCATCTTATGCGGCTGTTTTTACAAACCTGCTGAATGAGGAGATCGAATCGGAACTGTGGCTCCTGAATCTTGACTTATTAGCTACATACATGTTGGTAACTGAACTATCGTTAGTATTTATTTGGTAACTGAGGTGATTTCGTTGCACGCCTTAATATATTTCTATGAGAAGTATTGGGTTGAGTCAAAAAATGAATGAGTCTTATTATAGTCGTTTAATATGCAACTCAGTGGCTGCCTTGATAGAAAATAGAAATAAAATTTAAATGCAGTGATCTTCTTTTTGAAATAAATTAGAAATAAAAACATTATATTAATTATGACCATGAAAAGGAAGCTTTCGAAAAATATCTGATAATCTTATCTAATCTATAGATATTTTTTAATTAACCATTTTTAGGTAAGCGTACAAGAGATATTGGTTGAGATAATTCAGCGGGTGGTGATGGTGGACCATATGTAGGCACAGCGAGCTGAAATAAATCCACTTTAATCTTTCGTTTGGCTGAATAGTGTTAGATAAACTGGTAAATTATAATGTAAATCGAATTTGTGCACTTCTCTCTGTGAAATAACGCTCCTGGATGTTTATAGTGCCTTAAATAGACTTAAGTCGCCATTTCAGCTGATCCATCCCGATAATATTCCACAAATAATTTATAAAAAATGTGGAGTCTCTCTGAGTCCTCCCCTATTTTTAATTTATAAGGGTATTATGAAGTCTGGCCTTAATCCCAAAATTTGGAAATTGTCATATAATTTCATATAATTTCCGTTCATAGAAAAGGAAGCACCTACGAAAAATGTATTTTAACCCAGAAATATATTGCATAAACGGCTTTGGAAATGAAGCAACTATTTGAAAAAACCATTCAACCATTCAAAAAACCAATCAATAAAAGATAGCACTTTTGAATCTTTAAAAAACCATAACTTTACTTCAAAATCAGGTGTAATTACTGGCTGTGGTAATCCATTCCGACTATGGTACTTCAGTGTTTGCGATTCGATGAACGACACTGAAGTCTGAATGTAAAGAATATGAAAAATGAAGGGAAATGCAATTTTTAAATGTGATGTATAGTAAAACTTTCTTTCATTGCGTAAATTTAGTTTGCAAAAATTTAAAATATGAAAAATTAAAAATTAAATTTAAAAATTTAATCGAACAGAATTTTCAAGAAATTATTTAAAAATCCTTTTCAATTCTTATTAATTTTGAAAAATTTTGCCTGAATTTCTCATTTTGCTGAAAATATTTTTACCCGAATTTCTCCTGAAAATTTTAGTCCATAAACTTCATAAACTTTGACTAATTTCCAAAGGAACTTTAAAACTTTAAAACATATTAGTTTAAAGGAACGAAAAAGAAAGCGAAATTCTCGAATTATTAAAGAAATAATTTTGGCTTTGAAAATAATTAAAGATGAAAATTGCTTGCGAACCTTTGAATTTTTTGTTTGTAGTAAATGTTAATAATTTTCTGATATCTATGATTTTTTCTAGTGAATGGTAACTGTTTCAAATGGTAACTGTGATGAATTGAAAGCAAAACTTTTTTGGCTCTTTTTTTCAATATTCTAACCCTATCAATCGAAATCAAATCGATATCATTTGCTTCATTAATACTCAATGATTGTACGTTTTCGTCATCTTCGGGAATTGTTGCACAGCTTTTCGTTGTACCATTTTCAAATGATGTTAATCTGCTGTCAGGTGTTCCCAACAAAGTCACTGGTGGCGGGCGTCCTTTCAATAAATAATTAAATCACTTATTCACTTATTTTCTGATGAAATCAAATATATATAAAAAAGTTATTTTCAAAAATTACTTGCATTCAGTGGAAAAATAAGCGTTTTTCCTGAATTCGGCCTTCTAGGTGGCGGTGGGCTATCCGAAGACGATGGAACTATGTAAAATGACGGTTTCGGTTCAGTTTCACTTATCGATTCAGGTGTGATCATTAACGGTGTTAGCGTTTCAAATTCGTCCAATTTTGCTAGCATCATACCATATACATTTCTCTTCAAAATAGTTAATCGAATTTGTTCGGATGATAATAATGATGTGGGTTAGCTGATATAATGCGGTGGGAAAATGTTATTATAATGTCACATGTTTTTCTTTATGATTCTTTATGATTTATGATGATTAACTATCATCGGAAGACTGTCATAAATTCTTCCAGTCACTTGGGGATAGCGATACAAGTATGGCGAATCGCCAACATCATTTAGATTTTTAAACGGCACTTATTCCTCGGATTAAGGCTCCAACAAAGTAAGAGCAATAACCAATTGGGCCTCATTTTATACCTCATTAGAAAATTTCAGCCTAAATACTGCAATGAGTTTACTCATCAAATAATAAGATTTGAAAGAAACGGATTAAGGATAGGAATAAACATAAGAATAAATAGCTTGAGTCTAAAATAATAAAATAAAGTTGGAGAGGTATTTATATAATATAAAAAAAGAAACTATTAAGGGACAAGTATATAAATTTTATAGTCCTCTAGCTTTCTAAACATACTTTGTATTGTGATTTTGGTGACTTCCTTGGTGATCCATGGCGTTTTTTTCGGAAATAACAACAAAGCATTTCTATTATGCTTATTTCTTCAATAAAAAAAGTCCCCTGAAAAATTTTATATTAAACAAACAATAATAATAGTTAAAATATAAGTAATCCGGGAGCATTTTATTATTCAACAATATTTTTACTTTATCTGAAATAAATATTTAAAATATAAATAACAGGAGCTCGATTCTTTCTTAACCAAGAAAGGAGCTATGGTGATCCTTGTCGGCGGCTCGCATTCACTTCCTATCCATAAGCTCTCTCTATTACCTATAAGAGCACTGTAAAAAAAATGCCTAAAAATTGCATTAAAACGTATAATTAAAGTGCTTATGTAAAGTGTAAATTTTTTAGGCAGACTCCATTACTGATTAGACTCACTTCGCTGGCTTGTCAGGCTGAGCAAAAATGCCACGGAGTCTCTTGATCGTCGAAATAACAAATACAAATGAGTCGTCAGCATCACTCGGATTTTTGAAGGGCAGGCTTATTATTATTCCTGCAGGGAGTAGAACTTCAGCACCTGCGCTCCCGATTGAGCAACCCACTGAACCACACTACTCTCCTTTGTTTGTTCCGTTAAGCGACCCTGCATTGAAGGGATGTGCATCGACCGATTCGAACCCAAACCTCGAGTCCCACTGGCAATTATCTTGCCATTGAGCCAACGATGCACCGTAAATTTAGACTGTATGGAGAAAAAATTAATAAAACTTTAGAATAAAATACATTTATATTCGATAATTTGCTTGAAAATCGATTTAAACGAAAAAACTTCATTCTTTTACAAATTTTTAAAGGAAAAATGAAAAATCCGCAAATTATCAGAAATTTGAAAAGAAGAAAACGAAGACAAATAAAAGAAAAAACACTTCGATCCCATATAAAGCAACAAATTGAATTTGGTACTTAAAAATAATAGATTTGCGTTAAACAAAATGCATTCCATTATCGAGATTTTTTAGAATTTTTACCAATTTCTTCTCGGTTTTTCAGAGCCAAACTACTAAGTAATAAAAAAGAGGAATGGGAAGGAAAGGACAGACGAATACGAAGATTCGGGATCAGCGAAATCTTATCGATCAACAGAAATCCTGAATGCATCACAATTTTAGCGGAAAATTTTAGCAAAATAGCGGGCGTGGCAAGAAATATTTTGGGTGAACGAAATCAGGAAAGAAGGCGAAAGCTTAATCAGCTCAGATTCCTCACGATTCCTCATGAATCCTTCAATTAGCGATGAATTAAAAACCGATTGGTTTTTCAAGGTTCAGCTGCATAAAACGTCGATGATAATAATATTCAATTTATTTCCTTATTCCCTGAAAAATTTCTTCTCTTAAGTTAGTTCACTGAGGGAACCTATTTCTAGGCGATTTTCGCGAGATATAAACATTTTTTTCTTTATTCCTCTATATTTAACTACTATATATTTAACTACTTAGTATTAGTATTTTAATTACTTTCGGCTCTGTGGCTACTCGGATGAAACGATTTCTCCAGAAGGATAGTTGGGTAAAGAATACAAGAACCTTTCCTTTACCTCTCGTATAGGAACTGAATCGAAATGCTCAACACGATCAACAACCACTCGTCCATCCTACCCCTTATACTTTCCTTAGGCAGAAGCATAAATTTTGATACAAGGCTAAATTTAAGATCAGTAGCCAGGAAAATTTTGTTACAGTGAGCATTTACGTAATTATTTTCATGATGAATACTTAAATTTCTGTTTCCCACAAAACATAAATTGAATTACCAAGCTTAAGTGGAATCGATGTTGGCCAATTGAAGATGTTTGCAAGAGCTTATTATGTTTGGAATTGTGTTAGGAATTTTCGTGAAAACTCTGGCCATTTTTTCCTTTTTTTCCAGTGTATTGACCCACTTAAGCTTGCAAACCCAGTTGCAAACTCAGCAAAATATTGAAATACTCTAAATAAAAATAAGGGAAACGTGAAATTACATATTGGAAGCGAATTCTTTGAAACTATCCTTCGCTTTTTGCCAGCAAAACTCATGATGACCAAACCGACAACTGAATCTACTTTTTCTTCTTCGAATAGCATCCTCGATTTCTACTTTGTCTGGTGCCACTCACTGCGCAGAGTTGCTTGGAAATGCACGTGGATCTGCGTATCCTTCTTAAAATATAATCTAGCAATCCAAAAAATAATTCGAAAAATTTCAAGAGCCTAAAATAGGAATATAATAATAAGTAATTTAATGCGGATCTCATTCGTATTGGCATAGCAGTTTAAAAAAACTGAGTTCCATAGCTGTGTTGAACAAAGACTGAATGTAGAAAATCAACGCTTAGCTCGATACAAATAAACTGAATTTCGAAAGAAAAGTAAACGATAATTTATTGAATTTTTCCAGAATATTAATATTTTTGCTAAGAAAAATTTTTTTGAAATTAAGGGTATTAGTTGTTCAATATTCATCAAGCTTACGGAGAAGCTTCTGTGAAATAAAAGTGGAAAACACGGCTTAAAAGCATTAATCGGCATTAACTTAATTATTGATGGAACAAAGCAGCTTACCAACAGAAATTTATCTTTACCTTCCTTGAGTTGCAATAAGATTTTAAAAAATCTAAATTTTCAAACTTAAATTAAACTGTTTTCTATTAATCCTAGAATTTTCTCTAGGGAATTTATGTTTCTGTTCCCAAGCGGTTCTGTGACGAAGGGCTTTCATCCTTATAGCCAATTGAATCAGAAACGGAAGGAAAAAAGTCGATGCAGTGATAAGTTGAGTGCAATTTATTACCCATATGTAAATGAAATATTCATAGCTTCGATACTTCCCTGGGTATGAGGATTGTTTAAGTCGATCATTAAAAAGCAACTAATAACTCATGGCTGCAAATCCACTTTCGGAAAGTTCTGCTATTTTCTACCATTCCTAGTTTATTCTAAAAATTTTGCTTTCCAAATTGATACATAATTATTGGTTTATTAAAACCTAGTTCATTACATAAGTAATAATACAAAACTTGGGCGATATTGGACAATAGAATATCTAATGACAAGTGTTTTTATAGGCAAGGTTGACCAAAAACCTTTGCTTGGATTATTAATTAATTAATACAGTTTAATACTTATAATCGAAAAATTCAACCCATCACTTTATGGTTATAAACAAATTTTGATTTTTGTATCGGGCGGAATCGGAAAAATCGCAAATTGTATATAGCAAATGTTCTATTAATAACTAATTAATGTAATAGTATATAGCAATTGTTAAAGCAACAAAGTCCAAGTAATAATTAAACAATTGAACCTGGCTTCGGCAAAAGGTAGTGGCTATTCGTCAGAGCCATCGGAAATGTGGTGTTTGTGGTTTAATAATAATAATAATATATGCTACACTGTGGTCACATAAGCTATTGTACACAAGCATTATAGAAAGAAAAGCTATCCACTTTTTAAATATAGTCGAATAAAAACGTCCCTTTTGGCGTCGACTCGGTCGCCCATCGGAGAAAACATAAATCACTTTAAAATTTCAATTTAAAATTTCCTAAGATGGATCATTTCAAAATGAATAATCTTTATAGAAAAACGCATAAAAAAACTGCTTAAGCAATATTTATAATTTGTAATGACTTTATAAAAATGAATTTACCAGCAATTTATCAATATAAGGTTGAAATAGATGAGCACCGCTGGCTGCTAATACATTTCAAAATTTTTACCAGAGAGGTATTTGGCTAAAAGTAGTCGCCAGTGAGGTGGCACGCGGATTTTTTGTCCACAGACACCACGACCTGGACTTTTTGATGGCCGGTTTTCCTGTACGGCAGAAGGGAGTTAAGAGCCGAACCCTTGCCTCTCAACATATTTATTATGCAAGTGGAATAACATGAAATATGAAATATGTGACTCTTTATTTTATGTTCATAAGCAAAGTGATATAAAGGCGAAATTGAGTGATTGATCGAAGCCTCAAAAACAAGAAAATCTTTTTCGATTGTAAAATAAGTGATAGAGGAGGAATTCGATTCGAAATAGAATTATTACGGAGAAAATAAATTCAATAAAATTGAAATATGAAACTGTAAATGAAAGAAATTTCTAGGAAATATTGAACAGAAATTTTTAAGCACCCGCAATAATAACAAATAACAATAAAAATAATAAAAAAAATAACAAATCTAATAACAATAATAAGTAAAAAAATTAAGGCGATTTATATTTACCAAGTGGCGCAGGAAAATCTAATAAAACAGCTCGCAGAGAAATAAAATTGTTACTCGTAGCATCTCATAAAGCCAAGGAAGTGTAAATATGAATATTCGCTATAACGTCGAATTTAAAACGTGAAAATAAAATGAATTTGGATGAAATATAAATAGCTGAGAAATAATTTAAATTTAAGAAATATAGATTTATATCACAAATTTAATTAATATTCCACAGATTGGAAATGGTCAAAAGCTCTGAAGAAAAATAAACGAGCTTATTCCCATGCACAAATTTTCATGTAAAAAGTTGTTGTTATGTCCCAAAGCTGTTCAATTTCTCATAAAATAAAGATTTAAAATTGCGATAGCGGACGAGTCAAGTAAGAAGACATGGAACAAAATAAATAAAACTCACATCTTTGCATATTTATTGAAGATTTTTAGCTAAATTTTGAAGAATTTGCAATAAAAATTCAAAAAAAAAACAAGAAATAGAAAAAAATTGAATAAGAATTCCGCGAAATTATAAAAAAAATACTGAATAAAACATTGAATAATAAGAACGATGATTAGTGAACTCAATTAATTATTAAATGTCAAATTAATAATCGAGCATTTGCATGTTTCATCTGAGCGATTCTCGGAGGAAGTGCATTTGAATGAAACCTCAGAGCCAAGCGTGTATTTTGATTCCTTTTCCATATTTATGGCTTTAAACCCCTCGCTGAGCTTAAACCCTTTAATATACACAATAAGGCCGAGTGCTGAAGGAGATTTTTGCAACCATAAATGCGACCTTTACTGCTTACTTTCATAAGATTTCCTCATTTTTATTCTTCATTCTCATATTTTTATTCATAAATTTTTTTCCTACAGTGTTCATCATTCATCATTTCTGGTTTGGCTTATTATGCTGGCTTGCACAAAGTTTCCTATTAGAAGGTCTCTTGATTACAGAAGTATAACTGAGCATTGTCTAAATTTTTGAGGGGCAGTCCTATTCCTGCCAGAAGTTGAACGTCACCACCATTGACACTTTGAACTGAGGACAGCAACCTATTGAGCCATTCTCTCCCCTTATCGTATAATCAATGATTAATAACTGTTTTGCAGTTTTATTGGCTCTTTTATACAGTGCAATTTTAAAAATTTATATCATTAGTGATAAAGTTTTACATTACAAATCGCCAGAATTAAAATTTTTGATTAAATTTGAGTAAGGAAAAATTTTAAATGTTAATAAATATTAATATAAAATAAATATTTGTTTTATTGCTTTTATTTGACCTTCTTCTAATTCGGGGAGATTTGTGAGCATTGCTAGTATTATGGCCGGCGCTCTTAACCATCTGGGAGATTTTTTTATTAATTTTTAGATTCTTTTTTTTGAATTAAACATCTGAGTGGTGCAGGGAATCCACAAGGGAATCCTTGACCCCTGGAAAAAATTTGTTATCATGCTGACAATGGAGCAAGCCTAATTAGAAACCATTTATTTAGCTGTTTTATAATTGGTCACTTGCTGCGTTGCTAATACAAGCATGTCGTTGCTATAAGCTCAGATATATGTAATAATAACAGACAAGTACTTTATAATAAACAATGAATGTAATAAAAATAGTAATATTTATGAATAGTATGAACTTAAAAGATAATCGATGCACCGATAATTTTATAACCACTGAACAATTTACGAAACTGAATTTCATTTGCACATAATTTGTGGAACAATCGAAATCCAATAAATTAGATTGAAATATGCAACTTTTATAATCAAAATCTGCTAAAATCTTCTTCCACGTTAAAGAATGGACATTATAAAAGACAAGTGGAATCCTTTATTAACTGAAGATACATCGCTAATTCCTCATACTTTAGGATATATCTCATAACAATTACAAATGCGTTATAAAACTCATTCATCGTAATCGATGGAAAATTTGGAAATTTAAAAATTTCTTCTTCATTTAGCGGTGTTTTCTATTTTAACTTTTTTGTTCATACGTTTGTTATGGTGTTTTTTCCATATTTACATTCAATAATCAGGAAAAGAATGGTTTAATGAATTATTGGAACGCCTATGCTAAGGTTCCACACTTCGCAGGAATAAATATATCCTATGTGTCCTTCAAAAATCCGGGGTGATTCAAATTTCGCGACTCCTAACAAAACTCCTCCTCGTCTGGCCAATCAGAGAAGCGAGTCTCACCAAAAATGATGCCTTAATGCTCTCAAAAAAAATATCTTTTTCTCACTCATTCTTATTTTACAACTATATGAGTATTATTTATCATTCGATATAGCTTGATCCGACGATTATGGCGAACAAGCGTTGAATGACATCGTATTGCTAATATGTTGATATGATATGAGATTTCCTATCCTCAGATTCATCTTGTCTTTAAACTTGGATTACTTTGAGTTTTCAATAACAAACGATTAGGGGACTTGAACTCAGGTTTTAGGCAAAACTGGCTAGTACAAAGGAACTTCTTGTTTCTATCTTAGTCCAGTGTCATAAATGAAGGCAAGAGAAATCACTCCACTTTTTCCACTCTCTAATATAGATTTTCAATACATTTCTTCTATACTTTTATCTTTTCTGACCATATCATCCCGGTGTCCTGGTTGGTTCTTTTTGCTTTCCTTCTTCCTTTTAGATAAGATTCAGCAATGGGACATATTCTCTCTGAGAAGAAATACGATTTGTACTTGCAAAAAAACGACCGCTTAAGATCAATATACTTCTAGAAATAGAGTTAACAGGAAATCGGATTTATCATATTTCCTCCTATTTTTCTTCGTTATTTTTCTATTTACCAGTGAATTCCGATACAAAAGATCGATTAAGTTAATAGACAAGTCCCGCAAATATATCTGTAAGATCGGTATATTATTTTTTCTAAATAATTTTGAAATAAATTCTCTCGAGTGTGTCGAAATATATTAAAATAATTGAAATATTTTTAAATCATATCGAACACTACTTAGGAAATGGTTCCTATTTGTATAATTATAAAAAAAACTAGGTAAATCACATATATTATTGCTATTTGATATTTCTTATCACTTATCAATCGTCAAACATATTACAACGTTTTAACTATTAATCCTACTTAATCAATATTGTTGATCAGCAAGGGCTTTTTGCCACTAAAGCATATTGCGGAAAATACTCACCTAATTACATGCAGTTCGCCAGTTAATCAACATTCATTAAACTCAGAATGGCTATATTTTCATCAATTATCGATGGAAGAGTACTAGATGACCGGGTATATCGTGGAGTCGAAACTGGTATTCTCCATGGGTCGGACCATGCTATGGTTAGATCCGAATGGAACTGGAGCATGAAAAACATAGCATCCCCCACAATCCTTTGATTATCTCAAATTAAAGATTCAGGGCATAGAGGAAATTCCAAGCTGAAGCCCTAAAAGTCTTCAATAAATTATTACTTCTGGGACTGTCGAGAAGTACTGGCCCCAGTCAAAGTTCTCTCTTCAGAAGTCAACTAAATCCACCACTCTAGGATATACGACTCGGAAGAAGGCAAATTAGATTTCACATGAAACGGTCCAGATGTCCCGTCGTCACATCGACACTCGCTACGATATGGCTTTGAAAGTGGAGAAAGCTCGAATGGGTTATCACTGAGAATTATTGCACTAATTTAGCAAGAAATTCGAAAAAGTGAAATGATTCGATACAAAGGTGGAAACCCCGTTAATACCACCGAAATCTCAGCTTAATAAGAATCTCAGACTGGTCTAATAACTGGAATGCCATTTGCAAGTGCGAACTGTCCAGATGTTGCGCAGCGTCCCACAAAAATTATATTCACTGGCGCGAGGAGAAAAGAAGACTGGAACAGACTGAAGACTGCCATATGACTGGAACAAGTTCTCCTCTCCTCTAAATTCGACAGAAAGGACATAGTGCGACAACTATCTATCGCATTTGGCTTGCCAGATGTTCCTGAGAAGGCCTTTGCCTCTTTTCCGCTGGACAGGAGAGTGCGCGAGCCTAGGATGCACCATAAGCATGTCGGATTTTCACCAAAACCTACCTGGCCAGCTGTCCAATTCTGCACTTTCTTTCTGCCTTTTCTGTCGCAAATAAGTATTACAAATACTTACAAAAATAAAAGTCGATTCGAATTCCATAAAAAGTCACTAAATTAATTCCTATTTATTCACTAATATACTTTTCTGCAATTAAAGTGTCAAAAATAAAATTAATTTGTTCTCACAGCGTCAGAAATAATACCCCTGCAATTTAAAAATCCCGCCCAAATTTCATATTCATGTTTATTACATTTTCGTTTTAAGACCTCAGATATGCTGACACCTTTCATCTTTTAGAATTTGTTTTTGTGTCTGACAAATACTATTTTTTGTGACTCCATGTATCTCTACGTCTTCCTCGTATATAAATGCTTTCAATTTTTATGATATCAGTCGTTCTGGGTTTTTACGAAGTTGTTGTGGTCTTTGATCTCTTCGTGTTTGGGGTGTTGTGTTGTTAGTGTGGCGGTGCCGTGGCATTTCGGATTTTGTGGGTGGCATTCGATCTTTCGGTTAGGTTTTTGAGCGAAGTTCCTCCTGGCTATTGAATTAAGTTTTGTGGCGTTGAATAAGGTTCAGTTTATGTCATTTGTGCGGTGATCATTGCTGTCAATAAATCGGCAGGCTAGTCTTTTCATGAAAAGACTATTGAAAATTATGAAAATTATGAAAATTCCTTTACCATGGTCTAATAACTGTTTGGCATTCTCGAAATGTCTGGCCGTCACCTCATTTCATTTCTGATGGCAAATTTTTCCTTCTAAAGGGCATGGTAATGTATTGGCCTCCTAATTGCTAAATAACTAAAAAGTGGAAAATGCATGTTATTATCCACCGGAAGTAATTGGTAGCGGAATTTTTTGGGCTTTCTTTCTCGTATTTTTTTGTGATAATTTGTTCATTCTTTTATTGCATAAATTTTCAGTCATCATGTACAATAATATTGGTTTACAAACTGCACGCGGTTCAGGTACGAATGGTTACGTTCAAGTTAATCGTGCCAATTTGCTAGTCCTAAAGGTTTTTTCTTTTTGCTTTCATTTTTTATTTCTGTAACACCATTTTTGCTACACTACACTGTTATATATTTATATTTCCTGTTTTATATTTCCTTAAATTATTTTAGTTCACAGTTTTTCACTTTGGTTGTAATCAGCTTTGATTATCTTTAATTTTTCTTATTTATTTTTTATTTGTTTTGATCTTTATTTTTCGAAAGGTGAAAGGTTCTTTTTAATTCGCCAGTGGTGAAAATAGAGGTAAACATTTGTACTTTTTTTCTTCAAATTGTTAATTTAAAAAGAATTAAAAAGAAATTTTAGAAAGAAATTAAATACAATGCTGAAAGTGATATCAAAAGGATGGAGGCTGAAATAAATAGAAAACCTGATCCTGGAATAATCGATCACAATAATAAACGCGTTATTGAGATTAAAGTTGAAGAATTAGGTGACGAATTAGAGAAGAAGGTTTGTTTTGTTATAATCTGTAGTAATATTTTAAAATTTTTGTTAAAGAGAACTCACCATTATTGTTTAAACTCGCTTCACTGGCTTGTAACATTGGGCAGTATGCTAGGGAGTCTCTTGGCGATAGAAATACAAGCAAGTGAGTCACCTGCATCACCCGTCAGCATCAGCATAATTTTTTAAAATTGTAAAAAAATTACTTACATCCAATTTCATGGCAGTCTATGTGATGTCAATGAAATTGCTATAACTTTAACCTGTTTAATTATTCAGAATTTTGTTCTAATTTAAGAAAGCCTTTAGGGTGTCTCAGTTGAAGAAATTGAAAAAGAGAAGGAAAAATACCGCAATGAACTAATGAAGAAATATCAGAAGGGACAGCTGGATGTTTCACCTTTTGTAAAAACGAATGATACACATTTAAATGCTGTTCTGGCTGCGAAAATGAGGGATCGAATGCGTGATGCTTTTGGTATTGATAGTAATTACACAAATGGGAGTTCCTTTGCAAAGTAAATGATATAATGTTCATATAAATATCCTCTTATTTATTGACAGTTCACTAGAGAATACTGTTTTGCTTTTTACTATTTAAGAATATTTTACTATTTTGTTGGAATAAAAAAGTTTTTACCATTTTCTTCTCAGGATGAATAACAATTATGGTCAAATTACTATTGAAGAGGTCGAACAAGATGAAAAAAATGATGTTCTTGCATCGAAGGTTGTTTTTTGCATATTTTTTTAGGTTGTGTGTGATGGGTGGGATGCATTATTTAGTCATATCATAAAACTGGACCAGTTTCTTGGTCCATATGAAGATGAAAAATGCCTTTTAATCGCAAAATTCAGAATAAAGCAAATCTTCAGTGATGTTCACATAAGTGTATGGTGCTTTTAAAGACGATGAAGAAAGTAATAATGAGATAATAGAATTGGTTCTTAAATACCGATCAGCTATTCATAATACTTGTTAAACATTGATATGACCACTGAAGTAAATCGGGCTACAATCTTACGATTTTTTACCCATGGCAAATTGATTCATTTAAAGTTGGGATATTTATTTAGTTTGTTGGTAAGTTATAATTGCTTTGCATGGCTTTGGATTAGTGAGAAATATCTTTCAAGTTTTTTTCATCTTTTAGAAATTTTAATATTGAAATTTTCTTTAATATTTAAATTATTTCATTTTAGTGCTTTTTAGGAAAAAGTAAAGAAAGTTCGTGAAGAATCTCCAAGTTCATCATCTTCATCATCGTCTTCTGAATCATCTGATGACAGTGGATCATTTTCTGATTCTAATGATCATCCGTCGGAAGCTAGTAGCTCAGAACAAAATTCCAGCAAAACGTCTTCGGAGGACGATGAAAAGCGGCATAAAAGCAGTGATATTGATAGAAAGAAGTAAGAATTTTGATAGAATAGTTGAAAATATATTGCCTTATAGCAAATCAAATTTTTAAGTGAATCTTTCACCTTTTACTTGCAGTATTCAATCTAATCGCCGTCGACGCAGAAATGATGCTGAGGATTTGCTTGATGAAATTAGTCGAAAAAGGCGAGTAAGTGATGAAAAAGATCGTGAAAGGTAGATTATATGGTCCCATTAAAATTTTTGAAACTTGTGCTTCTTTGCTTGATTTCAACTAAGGGATTTGCAGTAGATGCGATTATTCCAGGCAATGGCGACATAAAAATAATGATGAACGAAATCCAAGGTATATTCCTGGTCGAAATGCTGACCATTGTTCTTATGACAAACGATCCCATTATCCTCCGTTCAGAAATCGCTATAACGATCGGAATATTTATAATGATGAATATATTCGTCAGAAGTATTTGTTTATTTTTTTTCATATTTCTGTATATGTTATTCGTATAAGTTAATTATTTCTCAGTGATTCTTTTGTATACTTGGAAGTTTCAATAGAATAAGTGGATAATTACAACCATAATTTATTCTTTCTTAGATGCGACAACGGTCAGCGAAGCGAGCGTCGTCGTCGTCGCAGTAAAAGTGATCGTCGCGATAATTCAGGTTCATTACAAGTTTTTTTCCACTCATTGTTTAAATCACAAATGGTGAAAGCTAAAGTTTTATTTCAGCTTGCATTTTGCAATTTTTACAGATCATTATTCGAAAAAACGTGCAGGTGACGAACGTTATTTGCGTTATCCAAGGGAACATCAAAGACGCAGTGAAAAATATCGTACAAATCGCGATTCATCTCTATCTTTGAAGAGAACTGCGAAACATCGGCGCAACAGTTCGTCATCAACAGAAAGTTCAGAGTATCAGTTTAGAAAAGATTTGCAGCTTAACAGATCACGAGTGAATGAAAAGGATGATACTGGCGTATCTCATGCAGTTCAACGAAATGAAAAATCGGAAAGATCATCCAGGGAAAGCAATGTTTCGCTTAAAGCAGATGATTTGGAGAAAACAAGAAATAAATCTGACAACAGAAGTCACCGAAGCTCACCTGTTGGTACAGATCGAGCCAATAATGCAGAAAAAGCGCTGAAAGATGAGTCTTCCAAGAAGAATGGTTCGCCAAATATTCATAGTGGAATTGTGACTGCGGAAAAAGTGGATGAAATAAATTTATCAGTTAAATCTTTACAGAATTCTTCTGATCAAACATCTGATACAAATTATGAATCTGACAGTGATCCATTTTCACATTCTTCAGATTATCGTACAGTTCGCAGTTCTGTTGTTGTTGCCAAACATTGATTACAAATAAATATTGCTAAACATATCTTTTCCTGACATGTATTTTTTAAAAAAAGGAATTTTTACAAAGTGGCGCTGCCATTATTATTATTTGTCGTTATGGTATATTTTCAAATAAATGGTGTTTAATGTTGAAATTTTGATTTATGGTGTTTAATTTTTTATCACTTGCGAGATATTTTTACTCCGTCAGATTTATCATTAAAGTTAAATTATGAAATAAATTTGAACCATAATGTATAAATAAATAATAAGTTACGGAGGGTCATTAAATTTAACGTAGATGTATGGGCAGTGGTCCAGTGACTGTTGTACGTGAATGAATTGTAGTCGGTGAATGAGTGGCGCAGTTCAAATTAGCAAGGCAAAAGCTGTATTGTTGATTAGTGTTATCGATTGTGGCGATTGGTGGTTGTTCGTTTAAGTGGTTTGATATGGTGCTATTTGGTGAAGGGAAAAAAAACTCATTGAAAAGGCTGTTTCGAGAAGGCCGTAGAAAGAATGTAGCGAGAGCTGAGATAAGTGCCATTTCCCATGTCAACATGAAGGATGTATAAACTGAAATCGAAATTTAAGTGTTTTATGTTCCAAAAATTGACAAATTTTTCCTTATTTGTTTATGATCAATTTGAATGGATTCCATATTTTCTTAATTGGGTAAAGTGGTTTGTTTCTTAAGTCATATATTGTTTTGACCAAAGACAAATGTTCTAATTAGTTCCATGCAAAAGTGAAATGGTATTGATGACCATATCTTCTTAAACCTCTCATTTGATCGTCTCATTTGTATCTAAAAATCTAATGCTCTACCCATTTGGGTATTCTGGTCATGGTACTTATAGGAATCAACCAAACTAGAACTGGTGAATTAGGAAGATAGGGAAATAGGGAAAGTAATAAGCCTTTGCAGTCGTAAAAAAACATACATTGTGCTTTTGAAGAAGCTGAGAGCAAATGATCATCTTTGAATATATCGAATGTTGCGGATAAATCAAATGCGAACTTTTGAATTGAATAAAGAGCTTGAGCTATATCAATCAGTCGGAACATTATAGCAAAGCGGTATGGTTCTAGTTTTTCCTGTAATTCTTTTGTTAATTATAGGTCAAAGATGGTATTGTCATTGGCTAAACAAGGTTAAGTCAAGAAATCCCAAAAATTTCATGAAAGCAGAATTCATTAAGCTCACTTTCCAAGTTATTTTCTTAGAATTTAAACGGAAATCCCGCTGTAAAAGTCGGAATGATCATGTTAAGGATTATTATTATTACTTATGTTAATTTAATTCAATAAACAATTGAAATATTTACTTACCTGGCCGAGTGGTATGATTATATAACAACCATAAAAAGCAATGAACATAGATATAAGACCAAATAAATTTGATAAATGGAACCATCTGAATTTAAAATAAATTGTTTGAGTGTATAACTAGTTGTTTTTAATAAATATAAGTTGTTTTATTATTTTATTTATGGAATTGTCAGTGTTTTTCGTTCTCCTTTCCTCTCCTTTCCTCTCCTTTCCTTTTTAACGGTATGCAATTTTTCTGGTTTGGCTCGTTCCTAACGACTAGCCATTTAGAGGTGGAATTATGCCCTTACCGTTCGTGTGGGCTTTTCTTTTATTGACCCTTGTTGGCAGTTTATTCCTATTAAGGGACAGGAATTGAAAAGAACCTATACTTCTTTCTTTCAGCCAATATGCGAATTCTGGATATATACCAATAAAAAAAGCTAGAATTAAAAATTCTTTTAATTTTCCAGCTAAATTTGATTTTAATTTTACTTTTTTAATGAAACTTTAGTGGCACTTGGTAAGAAAATACCGTAAAGGAAAAAATGGTTTTAGCCAAGTGGTTTTTTTTTTCTTGAAATCATATACTGGAAGAATCATTAATAGGACTTGACTTGATGGTCCTTATATTCGTTTCGAAGATTTGTTTGCGTTTGATCTGTTTTTCTCATTAATCATTTGTTCCATAAATATTTCAAATTTGACACAAATGTATTAGAAAAATTGATGGGTAGGTTGACAAGCCTAAGAATTTGAATTAAACTAACAAATGGTCATTTGTGCCACGTTCCAATATAACAATGATATCGATGACCTGTAAGGTCACTCGTACGATTGGTGTTTGCAGTACAATCCATTCAATTCGTCTAAGATTCGTCCTAAAAATGAAATAATTACCTTTAGCTATTTGTGAAAAATATAAAAATTCTATTTTAAACTTATAGATTTTATTTAGCTAAAGGACTTGAAAATCTGAATTCTGAAGTTTTATTTGTTATATTTTTATAAATTTTTATAAATTTGTTATATTTTATAAATTTCTGAAGTTATATTTTTTAGCATTATGAACATGATATTAATCAAAATAAAAATATGAAATCATAGAAATTTCAAATTCGAAAATGGATGTGCGGATGTGATTTGGTAATCTACAGAAATATAAATTCAAAAAAACTTTTGGAGATTTCCGAACTTTCCCAAATTTTTATAAATTATCTGTCGGCACTGCTTTATTCATCTTGGTAGGTACTATTTTAGTTAGAAATTTGCTAAGGAGTTATTTGGTGAAAGAAGTAGAACGCATAAGTTGATCGCGAGCACCACCTGGCTTCTATTCATTCTTGTTGGAAGCAGGGGAAAGGAAACTGTGATGCTCAATGCGAATCGGGGCGACCACTCGAATTTCCTATAAGATTACGTGGTAATTTTAATGTCATTACCTTGTAGCATCGAAGTGCGGCAAACATGGGCAACAGCAACAGATATGAGGAATTTGCAATGATATTTTTTGATTGGTCGATAGAAGATATTCGGACAAAGAATTTCGTCCACCGCACATACTCTTCATTAAGGAAACAACGATGAAGAGGCATAGCATAAAGTAGCTAAAAACTTAGTTAAAGGTTAATATTGTTTGTAAAAATTAAAAGGGGATTTTTTAGATTTGTTCATAAATTATTCATACAACGTTAATTTCCTTTTGTATGAAATGTTGCAATCAATCAATCAACCGAAGTTGATAATAAGAAGATAATAAATAATGGTACTTAATAATCGCTGATTTATTTTTATGAGAAACAAGTAAAATTATATTTGTGGGATAATTTTCAAAAGCCAGGATTTTAAAGTTTAACCATCGTCCAGCGTGTTTAGAACACTTTGTTATGAGGGATTGTGGAGCGAGTAGAATGGCTCAGCAAGCTGTTGCTCTAATTTAGAAGCGCTAATACTTCGTGGATCAGGATTGAATTTGTTTTTCAAAAATTCGGGTAGCGCTAGCGATCCACTTGTACCTTTATCGCCAATCAACTTGGTGGGTGGAGCAAACCTATTCAAGAATGGGTAGCGCTCAGCACCAAAATTTCTGGATGATAACCTATTATAAATGTGGCTTTTTAATTGCACTTGGCAATAAAGCAAGAAAATAATGATGAATAATGGCACTTAGTAATAGTGATACTCGGTAAATAATATTCTAAAATAAAACTTTGACTTTATTTAAAGCTCTAAATTGATAATGTTCAACTGGTTTTAACTGGTTGTAAATAACGAACAGTAGAGCAACTGAATAGGTGAAATTCGCTGCTCGAGGAATGTACATTCCTATTAAACCACACAGAGTAGCAATCTGAAAAGAAAAATGGTCCATAATTTTTAATGTTTGAAGTAAGTTATATTATTTTTGTATTAATTTTTTTATATAATAGCTAGTTTTATTCAAGTAGTTTATATTATAATTAAATTACGTTACACCGGTTAATTTTCACTACCACAAATCTGGAATTCGCGAAACAAAACTAAGTGGTAATCGATGGATACTTGGAAAATTTTTGTTGAAGAAATCGTCAGTTCAGCTTTGTATTTTTGCATATATATTAAAGATATTCTGATAGAAAAAAACTAAATTTTGAAACGTTTTGCTAAGAATGATTGGATATAATGATACCATTTACTGGAACCATTATAATGTTTATTTCCACTCTTAAGGTATATTCTAATAAGTTAACCACTACAAATACTAGTAACGTTACATTAAGTAATTTAAATAGATTGACTTACGGGACACATAAGAACAAGCCAGTAGAAATCAGCTTGTATGAATTCATTGCTGATGTATTTATAAACATAATATAGATGGATAAATGCGAGGATAATAACTATAAACGTAAAGGTGGTACTTACTGCGAGGAATGTGACATAGATGGTGTTCATTTCTGAAAAGATTTTCCACCGATTACTTCTGGAAATTTTTCTTTTCAGAAAAATGAAAAAATATTAAAATATGATTAAAACTTACACTCGTTCTCGAACTATATATGAAAAAGATTAGACATAAAAATGTAAAATGCAAAACTTAGTCGTTAACAAACCTGATAACCATGTTTCTACATCAGGTGGCAATGCATGCGTATTATTATTTGTGTATACGAATGTTGTAATTAATACGGCAGCTGACATCGCAAGTGGAGAATCTTTCAAATTCTGTGAATTGATAATTTTTTTTTGAACTTTCATAAATTTTTCGAAAAAATTTTGGGGTATAAAAAACTGAGGGGGATTGGAAGAATATTGCGATACGAAATATACAGAAAGATACACAGAAAGAGTAAACATATATTAGGGAGAAGATAAGGATGGAAACTATTTCGACTTATTTGGGTATTTTACCAAAGTCTGATTGCATGGCGAATTGTCTCAAATTCAAGAGATATGCGTATCAAAAGCGCAATATTTTTTGCTGCGACAAATTACTAAACCATATATTTGACTCTGGGTCAATGCAAAGAAGAAATTTTTTTCGTATTCCACACTCTGAGAAAGTACCTATTCCATCAACGAGTGTGCAACTGCTGGGTCCAATTCTTCACCAAATGGTCAGTAACCAAAAATCCATCACGAATAATCATCAGCTAGGAAAGCATTGCTCTTCCTGGCAAAGTTCCTACAAAATCCTCGAAACGTCGGAATGAAAGTTCGCACTATTTAGCGTACAATTGTACTAAATGAGCATGGCCATAAATGTGACCATTAAAATATGTTCGCTGAAGGCTTGAATCACATACTATTTCCCTCATGTTTGCTTGGATAGCGTCGCTTATGCTTGTCATTAGTACATTTTTTATCATCCATAATAAGAATTGATGTATGTGTTGATGGATGGCATCGAAAATAAGTAGGCCAAATCAAAAGATAGGAATGATTAAAAAGATTTTGAGCGCTTATGCACGCTTAGATGATAATAAAGAGTGGATTTTCAAATATGGCTTGAAAATGAGTCAGTTGAGGCAATAAGCGCTTTGAGAAGCCAGAAATGTTGTAAAACCAGCATTTAAACCTAATTTGAAATAATTCCATTTCTCATTTGTTAACTAAAATGGACAATGAGAAATGAAATAAGAGTAGATTAATCCACAGTTTCAATCCATATAATCCATAATTTCCAGAATTATAGTTTTCATAGATACACGTCGACTTATGTCGACGATACTCGATTCCCAACGGAAAGGTTCAATGGAAATTTGAAAGGGGTCAATGGAAATCGAGAGGAAGATTGGAGTCGATGAAAAGTTGGATATTTTTTTTATTTTTTTGAAATTGAAAATAAATTTAAACAAGGCGTAATTGATAATAACAATCAATTTATTAATAACAATCATGCAGAAATTTTTTTAACTGATTTAATCTATTTCTAAAAGCATACAAAAACTTCTCTGTGACGCAAATCGGAGTGGAATAAATAAATAAATGTCCTCTATTCGGAAAAAGGAATAAACCTTTTTGAAACCTTTATAACTCCACTTTTTTTTTACGTCCATTATGTGCAGTATCTTGGCGGTGGAATAACTTAAAAATTCTTACAAAAAAGCATACAATTCAGTTGAGAAGAATGTTTTTTTGTATGGGATCAATGTAAAAAGGTTGGGGAACCTCGATGTGCATCGATGACTTCCGTTGTTTTCAAATATGGTTGGAATCTTTGTAGCCAATGGGATCGAGCTAATGGATTATTAAAAGGGATTTCAAAGATGGCTGATATATGCAAATAGCCATTTTTCTCTCATGCACACCTTTCTTTAACACTAATATAAAACTGCTGAAAATGGTAAGCGAAATTTCAATAATTACAATAATAATCACTCGTATGACGAATAATTCATTAAAATTTACAAAAACTGAATTAAAGTGAATAAAGATAAATTAATCATTCAGTAAAATTTAAAAAATTGCGACTCGAAATAATAAAAGCAGAAATATTTGAAAAATTGTTGATGAAAAATTAAAGGAACAAGAAGGTTTAATTTCACTGTGTAAATGAATGAAAAATAAAACAAAAAATGATAAAAATTGAAAAGGAAATTTCCGATCAAATTTAATTAAATGGTCATTGCAAGTCGTAAAAAATTTATAAACGTAACTATGGCAATACTTATTATTTCGAACAATAATCATTATGAGATCCATGTGCGAGAGACATTTATGGATGCAAGAAAATCTTCAACCTTCGAATGAAATTTTTTTTTGATTTTATCATAAAATTAAGAAAAAGCGACATTTTGTATTTATCGCAGTTCGCAAATGGACACCCATTTCTATAAGTATTTGACAAGTAAAAAGTATCTCCATTTAGCAATCAAAACAGTGGCAAAAAGCCGAATTAGCCGAATAACCAAAAATGGCGAAGAAATTTAATAATGAGCTAAAACGAATAATTTATCTGCATGTTTCATTATATCGCTGTTTGCATCCACAATCAAATCAGCATTTTCTTCAAAAGATTGGCCGCTTGTCAACTGATTTAACCATGTCCAATGTAACCGGAAAAAAATGTTTATGTGTAATTTTCTTCTTCTAACTTCCTCTCACCATTACTGTGGTTGGACTGACTCCACTGGCTATAAGACTTTTTTAAGATTTGCGATCTGATACCATCGTCGACAGTAATAGAAGACATTCCTTCTTCCGTCATCCAAGTCTATGCATAGCTGGCCCACCTATATACGTTCAAATCTTTCTTCCCTTCCTGACAATATCAGCCCATAAATTTATTCAAGTGGTATATGAAGGAAAGTGCGATCATATGAGATTTTACACTCGGTGAATTCGTAAAATGTATCTTAGAGTGGTCAAAGGAAGATAGTTTCTTAATATTCTCCACTCTCATGTTTCACAGCCAAGATCGAGCAAATCGTAACTATATAGATGCAGACTTTCGTTTCTATGGTGATCTCGCGACGGCTACTTAAAGATTTCATCAACCGATAGGAAGCATTTCTAGCTGCCGTTATCCAGGTTGCCAGTTTCCTCTTTCGCCTGGCCATTCGGTATTAGAGTGGATCCAAAGTATTTAAAACTTCCTTACTTCCATACTTCCTCGATCGGCAATTCACAAAAAGGTATTTTATCAGTTTTTTGCACATGAGACGAGAAATCTTTCGTTTTGTATACATTGAGCCTGAGTCCAATTCTTGCAGTTAATACGTTATTTACTTGCATTTCGTAAGCAAAAAGGACTACATCATCAGCATATTCAAGATCTGATGCTCTCGACTGATTTGTACATTTCTTGAGTGCCGACAAGCGGTGTCTATTATCCAGTCCATTCCACCGAGCCTTGGCGGACACCAGTTTTTATTTCGAGGGAGTCTGTCAATTCCCCACATACAGAGACCTGCATCGATGTACGCTTGTAAAATGCATTTGTGAGTAGAACGAACACCGTTTCATCAACCTCCAAAGCGTCGTTTAATCAATTGAATCAAAGGTAGACACAAAGTCAATGAAACACGTAATGATGTGTTGCTGACATTTGAAACGATGTTCCAACATCCTTCTTAATGTGAATATCTGGTCAGCGCAATCACTCCCCGGTCTGAATCCAGCTTGATTAGGGGGCATCCTACTGCCCCGTACTTCCTAAGTCTGTTGAAGCAAAAATTGAAGTAAAAGAGGAACAAAAATTTTCGCTGACGTCTTGTACCTTTCTTAGGAACTGGAAGCAAGATTGCTTTCCTCCAGTCATCTAGTAATATTTCTTTCTTCCATACCAGATAGTTCATTTGTCGAAGAATGTAACATGAAGGATGATGGACAACATTGAAAGAGTTCAGCCATCTTCTCCTGGAACCTTATGGATAACGGAGATTATTTCTTCTTCTTCTGTTGGCGGTTATAATTGCAAAAATATGATTCGACGAACGTTTCAGCATGTTCTGGGCAATAGATGGCGTATTCAAGTTTGGCCTCAAAAAATTCTTTTCATTTTATAAGGCGATCCTTAATAACAGGCACACCATTGCAATATATATATATATATATAATTAAATTGTATAATTATATAATAAATTATTATATAATTTAATTATATAATTTAATCTAATTATATAATTTAATTTACAATTTATTGGTTAAAAGAAATTTATATATAGCTTTATATATAGCTTTGAAAGTTCCAGAAATAGCGTAAGAGAATGACAGAGTGGAACAGAAAATGACCGCTCAAAAAACAAAATTTCCCAAGGTAAGAATTTATAAGCCATCACCCTCAATTCTAACATTTCTTCAATTACCAGATGGAACTAATTGAAAATAGAATAGAAAATATTCTCGCATTTTGTTCGATTTGATTTAATTTTTTCTTTGCGAATGCATTCGATTCAGTTGATAAAGAGGCGACACGACTGCGTTCTAGAGATTATTCGACTCATGCAGGCATTTTAGCTTGCAGATTTATGTTATGGTGGAATACTTTCTGATCAAACTGATCCTCCCTGCATCCTTCGCTCTAGAATGTTTAAGCTATAAATTGTGATTATGGACACGATTGCCTGTTTGCAAGTCAGTCCAGAGCAGATCTTGAACAGATCTACGCTGACAACGTCCTTTTCCTATTTGCGAAAATCGGTCTCAGTCCATATTTCTTTTTTTCTGACAGTTTTGAAGAAATGCAAGAGATATTAAGTAGTGCATGGATGACTGCAGCAGAAATCAGACTCAAGATCAATGTAAATAAAAAAGCTTTTTCATTTAAAATTTTCTAATCATAGCTGGTTGGACTCGTTTGACTTGACCTGTCAGACCAAATTGACCAAATTTTGCTTTGAAGTCACTTAGCAGCAGAATTCATTGTGGCTTGTGGAAGTGTCAGATTTTAAATTTTGAATCCTCTCATTCTAAATGGCCAAGCCAAAGAAATTTCAGCTTGGAATCGTAACTAAAAATGCAATTTTTTATTTGATGAAATTGCAATCTATGGAATTACAACGAAATAACAAAGAAAACGAGAATTTTCATCCTGGATTAGTTCACACGATTTTAAATCTGCGAAATGCGGCCGATGAGAGTGGAAGATGAAAAGTTGTCTAGCTTCGATTATGTCTAAGGCAGATTTTATATGTTTGTTGAGTGGATGAGGGTTTACATGAATGCATCTGATTTTGCGCAAATACCACCTGCATCAACAGCATCATCACAGTGTGTTATAACTGGCTTAGACATGTTCTTAATCGCTTATTGCAAGACTTCATATATATCTCGTTATAAACCCTGTGATGGATGTCATCAAAAAAATCGACTAAGACTTGGACGATAACATTCAGAAGAGGTTTCGAACGCCTGCCTAGCAATGTTTGGGATTGCGCTTAGATAGTGGAAAAGGCCTTAGATTTCCTTCTGTTACTTTCGAGTATGAATCGGATCGTGCTGTATCGCCTTACCCTTATAGCAAGCGGAACTAATGATTGGATTGTGCTAGTTTACATTTAAAAGGCTATGATGTGCAAGATAGCCCGAGTGGCTCTAAATTACGTTGAGAGAGTAGGAGTAAATGCAAAAAAATCCGAGTGGTGTTGCCGACCTATTTTACTAATGGTGTCACCAAATAACTTCTTAACAACAGATCTGAGAGAAAGGGACGGATTTTTTATTCGCAAAATATAGATTGGTTCAATAATTTTTAATTAATTAAATTTTTGTTATAACGAAACACTTGCATTTGCTTTATTGCACTATCATTTATTATATTATTATATTATGCTTGGCTTGACGTCTAATAAATGAGACTGAAGCCACAAATTCGAATTATTTTATTGAGAATTAATGAGAAAAGCCTTATTTTTAAGCTCACGTACCTAATATTATTCGGCATTTGATCAATTATTACGATTACGATTATAAAATGATTCGAAATTGAGTGGAGCACCACTGTCTTCTGATTTATACGACAGATCACATATTCTATCCGATCAAAGATTCAAGGTGATTCAAGGTACCCCGACTTTGCATGAACTGTTCTTCTAATCATTTAGTATGGTTTTACAATCGCCAAATGGTGAATCTTTCAATCTTTTAATCTTTTAATTAAATTTAAATCTTTCATTGCAGTCCCGTTTATATGATGTGCCTGATAATTTGCTTAATAAATCTTTTCCAAGGAATACCTTTAACAATTTCACAAAAGTCGTTAATCAACCTTTTGCTTTGTTGACCAGCTCGTTAACGATTTATTCCCATTTTTTTATCCATCCTACTTTATTACCTATTTATTTTATGTATAACTTGATATTTCTGTCGCAGAAAATCAAATTAATTACACTTTTATTAATTGCCACAGATGCTGAATAATGATGGGAAGCCAATTATATGAAGCGTCATCAAAACCTTTTGAAACTCCTCTTAGCTTTCGCTAAGCCCACATGAACGACTGAAATCATTTCCTATCATCTAATCACGGGGATTAGCTAAAAACTGGTGGTAAATTTTCTAAGGGAATCTATTGTAACTGCTAAAATTTTAAACTGATCATTAGTTAGCAATAGTTAGATGGAATATGCCAATCTTCTTTTTTGAAAATAGGAGATATATATCACATATCGAAGACATATAAGCATGTATATTCGACAAAAATGCAAATTTTAGGATTGTAACTTATTTCCTCGTCATAGGCTTCGGAGATCTAATCGTAATAATCGTACAAATTAATTCAATATAATTAGAAAAATATTGGAGAACGAAGTTCATTTGACAAACATATTGAAATGTTATTGAATTTATCTGATGTTGGATGCTGAATTATTGAAAAACAATGCAAACTATATTGCCACAATCACAAGCTTAAGCTGAAAGCTAACATACAATACAATGACAACAGTCTTTATATAGAGTTCCAATTACACCTTATTCGCCACTTTAACGGACAATTTATTCACAATGATTTGATTTGATTTACCTGTAAAAGTCATTCATCCAGTCTTTTATCGAAAAAGATTCATGGCGAATTCCATAACATCACTCACGAAAGTTTACAAATTTTAAAACAATACGAAAATTTAAATTATAATTATAATTATAATTAAATTTAAATTAAATTATTAAATATTTCGGGTAAAGCTGAGGAGATTAGACAACAAGTTTGAGACTTAGGCTACAGCTCAGAACTGGCGAGTAAATCTTCATTTATAGATTCTCGAAAAAGATTTTATGAATGGAATTTTGATGTGACATGAATCCGATATGGATAGTGAAATGTTTGGCAAAACTTTATGTGCCACATCCAAATATTTGCAAAGAAGTTTGCGCGTTTTTTTCAACGCCGAATTCATTAAATAATTGTGCGTAAAAAGGTTTATATAAAAAATAATACGTTGGTTTAAGACAAAAATGCCAGCGAAAAAGCAATTCTCGTCACCAGTGTTGTCTCGTTCCGACAATTTCTCGGATAATTAATCAAATTCGCGAAATCGCGAGGTACATTTGGCATTTTCGGGCATTTTTAAGTGCCTAAAAATCTGATTATATTTTATCAGTACCATTAAAAGATTTTTAGAACCAGTAAATGACTTTCATTCCATGGCTATAGGAGAAGACTAATGGAAGTACAACGATAGCAAGTTTATCATCTTCCCAGTTTTGCAACGAACTAATTATCGTAATATATTTAATATGTTTTTGGGTGGTGCTCGGGGCTTGTCCAGGCGGCTTCTGTCGCCAAATGACTCGCTCCGATGAAAATTTCTTTTTGCGAGCAGCTAGTCTGATCGGAAGTGGTGAGCGTAGCTCTATATTCCCTTAATAAAAATCTTGAAATTCTCCTTGTATGGATCGCCTATGGTTATCTGATTATTGTCGATGTTCAACTGACGAGCTTTTCAAGTTGCTGCTATTGTTTTGCGTGTGGCGACAGAAATTTAACCGGCGACTGCAGAAACAGAAAATTTTTCTCGTTCGACAATGTTGAAAAACGAATTTGTGATATGATTTGAATTGGTTTTTTCTTTTTTCTTTTTTGTAGCATAATTCATGCTTTTCTAAATATCAATAACCACATTTAAAATTCAGAAATTCATGAGAATTGACTTTTATCAAAACTCGAAATTCCGAGGGAATTATTCCTATGAAATAAGCGAACACGAAATAATTTTTCTTCGAGACTTCCATGTTTTCGCTTTTTTAAAGGTAATTTAGTAGACAAGTGGATTTTTAGGAGAAAGCGGGAGAAAACGCCATTCAATAAAACGCCTGACGAGGTAAACCTCTTCTTTGCAATTCCCTTACAATGTTGACTGAGCACTACTTCGAGATGTCAGCATATATAAACTGAGTGCATAAGGATGCTGGTTAAGATGGAGTGAAAATTCACGATTTGCTTCAACTTCAAGCCAAGACGCTGTGGTTTGGCCCCGGCCGTGTTTTCTTCACTCGCAGCCGCCACCACATCTTTATCGTCGCCCAATGACAACTGCGGCTTCGGCGACCTTAATACAAATTTAATTCCTGTTTTTTTGTATAAATTGAATAAAGTTTTAGTTGGGACCGGAAAAGTTTGCTGCGACGTGTTGGGACCTTTACAATTGGCTGGTCAGCCAACTGGGCGAGTTTTGGAGGGATGCGAGGGCTGTCAGTTTCATTTCATGGACGAATCACTTTAGAAATTTGTGTGGCAGAATTCTTTGTGTAATTATCAGCGGAATAATTTTGCACGGATGGAAGTGAAAGAGCGATTGTTCTCTGTGATGAGAAGAAACGTTCACTGTGTTGAAATGGATGCTCGATGCTCTTATTTAAAAAATTCTTTTTCTTTTCGGCATTGCTAACAATCGGATAAAATGCGAGTTTCTTTAGATTTTGGCTTATTATCCGTTAATCTTTTCGGATCTTTTCGGACCTAAAAGAAAAGCATCGGCCGCGATTTTTAATCGTTTCTGGAATTTTCGGACGAATTTCAACTCAACGGGATTTTCTTCTATTTTTTATATGAATTATTTGAAATTCAAAATATTTGTAGCAGAATTTTTTAAAATTCTTTTTGCTGTATTTTATGATGTAAATTGGTTAAAGTGGCGATTTTTGTCGTTTCAGATATTTGCTTAGTAGTAAATATTTTCTCCAAGAAGCTGAATAATAATTTTCCTCAGCTTTTATTCACATATGTGTGATAACGCTGAGACGCTTCGGGTTTGAGACCGAACAACTCAATTACTTAAAATGAAGTGAAGGGAGGCGGGGCATATCCCGTCATTTCTATTCTCGGATGGCCCCTCTGGCAAAAGAGTTTCGCCAAGCAAGTCAACAGCGGTGGTCGCTGGTAAAAGCTGTAATAAATGTGTAATTAATTGTAGAGCGATAAGAGTTTGATTTTATTTTGAAACTATTCTCAAAAGTCGGACATTAGTGAATATCGTTTCACTTAATTCTTCCCTAAAAGACCCACAGAAGAGATTCGTAGCCGATGATTAGTGAAGGCGGTAGTGATATGTGCCATTAGAGGGAGAGGAAAAAGAGGATTAGAAGGACTAGAAGGCCCCTAATGAGTGGCAAAAAGGAAAGTTTAATGAACAGCGGTTATGGCTTTTTTAAAAAAAAATTATGAATTTGACAAATGGAGTTTTTAGCATGGGCATGTTGAAAATGTTGAAAGTTCCATTCGAGCTGGTGTGCTGTTCGCGTTCAGTCTCTATGAAATATATAAAACCTCATCCTCGGCCATACCGACGCAGATTGTATGAAGCAGCCTTAGCACCATTTGTTGCCGAGAAACCAAAGATTTATCCATCGAGGTCGGAATATCTGAAAAAATTGAAGGAAGAAAACGAAAGTGTAAGCGACTTTGGATTTTTTAAAAGTAACTGATGAATTTTTTCGTAATGCACCAATAAGTTTTTTTGAATGAGATTTACGAACACTTAAGCTATTATATCAATCCTTACACTGATATCGACACATTAATAAGCTTTTTTCAGTATTCTGATATAGAATTAGCATTGGTCAAACACGTCCGCAGTTGGCTAACGATGGAGAAATTTCAAGTTTTGGCTGTTTGTCAATATTTACCCGTTGATTTAAAAACTGTTTGGCTCGTCAAAAACAAGTTTATCAGTTTATAAGTTTATAAATTTTTTTATTTATCGTCGTTATTATTATTTTTTGAAATGTAACTTACAGTTGATTGTCCAATTTAGCGAACTTTTGCGTTTTAATCGAATCTTTAGAGATTGATACGATATGTTCTTGATTCAATCTTTTATCATGGAATATTAAAAATGTTCGAAGACAAATATTTAGAGCTATTACTAATACTTTTTCACCTTTTGAAGGAAAATATGAATATTTTTTGTATTTATTATTATTTAAGCGTGTTTCGTCCTTCACGTTAATAGTACCATTTTCAGGATACGAATGAAAGGTATTGAGTTCCGCAACTATGGAAATCGAATAATGAAAAAAATTTTTGAAGGAACTCCACTTCAAGCACTTGAGCCCTTATTGATTGAAAATACCTGTATGTTTTTTGGAAAAAATTTTGAAACGTTGCATACGATATTGATGGAATCAAATAAATTGAGCTGGGTGGAACCTTTGGGTAAGCTTCACATTATTTTTTTTGTTTGGTTTTAGGTAAAAATCTGTCGGTATATATTCGCCATTCTATTTTCAATAAACAGTGTGGTCATATTATTATATTTATAACCACATTCTTCGTTTCTTTCCAGCCTTCGTTTATGGTGCTAGAATATTATCAGTGGACGAAATGAAAAATTTATGCAGATATCAGCCATTCGAAAATCTTCGTGCTGAAACAACTTTTATTCTTTCAAAAAAACCACAAAACTTGCAGTACTTACTCACACATCATATTAATCAGTTAAGTACAACACTTCGACAAATGGTAGAGCACAGTAATATCATAGAAAGATGACAAATTCGAATAATTCGTACTTAAAAATTAAAATTTTCAATTCAGCTTACTTATTAATTTAAAGGTACGTCTTTGACATTAAAGTGCATTTTCGATTTGAGTTCAAATATATTCGCCAATTGAATTCTGGATTTAAAGCATAAGACAACAGCCTTCCTTAGTGCTGCCTTAGATTGCTACATTAGTTACATTTATTTTTAAGAAAAAAAAGATAAGGGTAAGATGTTTCTAAGTCTCTCGATACCATGTCTTAAATTAACTGATACCGCTCACTTTTCTATCTTCTATACTCTTCTATCGCTAGGCCGCCTATTAATTCAAAAAATCTGCTCTGAGCATGCTGTTCCAAATCTTATTTACGTCTCCTGGCTTTTGTCATCCAAGCAAAGTTTGGCATTTTGTGAGATATGCGTCAATTTCTGCGAAAAGCAGCGAAGAAGATGATCTAATCAGAATAGGCGACTCTGTGATATTTTTTAATGCGGATGATGTTTGAGTGGATGTAGTCATGCGTGATTTTATTAGATTTTATATGAGTACATTAATGCGTCTCAGATAAGTATCAAAGATAGGTAGCTCGATTTTTTCCTTCGCAGCCATATAACAACGTTATGATATATATTGCAACCATATAGATACGGACTTTCATTTTTGATGATTTTGGCGATTCTGTAAAAGCTTTATCCGAGGAAAGAAGCATTTATCTCTGCTTATCGTGGAGGTTACTAGTTTCGACTTCGCTTATTCCGACTGCAATTTGTAATTTCATTCGCTTGTCCTTTTGATATAAAAGTAGATTAGAGATATTAAAAGCGTAATGCTTCTCGGATTTGCGATCCTAATTAGGTTGTAAGACGAAAAAAATTTCTTATTAATATGAAGACGAGTGCTTTTTGCTGGTGCTATCTAATTTCCATTGCAATTATCATAACTTTCAACGAAAGGGATAATTAGCGTATTAAAGGCTAGTAACATTATGCTTTGGAACGATCTGTACACCTCATGAGTGTCGACAAGCAGTTTCCATAATCCATTCCTCCACATAACTGAAAATTTTCTGAAAGAGCATATTATTTCATATTTCGAAAGGTTAATTCCTTTATTCAATTGCTTATATTCACACTTATATGCGCTAATACTGGTGAAATGATTTAGTAATTTTGATCTGATTTTAATAGTGATCTGATTTTCTTCTTTGAAACACCATCGTGCAATGGCATTGTCAAATAAATGGAGGATGGTTGCCCGTCGATATATGAGGCGATGCTCCATACATTCTTCTAGTGCCTAATCAGCATATCCGTCAGTATAACCGTTCTCTGCCATAAATCCAGCTGCGCCGTAAGATGGCTGCTTATATGGCTGATATATATTCTTGCCGAGTGTGAACTGGTCAAAGCTCATCGTAGTAACCAGAAACGATTCAAATTAGAGCCACGCTCAGAGTTAACTAAAGGAAAACCGCATCTGTCGATAAGTGTTTCGCGGTTGGGCGCCGTCCACTAAATCTCATTTTGGCCTACGAATGGCAAATAAATATGAAACTAATTTGTTCTCTTGTCGAGTTCGCAATCTAATTTGCGTTCTTCTCGAATGAACTCATCCACTTTTAAAATGTGGAATTTCGGCGATAAATTTATGCTTAACGTAAATATCGTTGGATGCATGTCGTTCGTATTTAAGTTAAATATATAGCTGTAATTATCAAAAATGTCTTGGCACGAATGTTTGACACTTGTTTTTCAAATTTTTTGATTAAATTCGTCTGTTTTCTTTTTGGGTGTATTAAATTTATTGAATATATTTGCAGAAGTGTGTGTTTTTTGATTTTGTAGTTCATTAGTGATAAATTCGGTTATCACTTACCACCTATCATTTCTCGGTGCATTTGGCTTTATCATCTTCTTATAACGAAGGATTCATCGACAGTCGACATTGAATTATTTTACTTAATAGCCGGTTTTTACTAGCTTAGATTATCTGTGAATTTTTGTTTTCAGTAATCGCTTATCACTTTTATTTTTGGAGTTCTAATGCATTATTTAGTTTTAAATATTTCTTTGCACTGACATGGATCTTCATTTAATATTTTTATTGCGTTTTTATATACGCAATATATAATTATTACATATCTAATCAAATTAAAGTTTGTTTTTGCCAAAGCTTTGATATGACCCATGGGTTAGAGGTCATTTTCAACACACCTTTTTATTTCGTTGCACTTCGTCTAAAATTTTTTTCGTATTTTTCTTTTTGTGTAAAATTAATTTATTTTGGAATGCATGAAAAATTTAAAAATTTATAATTTCCAGTGTTTCATTTGCTAATGCGTATTTTGTCAAAACTTTTCGAACTTCAACCAGATCCATTTGATTTTTCGCAACGACGATTTTTTCGACTTTCATTATATAAAGATGTGAAAAATGCAGTCGAATTACGTGAAGCATTGCGATGTGGTTCGATCGATGCAGCGTTGATTCGTGCCGAACTTTGTCTTGAAGTATTTATGGTTCTAGCCGCAGCAAATCGAGCTGTTCATCAGGCAGCACACAATCGTTTATCGACACGTTCATTGCACGCTGAACTTGTTTATTCCCTTTCACCTACTCGTAATATTGCTGAATCCTTGCTTAATTTTGGTATATCAGAAACAAGTAAGAATCTATTAATTGGTTTATTTGATGATGAAAATGGTGAGAAAATGAAAGAATTATCGAAGAAAATTGATGGAAAATCGGTGAATCTGGATGATTTACCAAAATTTACAAATTATGATCTCATAAAGAAAGTTTATAAAGTTGGCGATTCTGAATTTAATCATGAGACGATATGCGATTTGATTGTGATGAAAATTGCAACAAAGGATTCCATGAATTAGGAAGGTACCATTTCTATTGTTTCTTTATTTTGGCCAAAAGTTTCAGCCATAGAGTTAGCGTAGATGACAACCGCAACTTGTCAATGTCATATTTTTGCTACTTTATTTCTGACACTGAAATTACGAGTTTAATTTCTGCAGTGTTTTCTTAAATTGTTTTAAATTGTCTGAAAAACAATCCCTTGGAATTTTAGAGGTGATTATTATTATTTATAAAAAAAATCCACCAGAGCGAGTTAAGTAAATAATTCCCTCTCACCATTTCTGATTAGGATTGCTATGCTGTTTATATTATGTTTAAAAATTTTTGTCTAGGAATTGTCCACAGAGTATTTTCCTTAATATTATTTTCATTTCTATACTTTAATTTTTCAGGTAATTTTTCAAAGGTTTCATGCAGTTTTTTCCACTTCATACCAGGAATTCCGGTGCTTTGTTAATGTGAAATTACTATAGAATTGTAGAATTGTAGATGTTTAGTGATGAAAATAGTTGTTTTTTGAGATCTGAGATTTAAATACTGGAATTTTTTTTGAACTTTTTTGAACTTATTATTAAAATTATTATTTAAAATTTTATAATTTCACAAAATATAATTGATTTTTCGAATCTCCAAGAAAAATTCTTTATTATAATGTTACAATGAATAGATTAGCGAATAAGAATTATTAATTAGCGAGATTCAAATTGGTTTAATTATTTATTTCATACGGTACATTTCAGTGTTTTTAGCTAGAAGTGCTCGTCTTACGGGTCCTCTATCGCTATACTGCATAGGAATTAATAAAATTACCGCAGATTACCGCATCTAGAGCAGTAATTTCTATATTTGGAGATGAATCGGTACAGTGACGGAAAAATGAAGAAAGAAGAAAGATGGAAACATCTAGCTGGCACCACTGCTGGTGGTTTGACTCACTCTATTGATGACCAGGATAAGGATCTTAATCTAGCATTACTATTACGATACCATTACTAAAAATAAATGAAGCCACTCCTTTTTCCATCCGCTATACGTATTTATCGCTGTGCCTGCTATGTGTTAAAAATCTCTCCTAACATATCAGTTCAGATTTGGTTGATCCTCGTTATTTACGCCATCTTTGATGCTATATCCAGCTTAGCAACTGTTGCAATTATCAAAAGGACCACATCATCAAAACCAATGCAAATAAAACAAAGTGTTTTTGTCTTATATACAAGATACCTATTTTATTTGCTGATGCTGATACCTATTTTTATCAACTTATTACCGGTAGAGGAAGTGCCCAACTTTAGATATCTTGGATCCACTCTAATCCCAAATGGCCAGGCTAAAGATGAAATTGTAACCTGGATAATGACAGGTAGAAATGTGTTTCCCGGTTAATGAAACCTTTATGGGATCGAAATCATCGTGAAGAAAATCCTCCATAGCTACAATTTTCTCGGTCTTGCTAGAAACATGGCCAGTGAGAACGAAGAGTATTAAGAAGCTATTAGCCTTTGACCACTCATGTCTATGACGGATTTACACTTTACGCATCCATCAAGCGGATAAAATTGTATCCGTTTTCGCATAAACTACCTGTATTAATGTTATCAAGAGCATCGCCTTCACTGGTTAAGACACGTTCTCCGTCGTCCTCCACAAGATTTGGTGCATCTTTCACCACTTGCCGAACTTTGTGATGGTCAAAAGCGAGGAGGGCTAATCAGGACCTGGACTGATACATTCAGGAAAAATTTTAAGCGTATAGGAGAATATATGGACTTAGACGATGAAAAAAGGAATGGTTTCTATTACTATTAGCGATAGAGTCACACCGAGAAGTTTGGAGATGTTTTACCTTTGGAGCCAATAATGGTAAGAAACTATCAGAGGAAGAAGAAAGATCACATCATCAGCGTGTTCATGTGCTTTGAACTGATTTGTATATCCGAGTGTTGACAAGTGGGTTCATAACTGAATCTACTGCATAACCGAAGATTACAGAGGAGGTAGAGGAGCTTCAATAGACACCAATTCTTACTTCGAAAAGTTATATCAATATTTCATATATACAAATCTGCGCAGATGCACGCTGATAAAATGCTTGAATAAATTTTTTGATCTTCATATTTACATTTAATAAAAGAAATAAGCTGTCTAGAACCGATTCGGGCCTCACGTCGTTTAGAATCCAGTTCGGTTTTGATACCATCTTCATCAACGGTATTGTATGCCAATTAAATTATTGCTGTCCATAGGAAGCAAACAGGTGATGGAGATAGCATTAAAACCAGATGGTATTAAAATTAACCATTGAGAATCTAAATTTATGTCATCAGGAGAAATTTTCAACGTCCAGTTATACACGACTTGAATGGTAGGGAAAATAGCGCTTTCAGATATAAAAGCTGTTTCGCCCCTCTGCCAGTGGCGCAGTTAATGATGTGCATTTCTCGAAGTGTAGAAGAAGGAATGTTAATGTATTATACACAGAATCTGCTACTAATGGACACAATGGGCGGAAATGTCCCCACTGGTGCTCTTGGTTCCTCTAAAAAATTTATGACGTCGACCGTCATCTTATTTTTATGAGGAACGATTATTTTATGAAAAAAAAATCTCACGTACGCCTCAACTTAGTGGATAATTGGTGTAATATATCATTAATGTAAGAATTATCGCTAATAAAAAGAATTCGAAAAAAAGATGGAATGAAAGTTATATACCACTAGTAAATAATTGTTGAATATTAAAATATTCTGCGAGAAATTTATCAGATGACGCAGTGTAAGTTGTACGGTAAATTCCTTAAGTTTCCAAAAATATCATATTTCTATATTATTATTTATTCATAATTCCTATAAGTTTTTTTGTATTTTAAAATTAAATTTCAAAATATTGAGCAAAAATTTACTAAGAAAACATTGGTTACATGGCGAAAGAATAGTTGGAAATGTTCGCGACTTTTCATGGACATTATAAATTTTATCGAATTTTTCAATCTCAATTTTGTATTTTGCATCACATGCTGATAAAAAAAAATGAGAATAAAGGATACATAAAAATCATCACTGGATATTTCAGTTGCCATTTTTTCTATGTATCTTTTCACGAAATCCCTCAATTTTTATTCTAAAAAATGGGCAGTTCGAATTTCGATAAATGAAAGTGGATATTTGCATTGAAGAATGAAATACTCTATTAAATTTAACAAGCCGATTACAGATAAAATCGGTTAAACAATAATAACAATAACAGCGAAAAATTTTAAACGACCTTTACATGCATATAGTGCTGCTGATAAAAAAAAAATGGGAATAAAGGATACATAAAAATCATCACTGAATGTTTCAGTTGCCATTTTTTCTATGTATCTTTTATACCCCTTAATTTTTATTCTAAAAAATGGGCAGTTCGAATTTCGATAAATGAAAGTGGATATTTGCATTGAAGAATCAAATACTCTTAAAAAATTATAAAATTTAGCCATCAAATGAAAGCTGTCTGAATAAATAAAAAATAAACAATCTTTATTTATGGAGCACAACGCCCAACAAACCTAGGATATAAGCACACGTCACGAATGTGGTGTGTGTTAGTGAGCCAACAAACAAAACGTTCAACACCAAGACCATATCCACCATGAGAACATGTGCCATATTTTCTTTGGTCAATATACCAATAATATGGCGATGTATTGATTTGCGCACCTTTGAAGGCCTCGATAAGTGCATTCTCCTATAATCAAAGTGTTTTTAAAAGAGAAACAATCTATGCAGTAAACGCTTGAAAAAGCAAAAAAACAAACCTCTATGATTCTCATACCTCCGCCAACAATTTCACCAACTGAAGGCATCAGCAAATCGACTGATTCAGTCAATAAATTGTCCTCCGGATCACGTTTCATGTAAAATGCTTTAATTGCAGCAGGGAAATGATGCAAGAAAATTGGCTATAAACATAATTTAAATATTCTATGAAAAAGATTTGTGAAATTAATTAAAAATGACTGACCACATTTACTTTTTAAGAATGGACAATCAATATCTACAGATCAAATTCAAGGATTTCATCGAATTTATTGCCTGAAATCAGTCAAGAAAAAAATATCGCCTATGCTTGAAAAAAATATCGCCTATGCAATACCTTGTTAATAGTATCGGTCATATGTCGTTCAGCTGCTTCAGCAATATCCATTCCATATTCAAATGCCTCATTATGCTCATTTTTCACATCATGCTCTTGCAGCCACTTGATAGCATCCTTGTATTGCATTCGCAAAAATGGACGTTCTGGTACTTTGAAAGTCTAAAAAAAGCTAAAATCGCAAAATGTGGAAAAATAAATGGAGCACAGAAAATAAAGAAACAAATTAATATAAACTGGATTGATTTGATCCATAAGTGCTTTCGAAACTGAATCATTCATTATGCGATCAACCACATCACAGATAAGATCTTCTATCTTTTCCATGAGTTCTTCTAATGTTATGAATGGACATTCAGCTTCCAAATGCAAGTATTCTGATAAATGGCGTCTTGTTTTCGATTTTTCTGCCCTTCAAACAACGCAATATCTTTTTGAAAAAAATTTTCCAAAAAATAGTCATACTAAACAGTTTAAAAACTTTATAATGCTTAAAATACTTCACAAGTCTAACTACAAAAAAGAATCACCTGTACGATTGTATCATACAGTATACATCGCCCATAGAAGGAATGCAAGTCTCCAAATATAACTGCGAAGACTGAGTTAAATAAGACGGTTCTCCATAATAATCAAGATTAAATAATGTTGAGCCGCCTTCTACCTATAGAAAAACCAGAAATACAACAAAAATAAAAATCCACTATTTATAATATACATATTTTAAAGTAGTCTAAGAATCGTGAGTAATGTGAAAGAATTCAAATCGATATCTACCGCCTTGATCACTGAGTCGCCGCTCATGGCCACCTGGCGACCTTCTAAAAAAGCTCATTTACCATACCTCAAATAAGAGCCTATCACATTTAAAAGTCATGCCAGCCAGTTTGGACTTCGCCCAGATTAATAAAGTACATTAAGAAACCAAAACTATCCGATAGTAAGTGGGCTACTGAAAATGTAGCGGAATTGGAGCAATCTGGAATTAAAATGCTATAGGGATAAACATTATATGGACAAAAAAAAATAATCTGGAATTGAGCAACAGCCGACTTAATGAACGGAGATAACAAAAAATAGAATGCGAAAAGATTGATGACAAAAGATTTACAGCCACATTAACTGAGAAACAGCTGTCGCCCAACGCTTCAATATTAAAAAAATGAAACTTTTCCTCACAAAGACATATTCTGCACAGAACGATGTGACAACGTGTGATTCTGGAAATTCTAGCATGATTCCTTTCCCTTTACAAAGCAAAGCTGACGAGGCAAAAACCATGAATAAACTTTAACTAACCTTCAACATTGACTAATGCTACTGAGGTTCAGTGAAGGAAAATGCCAAGAATTCTCACGATACGGTCCCTACTACCACTATAATTTTTTTTCTAAGTCCTCACTATTGTTGGTTAAACTCGCTCCACTGACTTGTCGCAGTGAGCAATATATGCCTTGGAGACCTTTGGCGATAAGAACGCAAGTGAGTCGCAAGTATCATCCGGATTTTTACAGATTTACTCCTGCCGGGAATCGAGCCTCAGCATCGGCGCCTCCCAATCGACCAACAATCCACTGAACCATTCTATCCCCTATACCACCACTGTAATAGAAGCTAATAAATTGGTACACACCAAAGCAACTATAATTCTGGAAATAATTGGATAATGAATCAAGAATAGCAATATAAATATGACCAGAATGAATGTAGAGAAACTGGTAAAGCCACAAAAAAATGTAGAAATTAATAGGACCTAACAGTATATAAATCAATATAAATAAAACGAAAATGCCTTTATCTGAAGCAAAAGTGTATATAGAAGACGTTCATAAAGATATTTTATCAGCATACTCTGGCGTGTATACGGTAGACTCCTTCGAAAGAACTGGCGTCCGTCAATGCTATGTCCTTTCCTCCACAATATTCAACTATGCGATAGAATGGATAATGGATACTCATCGGCACTCAAGAGATGTTCAAATCAGTCCAGAGCATAGACCTTGAATAAGCTGATGATCAATTCATTGCCGATAGAGGAAATGCTGGACTTTAAATACCTTGGATCCACTCTAATCCAAATGGCCAGGCAAAGACTGAAACCATAACCCGAATAACGACAGCTAGAAATGCTTACATCCGGTCGGCGAAACCTTTATGGAGCCGTAATGAAATCACCATAAAGTCCGCATCTATATAGCTGCGATTCGCTCTATCTTGCTATATGGCTGCGAAATATGGCCAATGAAAATGGAAGATATAAAGAAGCTATTAACCTTTGACCACTCATGTCTAAGATGCATTTTACGGATCCATTGAACGGATAAAATCCTACATGATCCACCTTCACTCAAATATTCGCTGGTTAGGGGCATGTTCTTCGACGTCCACCATAGGAGTCGACGCATATTTCGTTACTTGTTAAACCCTGTGATGGCTGGCATCAAAAGCGAGGAGAGTTAAGGACTGATACAGTCAGGAAGGATTTTGAACATATGGGAGCAGCGATATATGGACTAGGACGATAGAAAAAATAATGGCTTCTATTACTGTCGATGATGGCATCGAACAACTTGGAAACGTCTTACATTTGTAACCAGTGAAGCCAGTCTAAACAGTAATGGTAAGAGCTATTAAAAAAAAAAGAAAGAATAACAAAAAAATATACGAGGTTAGGAAGGAAAAAAAAGGCTTACAAAAAAGGCGAAGCAAAGGACAAAAAGATAAATGCCATATTCTCAAGAGAATCAAGGTGACCCCAAATGCAATGCAAGCAAAAGCAAAATCTGAACAATCAATTTAATTTGTAGAAGAAAAAAAGGATTCATAACATCTAAAAACAAACCACAGCAATTTCCCACAGCAGGAACTAATTATCATCATAGATGTATCCAGCAGCGGAATCTAGAAGTAAAAAATCTGGACATGAACCACAGTTACTGGAAAAAATAACAGCAGTCCATGGACACTTAGCAACCAGCTGCACAATTTTGTACAATTAGAGACTGCCTCTATGGAACCTGAAGAGAAACAATTCCACAAACAAACCAAAATAAACCAATAATTCCTCACGGAAAAAGCAGTCGCTCAAAATTCAAGGTCTTGACAGACCAATCTGGGCATAGATTGACTATAGGAAAGCCTATGCATCACACATGCTTCTGGTTTATATAAAATTAACAGGATTCTAAACATTTTCATCAAGAACTCAATAGAATGGAAATCAACACTTGAAGCCAACTCAAAATAACCTGTACAAGTGATTATCAAGTGCAGCATATCAATGCGATGCATTAATTTCTACTATCCTGCATAGATTTAAACTCCTTGACCAGATAAATACGAGAAGTGGATAGAAATTCAAGACAAAATTGCCATTCATCCACCGTTTCTTCTTTACGTGGATTTAACAAATTATTTGCCAAAATTAAGACATTGATTTAAGGCATCAACTCATTTCATTTATCATTCTAACATAAATTTATAACTAGGATATCGAGATATAAAGACTCGATAAATGTGGCTGGACGGTACTAGAGGAAAAATAATTAGGGTGGACCAATAGGACACATAGCAGACGTATAAACAATTACTATTTTGAAATCACACGATGAAAGGGAAATGATTAAAGTAACATCTAAATACCACCAAAGAATAAATAAGACAGATCTTTAAGACCAAGTCCAGTGAGAAAAATAAAATCCATGCCATAAACACATGCTCTGTCATCAGATAATGCCATAATGAGATGGTCAAATTTTTAAATCAAATTCCTCACAATGCACGGAAATTTCCAGATTCCGCTGGACTTCCCCATTTAGATAAGTACTAATAGACAAACAAGTACTAGCCAACTAACCAGATATCATGGTAGCAGAAACCAGAAACCAGAAATCAACAACAAATTATAAAATTACGAATAACAAAAGAAATACGAGAAACTAGAAAAATACCAGAAGCTGAAACAGGAACTAGAGAAAATATAGAAAGATCAGTAGCACTAGCGGTGGTAACAGCACTAGGAGGTGTAACTTCTAAACTGCAAAAATAGCTTCACCAGATTCCAAAAACAAACATCGATCTCCGTCCGGAAAAGCATTGCTACGACTATTTAAAACACTGCGCAGAACCCACAAATTCCCAGGCCTTCAGGAAAGAAACCCAAGGTTGAGGACCGCCCATACCACCCACAGGAAGTGATCTTATAAATCAGGAATATATATATATATATATATATGGGAAAAAAACGGGATTATATATACATATATTGTAGACATAAATACGTGTTAAAAATTGCGGAAAAGTGTGCATTATCAGTTTCGCTTTTGGTATGATCATCGCAATAGACGGGAAGCCTTTGCTAATCCTCGGCCTATTATCATCATATGCAACTTCCATATATTTATTTAGAAGTATGTTACTTATATAAATAGTAAAAACTATAAATAAATGGCGCAAAATACGACAATACCTGAGTTTGGACTAAAGTTGGTGGTACGACTTCAATATAATGAGCGACATAAAAATGTTCACGCATGGCCCGCATAACAGCTGCACGAATCAGTAGCACTGCTGATGCATTCTCACCACGAATAACTAAGTGACGATTATCCAACATAGTATCAACACTAGCCTCTTCATTTAAAACGTTGTCAATACCTCAAAACAAAAATTATATGTGAACGATAAAAATAAAGTGCACATAATTTAAGCATTTACCTCCAATATTTCTTAAATAATAAATTATCAAAATAGTATACCACCGGCTGGCGCTAATCCAATGAGCTCCCAATAGTCTGCAATAAGCTCATGACCACCTGGAGCAGATTTCCCTCGCGGTAAAACTTTAACGGTACCAGAAACTTTTACTGTACTCTCAGTAGTTAGCATAATCGCATCATACGTTTGGCACTATAATACTGCTTATTAAAAAAATGTTACAAGCACTAGATTTAATCCTTTTGTAAGGACAACTCACCAACTTATCACTAAGTACGGCCTGCAGAAATCCTGACCCATCACGAAGTACGAGAAACATTAGTGATTTCCCTATAATTAAATTTATTTATTACCTAATTAGGTACTCCAAAATTATATTTGAAAAAAAACCGAAATATCCACGTGTTTATATTAACGGAGGAAAATAATAGATATTATGTTAACTGAACATAGAATTGTAAAAGATACAAAACAAATTAATTTCTTAAAATTAAAATTAATCCTTAATTTTTTTCTAATAGTATTTCAGCAGAATTTTTCAAATGATAATATTAAAATATTCAGCCAAATTAATTAACCGGTAATTAATCAGATAGCAGACTAATTTTCTTTTAATATATCATTTTTGATTCGGCTAGCCTCAATCATTACTAAGCTAAATGAGATTTTTTCAAATGAAACAGTCACATAGGGTTGGAGATGTGGATTGAGGATTCCCAACATCAGTAGTATTCCATTTCTAACGATAGGGTTGCTCTCGTCAAAGGATAAAATCCAAAGTTTATGGTCTATGGCGACACATCATTCATTAAATAAATTATAAATTATATTATATATCATATATAAATTTATATTATCACACAAATTTTATCAAATATTTTATCAAATTTTATAAAACCTGTTTTATGAATGAATTAACGAAATTTATTAGAGCAAATTAAGATTAATAATTCGTCGAATCATTAACATGTATACTCAATTTACTTAATTTTAATTATCAAAAGGTATCATTCAAAATTTACTATTTCGTTAAACTGAAATATACAAACGATATCTAATTTGAATCAAAAAAAAAACCTTGACGACGTAAACGATGCACCCAAGCGCTCACACAAACGCGTTCATTACGATGTGATAGAGCATCCCTTATTTTAATACTTCTGACTTTAGGGAGGCTAGGATCCTCCGAAATTCTTATTTTCTTTGCCTCCTCCAAAGTCGCTAACATGGTTGCTTCGACAATTTTAGTCTGTAAAATTTAACAACCTACGATTTTAAGTATTCAAATAGACTATTTTGATTTTGATTATTATAAGTGAAATTACAATGAACAATGGAAAAAACAAAATCAGACAAACAAACGGTGGTTAATATAGAAAAAAAAATTATTTAGAACTGAATATTATGTAAAATTGACCAAGCTCGATGCTATAAAATAATTTTAGCTTAAAGCCACAAAGAAAAAGACTAACTTTTGCTTCTGCTTTTTCTAACTTCTTTATTTCTTGTTCAAAACGCTTTTGATTCTTTTTCAGCGCAGTTTTAGAAGCAGGTTCCCAAGATTTTATACCTTCTTTTTCTGTTCGTATAAGAAAATTGCCATTATAAGAATTAGATATAATCATTGCTTGTAGCAACGTTCTAAAGCAAATAAAAGATAGAGGAATAAATTTTTAAATGAAAAAACCTCCCAATATAAGATTTCTATAAAAAGCATCGAGAAAAAGCAGAAGATTGCATGCCAGATATGGAGCACTGATTTTGCCTTGGCTCTTATGGACATTGAAAAGCGGAAAAAACTCAAAATCCTCAATCACCTAACTGGCCTTTCTTCCGATCCATCGTTACTATCACATCCTATTTCTGGACAAATATAAACAGCTGAAGACATTTTACAGATTTTGGAAATAACTGTGCAGTTTCTTCGACGAACTGGAAATAATGCGACAATAGATTTGCGATAAAATCAATATAATAAACAAAAGCAGTGTGAAAAAAATCGAAATTTAGTCATATACAAACAAAAAGAATAAAACAGATTAAAGTAAATACATTTAAATTATAAAAAATATTTTGTTGTCATTGATTTCAGTATTTCAGCAAATGGGTAACCGAAAATCAATAAATTTTAATTCTAAAGAAGGAATGAGACTTTATCAAACAGTCAGAAAATTTCATTCATATTCCATTTAATCTCAAATCGATGTTAAAACTATAAATCGATGCTACGCGATCAAATGTCTATGTCAACTGCCCGAGTCATTTAATTTAATAAGGAGCCTGCAACTTCAAAGTAAATTTTTTCTAAATGCATGTGTAAGAATTCCCTACCGCTCACCAACGAATTTCCTATTTAATAATTTTGTAGAAATAATACATAATACACATTTTGTAAGAATAAAACATAACACAACATAATACCTATTTAATCCACATAAATAATCCTTAATAACACCTCAAATGACCAGAAATAAAATCTCTTTTCTGAATTTCCAGCAACCTAAAGCATATCTGCTGTCCCACCCACGAACACCTTCCCGCACGGATATCAAAACCCCAAGCCGCACTACCGTTCCCCCCACCAACACCCCCCACCCTCCTCGACCCAACTCCCCCACGCCTTTCCTTTCCTCGAAAAACAACGACAAAACAGAAAATATATCTATATAAATATAAACAAATTTGCAAGAGATTATGCAATTTTCGAAAAAAGATCGTTTCAAAACCAAACACTTTCAAATTAGCGAGCGTTAACAGCTCACTACCCCTCTTCCCTTTCATAAACTTCACTATTGCTAGTAATTTTGGCAATTTTCTGCAAAAAATGATAAAAAAGGTCTAAAACTATTATTCTATTCAAAGTGTTTATCGAATGAAAAAGTTCAATATTTCCTTTGTTCTTTTTTTCTGTGTGAAACTTCTGCTTTTCTTCCACTGCCTGAACGAATATAGCGCTGCTCAATCAGATAGCAAAAACCATTTAAGTTGCTGAGAGAAGTATTTGCTATGGCGCTAAAATCGTGGCCTCTCGTCGATTTAAATATAGAAGGATGCAGAATACTTAGCGCGGTTTTATGGCGCTTGGATCCAGTTAACTTTCGGCAGAACACCGCTGGAGCGAGGGGTCTTGCGGGAACATCTTTTGCACCATTTCAAAAGGGTAAGCAAGCGTATGTTTAAGCGAACTTCCATTTTCTCCTAAAAAACCTATTAAAATTTAGTTCGATTCAAAATAAAGAGTTTATGTGGATTTGAAACGAAAAAAGAACGCTGTCTTGTTTTGAATCGTTAGCTTTTTTCGTTATAGTATCGTAATTATCGTTCGGTGTGTCCTCAAACTTGGGTAATTAAACTTTACTTAGAAACTTAACAATAAAATTAGAGGACCATATATTACAGTACGATATATTGCAAAATGACATAAAAATTTCAGCTAAAGAAATTACGTTTAGTAGATTAACGACATCGTTAATCTACCCTCGGCCTACCAATCCCCCATCAATAAATCGAATTAAATCGTGCCTAAAAAGGAGAAGAATCGAACAAAATGGATGTTCCCACAAGACTACTCGCTCCAACCGTGTTCTGCCGAAAGTTAACTGGATTTGAGCGCCATAAAACTACACTAAGTATTCTGCACCTTCTATATTTAAATCGAGGAAAGGCCAGGATTTTAGCTAGCAAATACTTCTGTCAGCAACTTAAATGGTTTTTGCTATTTCTTGCCTAGACAGTGTTGTCCTATGATCCATGGCGTGTTTTGACGCATAAGTCACGTGGACTAACAAAATCAAGATTTCCTCTCGTTACATAGCAAAGCAGTCGCTCATTTACCACAGCTGCGATCTCATAAAGGGTTCTAAATCAATCTCGGTCTATTCCCCTTTCATAATTCCAATCAAACGTTCGTTAATTCCACCAGCCCATGAGGCGTACTTGGGAATAAATTTCTATTCCATTTTGTCCTCAGCTATACCATCGGTTCTCTTAACTCTTTTATCGTATATGGTTTTACTTGGTTCATTCGCTTCTGTTTTTATTTTGAAATTCGCTTGATTAGTGAAATGTCAAATTCGATTAGGATTTCCAATCATCGTTTCTCTATCGTAACGTGTCAAATTGAGTTTTTGTTTACAACAGGTTCGGTTATGTAAGAATATTGTGGTCCAGTGTCCAATAATAATGTCGCTTTCTTAGACTGGAAACGTGGATCATCTGGATTTCGAATCTTGATCTCGCAACACATCGATAATGATATTTTATTCTCTATATTGTTATATTGTTCATTTTGGTTGTACTATTTGTGATTGTATGTTGTGGTTGAAAAGTATTCTGATTCTTACACAACTCTGATAATTGTTGATTCTTGCAATAAAAGCAAGCACTTAAGCACTTTACTTTATAATTACAATCTTTTGCCATGTGCCTACAGTTAAATTTATTTATGAAATAATTATTTTTGGAAATTAAAATTTAAAATTAAAAGATAGAACAAAAAAAAATTTCCATTATTTATTATTAATCATTTTTTTTGCCAGAAACAATTACTCGAATTCAGAGAAAAATTACATAAATTCTTTCATATATACAACAAAATTTTACCCATTTTAAGTGATCCAGCATAGTAATCGGCTTTTGAGTATATATGTATTCTTCACTTATGTTTTGCAGTTCTGTGATAATCTTTTATAAACTCATAAATAAAGATGTGGTGATCTAATGATGTGATGCATCTGTGAATCTGTGAATCAGCTGCTCAGTAGCAAGACCATCGAGGTTCGAGGCCTGGGTTCGAGTCTGCTGACGTGCCACTTCGTCGGACGGCAGCGTCTAAAAAACAAAGGAGAGTAGAATGGTTCACCAGCTTGTCAATTTGGAGCCCGTTAATGAGCTTCTACTCCCGGCAGCCAGAGTAAAGCTGTCCTGAAATCCTGATGATGCTGGTGACTCACTCTTATTTCCATCGTCAAGAACTCCTTGGTACATTTGTCAAGTGCGACATGCCAGCAGAGCAATTATTACTAGTAATGGTAAAAAATAATAATGCATGACCATACGTCACAATCGAAGGGAATCGAAGGGAAATGAGTCCGAATCTGCCGATGCACCATATTTCGCCTGGCGGCAACACCGAGAAAAAATTAAGGAAAATAGACTGGATGGGTCTAATTTGAAAAATAAAAGAATGAACGATATATTATTTTTATTGCTACTCTTATATTCTATCACTACGAGACATTTGGATTTCATTGTCTAATTTTTGTCTTTCTTTGTCTAATTTGGCTATGCCTTTCGCTATTTTTCCATCCTTACTAGCAGTAGCGCAGTTAATCTACCCATTTACTTTCTCATTAAGCATTTTTTGAAAGAATTAGCCATGAAAAACTGTGATGGGAAATAGGTTCTATTTTTATATACTGGTCTCCAAGAAAAATTCCCTAAAAAAATCCTTTACAATTCATTTAAAAAACTCCTGAAGAACAAAAGAGAAAACCTCAAACTGGGCAAAATACTGGTAAAGGTTTAAAAAAAAGTGAATTATACAATCACATTTAAAACACGTCGAAAAAGGTATTTAAGATAAGATATATATATATAAATAAGATATAAAGTATAGGTGAAAATTATTTCGAAAGTAAAATTAATGAATAAATCGGAATATGATTTGGAATAATATTTCGAGCATTAAGAAAACTTAGTTCGATTAATGTAAAAGCTTCAACAATGCGTGCTTTTGACTTTTCGAATAATCGAACTGCAGCAAGAAGAGTTCCACCAGTTGCTAGAAGATCATCGATGAGAAATACATTCCATCCTTCTTTTATTGCATCTTTTTGTATTTCAATTACATCCTTAAATATTAAGTTATAATTTATAGAAGTTACAGTTTTTCATTTACCAAAATAACCCAAGAAAAGAAAAAAAAAACAAAATTTAAATAATAATTTTTATATCATCAAGGAACATTCAAAGCTCAAATTATTAGTTCATTCAATTTTTTCTCATTCACCAAAATAAATTTAAAAAACCATTTTTGCCTAAAACATAGTAAGGATAAGCTGCACTTGCCATAGGGAATAAAAACTTCTATAATGGTGGAAAAATTACTTGACCATATTCTTTTTCATAGAACTCCTGAATCACTTCGCCGGGCAACTTGCCTTTCTTTCGTATTGGGATAAATGGAAGATTTAAAATAATTGAAACTTGTGGCCCAAATAAAAAACCTTAATTGAATTGCAATTTTTGTTTCAAAAAGTTTTCCATTTTCTTCTTTCTTATTTTAAGTGTCTAAATTTTATAAAAAAACAACCGAAAATAATTAACTGAAGTGAAAATAATTCTAAATCAAAATGGAACTGGAAACAATACACCTTTTTACTGAAATCCACTTCACTCAGCGAATTAAAATTAGAATATTCGAAATGTTGAAAAAAAGGCGAATAACCAACCGCGAGCTTCAAAACCAGCAACGGCATCAATTTTAACGGGAAGATTTTTTGCGTGCTCACCTATGGCCGCACATAATTCATTTAGCAGCGAAGGGTTATTAAATAACGGCATAATGTCTCTATGAAATGCAATAATTAAGAAACCATTTTTGATTTAAAAATAAGCCTAATGAAATGAAACGAAAAAGCAAAGCATTACTGTGACTTATAAATAATTTTTTGCTTTTCAGTGATACAAACTTCTTTAATTCCCAAAAATCTTTTGAATGAAAAAAAAAACGAACACAAAATTAATTCCTTGTCGAGGAAAATCTGGAAAATAGCGAAGTTTTGATTCGATTGCTTTTCTTAAACGATTCTCTTCAATTTTCGCTCGATCCATTACTGAATCCGCTCAAAACTAAATCAAATCTAAAAATAAAAACATTCAATTTCTTTAAAGTCGAAAATCAATTATCAAATTATTCAATCGCTGCACACAATAACCGTTTGATTTTGCTTTATATTCTCGATAATTGACATTTACGCCATTCTATTCCAACAGACCAATTCACTCTACCTAAGATTTTTGTCAATACTGTCGCAGTCACATCACTATTTGTTATCAATTTCATACATTATCAATAATATTAACATTAACAATACTTTGCCATAATGACCATTTTTTTTGAACCTCCGAATTTTTCGCACATTTGTCGTTCCTTCTACCGTATTGGAGTAATCTTTTCATGATTAGAAGAAGTAATTGCAGCGGTATAATAGCCCATTTTTGCGACAATCTTCTTGAAGTTAATTGGTGCAATGCTGTGAAGAAACGCATGAATAATTTACGAGCAATTTATTCTTAATTTATTTGAGAATGCAAAATCATATTACCAACTCGATTAGAAGGATTCTTCTCCTAACAGCTCTCACCATTACTGGTTAGGCTGACTCCTACGGCTACAAGGATAAGACGTTTCCAAGCGGCGCGGTTTGATACCATCGTCGACAATAACTTATCACCTTTCTTGAATTGAGAATTGGAATTGCTTTGTTCCAATCATCTGGTAATATTTCTTTTTTCCATACATTTGTTGAAAATGCGTTATGAAGGACGATAGATAACATTTGAAGAGTTCAGCCAACTGTCCAATTGCCTGAAAGAGCTTACAACGAAAGCAGCACGGCGAGACAGAATTACTATTGGAGTGATATGACCTTGAGAATGGAAACGGCGGCTCGATTCAGTTCTTTGACCTTAAGCGGTTGCATTTCTACTCCGCTGTTATTTTTTCGGAATATTTTTAGAATTTCTATAAACTACGTTTTTCTAGGTTTTTCTTTCAAATTTTTAAATTTTAGGTTTTATATTTTAAGTTTTTTCTAAAAACAACTGGGACTGAAAAGAACTGAAATATTTTATATATACATAAATTTTAAATATTGTAAAATAAATAATATAAAATAATTGCTTCTTTTTTAACAGGAGAAAACCTGTCATTTTAAAAATCCGAGTGGTTGCTGGGGGTCCACTCTATCCCCAAGTGACTCTATGGTGAAAGAGTCAGATATTCTTGATTTTGTATCCGCATCTTCCAACGCGCATGATACTCCCACTTCCGTGCAATTACATGCGATAAGTACACAATCCGGGTGTCGATCTCAACGCTGATAAATAAAATCTGCTCGCAAGCCAGGGTGATTGTTCGGAACCTATCAAGAAGAATAGCTCTCTGCACGCGCGGTTAAGTATTAATGATATTAGCGTGGAACGTCAGAACGCTTATGGACGTTACAAGTCAAGCGATTACTGTCCACATCCTTTTTAAATATCGTGTGGATATGGGCTATTTGCCCACCTTCCTCACTTCGGGTTTTGGGTAATTACTAGTCCTGGTTCGGAGCAGTGGTACTGTCGCTGTGGTGCTTCAGATAACTCGAAGTGAAATGGTATAGCGATTGTTATGATTGAAAGGCTCATTCAGCTTTGATTGAGTGGAAATCGGTAAGCGAACGTATGGTCTAGGCCCGTTCTAAAGATAAGTTATGCAATATTTCGATCAGGCTCCAACTTTGTGGGCAGATGATCGTGATAAAAATAAGATAAGATAAAATCGTGATAAGATAAGTTTAAAGATAAAAGATAAGATAAGATAAGTGCGAAACTTCAACTACTTACAAATACTTTACCGAAACATGACATGGTTATAATCGGGAGAGACTGGAATGCGTGCATAGCTCATAATGCCGCTGCGACCTCGATAATTGGCAAATATGGCATCGGAGACCGCTGAGCCAATGGGGAACGCCTTCATTATGACGAAGAAGACTTTTTGTTAGTAATACTTGCTTCTGGCTTAGTAGAAAATATCTAGTCGTATAGAATCAACTTCCCCGGATAATCAACACTTTAACCAGATTGATTATATCTTATACAGTTGTCGCTGGAAAATATTTCCGTATTAAGAGTAAGAGTTGTTCCTATCGCGGCGCTGAAATAGGCAATCTTCATGGATCTGACCATATTATGGCCTGAGCCAAGATCCACATAGCATTTCGAACCGAATTATCTCAGTGGCATGAATATCAATGATTTTTCTGGAACGGCAAATGAATACTAGTCCAAACTAAAGGGATGTCTCCGAAAGTCAGCCACTTCTACATTAGGGCATACTAGTAGGAAGGAAGTGCGCTAGGAATCAGCTGTTCAACTGTCTAAAAAAACTGCCAAAGCACGAATGTCAGGTGATCCTGACTACCGGATGCTTCGAAGATTTGCAACGAAAGCAGCACGGCGGGACAGAAATCACTATCGAAGCGACATGGTCTCAAGAATGGAGACAGCGGTTCGATTAGGCGATAACAGAAAACTATTCCGCCTTTTTAATGCAACTATGAATCGGGGAACGATCAGTGATATGGTAAGGAACAACAATGGCGTAGCAGTCAAGAGTTAAGGACAGCCTCGTAGAAAGATGGAAAGAATTTTTTGAGGCCAAACTTATCCATGAAGCACCATCTGTTGCCCCTGATATAACTGATATGTTCGCTGAACCATATGCTTGCAACTGCGAGCCCTCGACAGAAGAAGAAATAATATCTGTTATCAATAAGCTTAAGGTCAATAAGGCTCCGGGAGAAGATATTCTTCGATTAGAACGATTAAAAGAAATTAAGTAAAAAAATGTATTTCATATAAATGTAAATGCATGGTTAATAAGTGGACAAACAGAATGCACAGAACTTGAAATAATAAGCTTAAACGCCACTGCGAGAGAGTACAATTTACAAGCGAGGATATTCGAAACTTTAATCACTTTTTAAACAAATTCGCTTATTTGTTTTTCTTCCAGCATGACTTCAACGTTTTTTAAGATGATAGACTTTTCCTTGGCTTGGCAGATTGTTACCTTTTATATGCTTCCTCTTGGTGGTACAAATAATTTTATAATATTTTATTTATGGTTATAGTTTACTCATTTATAATAAATATTTATTTCGAGTTTTCACTCGAAATTTTTTCAAAACATTTTTGACGTAACCATGCTTGGCCGAAATATCTTGAGTTCGAAAAAACTCTTAATACGTTAATTAAAGAAATCGAATTACCAACTGAAAGTTTAGCAACAAGTGAGGTGGATAGGGCCAGTAGTTACCAGTAGTTTGTACTATCCTTAGTGATAATCAGTGAAGATAGCCAAGTAGAGGTGCTAGAAGAAGAGCGATTACCGACATTTTACTACTTGCTAAACCATAATATGAAAGTAAGGAGGCCTAGTTATGGATTTTGCCACAGCAAAATAGGATTAGCACAGGAATAGGATTAATGCCGACATATTGCTAAAATTATCACAAAAATTTGCAAATTTAAGGCTGAGAAATATCGATCTCATTAAAATCTTACTTTTGCTTCTTTTCAATAATAAACTATTAATATTTTTAAAGTTCTATTAAATTTAAACGGGGTAGGTAGGCAATCTTTAATTTTTTTGTTTTTACTGTTTGGGAAACAGTATTTTTTTGTTTTTACACCGAAATAACTGCAAATTCGATTTGATATTCTCCGAAATCATACTGTAATTTACGTTTGATGGCAAAAAACGCCTGGATTCTTAAAATAATTTTTGATAGGGCTAGCAGATTTTTAAATTCTTGCTGCGAGTGATGCAAAAGAAAAGTGATACTTTTGTAGCGCTGCATTTTGTAGTAATACTTTAATAATCGACTGATGGTCACTACTTTTATTCTTGATAAAAATTTTCACGCTTGCACACGCAAGTCTTCGTATACGCATAAGACCGCATGTATCACCCTTGTCTTTCTCCTCTATGAATTAAATTCTGCCAGTCGAACCAAAAATTATTTTAAGAATCCAGGCGTTTTTTGCCATCAATAATTTAATCTAATAATTTAAATAATACAAAGTACAGTTGAAAATCAAAAAGTATCTCACAAATACTGATGATACAAAATGGTGAACGAAAATTATAGCTAAAATACAAAGGTCTAAATACAAAGGTCGACAAAACATACTACCTATGACAAAGACTACAACTATTAGTTGAAATAGGGGGAACAGAATTCTGGCACCATCTATAACACAATACCGAGTGGATAATAATTCAGACCATCATATATAGAGGTAAAATTTCGGCCTCTCCAGAGAATTGAATTAGCCATTTGAATTATTTCTATAGCATAAAGAACCGATAGAATGAACATGCGAGATTAAAATATTGTTTTGAAGAGAATTTTATGAATAGAATTAATAGAACTTTTTAGCCGATTTTGGAGGAAACAGATGAATTTTTCGAGGACAAACAATAATTGCATACATATATATGATCAATATAAGTACCGGCCAACCAAGCACATCTTGGTAGTAGACGAGAATCAGGAATCAGCAGGTGAAAGCAACATCAAATGATATGAACGTTACGAAGAAGGAATATGAGAAGTTAAAGAAATACCAGAGGCTGAAAGAGGAACTATAGAAGATGTGAGAAGCGAAGCAATTCCAGCTAATGATTGAAGCAGTTGGAATCCTTGTGATCCTTAAATTAGAAAAGCGGTCTCAGCAGATTCAGGAACAATATCAGATCTTTACATCTTTATCCAGAATAGCGTACCGCTACGAATACCCAAGATGTGCAGAATCTTTATATATATCAAATATATCAAAAATTTTCTATAACGCCAAGTGGAGCATCATGTTATTGTTAAAAGGGCTTTACTCAATTCAATAAAAACTATCAAATTATGATACAAGATTTGTGTATTCCCAGTGAATTGTGTAGTACCATTTGCAGAAAACAGCCCTTCAGATTTTTATTATCAGTTGCAAAATCAGAATATACATGAAGATCCGTGTCAAAAAAATAAAAACAAAACTATTGTATAAAATTTCTATTAAATTAACATTAACGAGCAAAATAAAGGAAATTAATGGACAAATTGGTCAAAAAAATTAAACTAAGCAATATAATTTCCCATAAACGAAGAGATTATTGAACTATTTAGAAGGGAAATTTATAATGCATATATCAGAATAAAAGCCACATTTGCCATCCGAAGTTTCCAGATATCCTATTAAATAAACCATTTCGCCTTGTAGCACTTGTTCTGAAAACAAAAATTTTTCAAAAACTTTCATTTTTTTATATTATATTGCACTTTATATCAACACCAATTGAAATAGAAAGGAATCCTAAACTCCACTCTGCAATGATCAATTGTGAAAAAAATGCCACTAAATTTTAACATTGCTCAAAACTTCCAAAATATATTCGTTAAGGAGTGAACATTTATCACACATAATCATATAGTGCTGTAATGAATACAAAACAGGTCAGGGATGCATTTATTATTACATCGAAGCCAGTTTTTTAAGCTAATTTTAAGAATGATCAATAAAAATTCTTACTTTCATCGAAATGAAACATCAAACGACTTCTGCCCTTTTTTTCACACTGACTTGAACATGCCGCAACCCAAGAATATCTATGTGATTCTGCCAGTGACCGAACATAATAAAGGATGTGATACATCTGAAGGATAAGAAAAACAGTACGAAAAATAAAGAATTTATTTTTATTTAAATAAAGAACTTAAAACTTAAAAAATAATTATGTATAGAATAATTTCGTAAATGACTTTGCAAATCAGCGAGTAATTTCGTAAAGGACAGAAATTTTCACTACATTGAATAAGCGAGTAAAGACAAGCGTGATAAATCAAGTCATACGCTTACACGAAGATGTGCGTGTGCAAAAGTGAAAATGCTTTGTCGAGAATAAGAATAGTACCATCAGTCAATTATCATCTCTGGTCATGATCATTTAGCTATGGTATATTGCTTTTATATCCACCAAATTCGCATTGTACTTCATTAGAACTCTTAAATTCCCTATTTTTTTAATAAAATATTTTCAATTCGTGTATATTTCTATAATTATTGTTCGTTATAATTATTGTCTTACAGATGAATCAATCAGTCCCATTTGTGCTTCTATTGCCAAACGATTCTTGAAAAAATTTATTTGGTCTGAGAATTCGGTGAAGTGGGCACAACCAGGAATAGATTAGCGCTCTTGGAAAAAAATTTATTCAGCTGTTGAAACAAAGTTATAAGGAATTTTCGTTAATTGGTTTTTATTTTATTTACGTGAAGAATATTCCAGAGTGTCAAATCTAGCAATTCGAAAATGGCTTCATTTTACCACTTACGCGAGACGAGATTTTCATATCATGCAGATATATGTTTATGTGAAAAACTTATTTTTTTATATTTATGGTGGTAAGCATAATAAAACAAAGGAATTTAGGAACAGGCTTAATGCTATGTCTGGCGATTAGGACGTAACCATTCCACTATCGTACCTGTTATCAAAAAAATTTATAATTTGTAGACCCAGGAACATCGACCTCGGTAAATAATCTTATTTTTGCTTCTCTTCAAAATGATTGCTTGTTAATGTATTTTTACAAGTGTTTAAATATGCTTATCTAAATTAATATATATTGAAACAATTTTTTAATTAAATGACCACAAATTCAAAATCTTCTATAGTTTATAAAGCAAAAAAGAGTATGCGAAACGATATCCGGAATGATTCTTTATGTTATCTCGTTGAATATTTACCAATCACGCTATGTATAATACTTTGCTGACGATTAATGACTTTTTTTCCAGCCAAAAATTAAAACCAAACAGCAAAATCTTTGTCCTCATCATTCATTCATTACCTATTGCCTTTTGGCAATCATTTAACCAAGTTATATATCTTATATGTCTTTCTCTTCATCAAATTAACAGTGCGTGAAAAAAAAAATGAAATTGAATCACCAAAATAAGTATATAATTTAGATTTTTTAAAATTAAATGTTAGATCAGCTTAGAAATGAACCCTAATTTAATAAATATGTCAACATTAATAAGCTATGAATTCCCAATGAATTCTATTAATAACTAAAACGAATAATGTTGATTTCTTCGTCCAAAAATATGCAAAATTCAGAACTAGATTATTTATTTACATTGCAATAACAAAAGTTATTTGCAAGCATTACGAAATGATGTAATGTTGCATTTCTGACTGACTGCACCTTAAACAAAGTTAAACAAAGTTAATAATTCGAATGATAAAGACAAAAAAATAGAAAGAAGACCAAAGTATATACAAATGAAATGAGAAACCTGAGAAGGATTAAAGGCATCATAAAGCACATCGACGAAAATACGTTTATAAATCAACGAATCTAAAAATAGAATAAGTGGAAAAAAAGCTCATCGAAAATACTGAAAAATAGATCCAATCTTTATCTGGAATCTCTGTTTTGCTACTGTGACAAATTTTGTGGTAATGAAGTTTACCTTTGCTTGAATTAACCCAAATTAGTTGCAATTTTGGAATTCCATATGAAGAATTGATCAAAGGAGCTAGTGACGGATGATGCATTCGAAAAGTACTAGGGTGCCGATTGAAAAATGGAATTTTGATAGGAAGAACCTGTAAACTAAAAAAATGCGAAAATCCAATTCTTCAAAGGTATCACCTTTCTTTTGCATCACTCCCAGCAAAAATTTTTAAAGCCACACAATATCAATAAAGGTGTTTACATATAATTAAATGATCTAAAACAACACTTTTTTGCTGCCAAATGATAGAAAAAGAATGCTGAAAAAATAAATCCTCAAAACTTAAAAATTAAACTATTTAAGCTCGTAAACAGGTAAAATTAAACAGGTAAAAACTTTAGAATTAGGAAAAAAACTGAAAAAAATTGGTAAATGAGATGACCAACCTGCTTTGATGCATTACTACATTCTTCATCGTCACTAAGAGTAATCACATCATTCTTTTCATTATGGCATTTTGCATGATTTACATTAGTTGGCATAGATAATTTTCTTTTTAAATTTGATACATTTGCCGCAGAAAGGCCTAAATAAAAAGAACAAATGAAAATGCATTCAAAACGATCATAATAGTTTCAGTTAGATCATCAGTGACAATATATTTCACAGAATATTTAATATTTTCACTGCTTTACCAAATAAATTCACAGTTTTAGAGAGTGGTTACAAAAACTTTTTGGTGCTGAAAACCGTTGTTAAACTGAACCTATGTCTCTTGGAAAAAATTATTTAATTATTTTAGGAGAATAACTAAATAGACTGAAGAGATCAACATCATGATAACGAACTAAACAATGAAATTATTATTCACTAATAAATTTATTTTTTTTTTCTTCAGTAAACATTTTCAGACGATTAAAATACTCATTAGAAACTATACAAATATCTCTCCTTGCTTCCAAAGTGCACAGATGAGATATTTCTAATTCAAAAGTTTATCCACATTTTCAGCAAAATTCATCACGTTTAAACATTTCACAATTTCTGCTTTATATGGAAATGAAAAACATCCAACACAAAAAAGAGGAGAAAAAAGGAGGAAGAATCTGAAATGTCCAGTATACATCTTTTTTTTCTTTCCCGAAAAGAATATACTCTAAATAAATCCTCAAACTTCGAAAGAAATATATATATCTGATGAAATTTTCAATAATCCGAAACATCAAGCGCAGGAAAAATTTGCAGTTGTAATATACTTTGCTGCCGAAATTCAAAAATTTCAGACTGAAGTCGAGTAAAAATCGAACGAAATTCGATCTAAGTGAGATCAAACGAATCAACGAGGATCGATTAACGTTAATATAATATCAAGAAGACCAATATGACTTTTATTAATCATATGCAAATTTTGCAATTTTTATTCCCTGAATCTAGAAGCTTGCATTTGCTTTTCCTATCCAGATCCTACTGAGATCCAGATAGATAAAAACATCTGGTAATTTGCCACATTCTATTGGACCTACTGATTCTCTAGAAACTGTCCTTTTACAGGGCAAAAAAAAGTCGCTGAGATATTTTGAGGCGCTTTTTTTTGAAAGAGCTTAAGGAAAAAGCTGAGAAACTGTTTCGCAATCTTTGGACCAGAATTTTATACTTCTTGAAATAGCTTCTGAAATTGATAAAACGCAGAAATGAAGGCTCACCCCGTGATTCAGTAGTCTGCGTAGCAACGTCCATGATGCTTTTTCGACATTTAGGATTCATATTTGCGATGAATTCGTCTAATGGACGCGAATCTGAATGAAAATTTTTAATATTTTAATTCTTCTGAATAATTGAAAGTATGGAAACATGGACAAGCAAACGTATTTAACAAGAATATGGGACAGAATGAATCACATCTAAAGTTTTTACCTGAAAGATAAGCAAGTAATTTCAGTGCATAATAGTCACGTGGCCCAATTGATGATTGCGAAATTATTTGAATTGGGCTCTTTTCATGAGTCTCACGGAGATTAGAATTCTGGTTTTCAGGTGTGATTGTAAGATTTTGAAGTTTTGCTGCAATTTCCAAATACATCGTTGATTTTTTTTCCCAATCCACTACTCTGTGGTAAATCTGAACCAATTTTTTTTAAAATAATTTAAATAATTTTTTAAATTTATATTCAATAAATTTTATAAAATAGAGAATTTCACAATTCATCATAAGTTAAGTGATTTTAAAATTCAAAATTATTTTAAAGAAAAAAACATCTCTCTTTCCTATTACATATCTTCTTCTAATAGCTTTTACCATTAATAGGCTGGTTCCACTAGCTATAAAAATAAGTCATTTCCAAGCTATTCGGTCCGGCGCCATTACTGACGATAATAAAAGTAATTCTTTTTACCACCGTCCATCGCTTGTCCGTCCACCTATTATTACATGTAATAACGAGAATAAAGGACGGAAAAAAAACCTCCGTTCCAGAACAATTTATTTTGATATACTGACTCAATTCCAGGGCGAATTCATGTATTCTCATGAAATTACTCATCAATTCTGCAATAGCTTCGTCCTAAAATATTAAACATATACCTGAAAGAATTTGAAATGCTAAAATTTTTTTTCCATTCGTAACAAATTTTGATTGTGAAGAAAAATTTTCGAAAAAATTTGATTAATGAAAACGAAATTGTGAAAATATTTTCATTTTAATCAAAGCTTTGATGAAAATAATTTACTTTTTTTTGACATTCTTGCCTGAGATGTAATTCGGTTGCTTTGCAAGGATTTTTATCACACGGCAAATGTTCATAATAATTTGACAAAACCTTGAAGTAAAGCAAACTTCAGGCAAATTCTAACAAAGTATCGCTAAACATAAGTCTTGAAGAAAAATCATGAGAATTTTGTACAAAAAAAACCCTCAGTGATATTTCATACATGAATTAATAAATTTTTTAAGTATTAGAATTAGAAAATTGGAGATTATTCTTTTTTCTTCATCTCACAACCCCATTGGGCAGCCCAATGTTGAACTTTCCATTTTATAAATAGAGAACCATCAGTGCTTTCAAAATCTCTCTTCACCTCATTTATTCATATACTGATTGGGCTTTCGCATTTTTTGGCATTTTTGATGCCATTCATTACATGGCGTGGCACATAATCAGATTTGATCTCTTTTATGGGCAACGAAGTCGTAACCAGCTGACGCTTTATGACAATTTAATTAATGCAGAATGAAACTGCAATGAAAGAAGATTATGTAAAATATTGTGTCCGACATGAACATGGAAAATAGTCAAAAATAACTTTGAACATAGGAAATAGCTCTTAAATATCAGTCATTCCCAAACTTCGCAACCGTTAGAAGTTTATTACAGTTAAACAGATGAAAACTTTTGCTTTGATGATAATTTCACGGTAAATCCACGAACGCTTTTCCCAATATTATATATTATCAATCTGATTAAAATGCTGGTTCCGCATAACTAAATCCCTACCCACGAGTTAGATGAAAGATTGTATTAGTGGTAAAAACCTCATGCTTACCGACAAAATGACAAAGATATTCTGCATTAGCAAGTAGCCCGAAGCTATATTTAGCAACCACAGAAACAAGAGTGAAAGCAACATATTCTACAGAAACTTCAATATCTTCTGACTATTATTGGTATTCTTATACTGTTCGTTTATACGGCTGTCAGACTTGTTTCGCATATTTAACCAAATATAGACAAGCTAAGAATGTTATCTCCATCACAAAGCCATCCAAAATGATTAGAATAAAGCTTAGAGCTAAAAAACTAAGATAAAAATCAGAAATGATAAATTAAAAGATAATGTTAAACAAAAAATATTAAAGCGATACCCTTCTCAGTTCGTTCTTCGTAAGAACTCGCTTCTTCGATTTCTTCCCACTTCCGTCACCTTGATAGTTTGTATTCTTACTGACCTCATCTGACACTTTGGCTTGGTTTTCAAGATTTTTATTGATATCAATACATTCAATTTCATCATCAACTTCACTCGCCGCAGTATTGTAAATGTTCCAACTTTTCTCAACGTTCATCGTGAGAAAGACTGAGTATTCGAAAAAAAATTCCAACAAGTAAAGTTCAAAAATATTTCGCGCATTTTACGAACATGGTAAATTGAAGATTTTTCAGTGGCACATAAAGTTTAAGGTGTTAAAAGCCTTGAAATATTCGGCAAAGGAATGCGAGAACATTGACGAAAATCCACAGTCTTCGCACCTAAACGAGCAAAAAGAAAAAAAGTAGCTCGTTAAGTCACTTGCCAAGAACTTAAAAGGAAATCTAGAAGCAGCAAGAGCCCAAAAGTACGGTTAATTCGACCAAAGTCCAACAGGCAAACTAAACGGATTGACGACACTCGACTTTAAAACCTCGTCGCGCCATCTGTCTCGAGCCATAAGCACTGAGGCTCAGCCCAAACACGAACCCCAAACAGGCGGCGCGGCGACTCGCACAAGCTAAGCTATTACTCGTTTGCTACCTAACAACTCGTTTCATTCACCCTAAAACTCATCAAATTTATTCACTTATAAAATTTAAAATTTGCAAATTACGCGAAAATGTGAATAATACACTTTTTTGAAAATTTAAAAGTAATAAAAAATAAGTGCCGAACAAACGAAAAAACATACTCCGCAATAGAAATGAGAAAAAAATAGCATCAAAATAACAAAAAACAAAAATAAAAGAAACGAAAAATGAGAAATTAAATTTACTATAAACAAACATTCCATTCGAAAATCAAAAATTTGAAAGTACTTTTCTTTTCAGGGACCATAAAACAAACAACGTGTCTTGAATTTAATCACGACATGAGAACTAAATGTTTTATCCATATTTTTTGAACTTGTTTTAATCTGCTCACGATAAATTTGAACTGCATAAGTGGTAAATTATTAGAAGAAGGAAAAAGAAAGGAGGAGGAGGAAAAGGGAAAGAAGCGACTAAGAAAGAGCAACTTTCGATATTTGAGATATAATGCCATATCATAAGCCGAACCACGATTTCAGGAGGTTTCTTTGAAATAAAAACAAATAAATATTGTAATGAATTATTAATTGTTGCATTCATCACGAAAGCAGTGCGATTTGGACGATGAATGAATTTCCTTATTGCACCGCGACTGTTCCTTTTTTGCACTTAGCATTTTCTATATTTTTCATTCATTTAAAAAATATTCATTTAAACATTTACATTTCCCTAAGAAGTATAATTTCAAAGATGAAAATATAATTATTAAACTTTTCTCATTGAAAAACATCTGTAGATTTGAAAATTAACAAATTTTTCCGGCAAGCGCTGAAAAAAAGGATTTTAACTACAAATTGCAAGAATTGAGACTAATTTTGGTTCGTCTGCCACAGTAAAGAGGCATCGTTCCGACTCCGTTGGCTGAGATAAATATTTTCTTTTAGGAGCAAATTTTCAGCGGTCACTCGTCTACGAGTGTCGCCAACTTTCTCACAAAACAATCTTCCAAGGTGTCGATGTTAGAGAATGAAGGATTCATTCGGTGAAGTGAACAAATGAAAGTCATCTTTTTGAATGAACAATTTGAATTAGTTTTATTTATTTGAACAAATAAAAAATGGGAAAGACATTTTAGATTCCATTTATTTATTTCGTATTTCCACTCTGTATTTTCATTCTCCATTCCATGAGAAATAAGGTATTTTATATTTCTGAAGAACAGTGTCGAAGGTTTTGTGCAAGGCTTGTAAGAAAAACAGGCAGTGGGAATAATATAGGAAGGCCGTCCGCCGCACAAATATGCTTTAGTATTTTAGTTCACCTTCTTCGAATATACAATACGATAGGTACGAAACGTTACATGATCAGAATTTTATCGTCAAACTTGAGCAATCTATTTAAATTAATACTACACTAGAGGAGAGGAATAAACGAAGAAAATGATGAGAAATTTAAATACGTTTGTAAACCAGAATCTAGCAGATTTTATATTATATTAGCTATAAAAACTAATAATAAAAACAACAAACAGAAATCTTCTTCTTCCTCTAACAGTTCTCACCATTACTGATTAGGCTGGCTCCAACAGCTACAAGGGTAAAACACTTCCAAGCGGCGCGGTCTGATGCCATCGTCGACAGTAATGGAAGCCATTCCTTTTCCAATCGTCTAAGTCCATATATTGCTGGTCCATCTATACGTTCAAAATCTTTCCTAAACCTATCAGTCCAGGTCTTAATTGGCCTACCTCGCTTTTGACGCCATCCTTCACAAGGTTTAGCAAATAACGAAATATGCGACAATTCTTGTGGTGGACGATGAAGAACGTGTCTTAGCCACCGAAGGCGACGCTCTGTGATAACATTATTAATACAGGTGGTGTTTGAACGACGGTGGATGAGATCATGTGATGGATCCGCTCGACGGATCCATAAAATATAACTTAGATAAAAGTGATAGATAGTTTCTTAATGTCCTCCATTCTCATTGGTCATGTCTCAGAACCATATAGCAAGATCGAACGAATCACTTGCTGCAATTTCTGATATAGATGCTGGCTTTCGTTTTAATGGTGATTTCACGAGAGCTCCATAAAAATTTCGTCAACCGGAAGAACACATTTCTAGCTGTCGTGATCCGAGTTATAATATCATCTTTTGCCTATCCATTTTGTATTAGAGTGGAATCAAGGTATTTGAAATCACATTTCCACAACCGGTAATGAATTTAAAAAAAGAGGCATTTTATCAGCTTTTTGTATGTAAGACGAAAAGACTTTCGTTTTGTATATATTGACCCTGAGTCCGATTCTTGTTGCAGTTTCTAACACGTTATTTACGTGCATTTCATCAGCAAAAAAGACTACATCATCAGCGTATTCAAGATCTGATGCTCTGGACTGATTTGGACACCCCTTGTGCCGACAAGCGGTGTCCATTACCCAGTTTATTGTATAATTGAATATTGTATGAGATGCTTCAATTCAGTTTGAAATTTTTTTTATAGCCGACAGAAATAATCAATGAAAAATAAAACAATAAAAAAATAAATCCAATTATTACACTACACGACTGCTACAAGATTGCAACTGCAGGAAAAAATATTAAAATAATAAATAAATAAAATATTAAAAAATATTAAAAAATATTTAATATTAAAATATTAAAAAATATTAGGAAAAAAAAGTTAATGAGGCGTCGTAATGGTTCTGTTCACCCATTCGATCATTCGCCTATACCAAATCAATTTGCTTTTATTTGCTTGAAAGAACTAAATTCAAATGACTTATAAAATGAGAAGAGTGCGGAAATTTGGAGTGGCAGAAATATTTTTAGTAAATCAGACACAAATAAATCATCAGATTATGGGTCATTCGTAATCAAATATGAATAATCCAAATTCAAATCAAGCTTTGAACCCAACAAATCCAACGAAAACACAAAACTGAGCTAAGAATTCATGATTTTTTCGTTCGCACTATTGATTACTGGAAAAAGTTATCGAAAAAGCTAAAGTTATCGAACGGTGTGGTGTGCGCACCATGCTAACCTATTTTTAACAAAAAGGTTGAATAATATCGCTCACCGATATTATTGAAAGGTTTCGCATTAAGCAGGTAGTTTGAACTCTTTGAGCTGCGATTATTCAGTTCAGTTTGCATAATTCCACTTTATTTATTTCTCTTTACATTATTAGCTTTTGGTCATTTTTTTTATATTGTATTTTTTATTGATAACTAATTTTTTTTCATTTGGTACCTCATTTGTTGCTTTTAAACACAATGGGTATGCAAGTATAAATTTGGGCAAACCATTCGCATCGCGCCACGCTTCTTTTGCAGCAACAGGATTGGGAAAGTTAGAGAGACAAGAGCTGAAAAAGGTAACAGGAAATGTTGTTGCTGCTGTCTTGTCTTGTCGTTGTCATTGTTGTCCTCTTGCCACACCACAGGTTTGCCACTCGGGTGCATCTACGACAGTAATTTGTGTACAAGTGAGAGTCCTCACCACTACTCCTTAGGCTCGCTCTGACTTTCGAATTTTACATGACGAACTACATTCTTTTTCGCTAAGACTAACTTATAATCGGATAACGAGTCGTCTAATCAATTTAATACTTCGTTCGAAGATAGCTGAGGGCAGTCTTTTCTGTTCAGTTAATTTTTTATTATGCTAATCCCTCAAATCTGTACCATTCCAGTCTCTCTCTTACAACTTCATCGTTATAATACTTCATCGTCATAAAATTCCGCAGTTATTTTTTGAACCTTTAAAACTCATTACCTGGCAAAAACCAAAAGCGTGCAATATCTAAATTAGTTTCTTCTAAATTGGTTTCTTTAAATTTCTTTCTCTATGACTCCATCTATGGTACTCATCCACTTTACAACAACTGAAAAAACTGTTGAACAAGTCGTAATCAAAACGTTTATTGCGACGCACAATATGCAATATAATACCACGTCGACGCAGCAGTAATCAACAATAATATAAGATCTCATACATATAGAAAGATCAACCTGCAAACATCTATAATTGCATAGATCGTGCTCTAATATTGAGCAGTTTCCGTGGGCTTTGCGTGGTTTTGGATCAATTCTGCGTGGTGGTCTTCAAATTCTCGCTGATTGTCGTGATTGTCAGATGCGGCTTAGTTGATATTTAATTTTTACTCCAGGTTTAATCGTGTCATCTTCAGGAAGGTTATAAGTCTTTAAAAGGGTATTTAAGGTATCTTTATGACTGGCTGTTCGGCTGCGAAGTTGATTTGCATGCCATATATGGCATCTGCTACTGATTTCGACCTTATATGATACTCTTCCGACTCTTTCGATCCTGTGAACTATTTTTGCTGTTTCTCATTTTTCTCCCTGGTTTTGATATTGTCTTGCATAGATGAGTTGATCAGGTGCAAAAGAATGATTAATAGGACCGTAACGTCGGTTATATATCTTTCCATTTTCTTTCCATTCGCCTATTTGAAGGTCATTTGCTCGAAGATGTTATTGGTATACCTTTCTGCTTTATGGTATTTTTATTATGAGATACCTGGCGACTTGTACGTTTGTCCACTGTTTCATGATTTAGTGCATGAATGGCCTTAGTCGTTCCTCTTTCGATTATTTTCCGATTGCGTTCCTCGATCAGTTAATGAATCGTAATATTCGGCTCTTGCTCGATTTTGTGGAGCGGCTTAACACGCATAACAGTAATATCTTCCGGCGGATGTATTCCGAAAACGAAGATTTAAGATTTAAATCGCTTGATCGTATTGAATTATTCGCATTTTTTGTTGACTATTGTTCCAGAAGTGACGAGTTGTAAATGAAATTTTACTGCGACGCACGATAAGCAGTGTAACGTCGACGCAACAGTAATCCTTAGTACCCCAGAATATACCCGCAGTACAGCCCAAAATTATCCTGCAAGTGATATACAAATAGCCCTCGATTATAACAGTAGATCTAAAGGTACACGAAGGCGCAGATCAACTACTCTGAAGACAACCCTGTCAGTTTGAGGAGTCTTTTTCTTTTACATTATATATTTTTGGAAGATATTCAGAATTAAGAATATAGATATCTCTCATTTATTTTTATTATCTTCAGTTATTTTCCATTTCTATGGAAAATTTCTAATCTAATCTAATTAACTTAAATGAAAACAATCACTGATTTTATTTTTTTTTATCTTTGACACAACCTATTTTCGTGAATCCACTGATGAAATATCTTCCTTAAAACTTATTTACATCTATCCAGAATTTGAGTATGACGATAACGATTGAATGCAAGAAAAAGTAATACAGAATTTATTTTATTACAATATGTACATTTCACCGTTTAGCAATATGCATTAGACAATTTATGGTAATAGTGTAGTAATTTTTACTTTCGCTTCTTGATAAGGATTTCATTAAAATCGAAATCCGGGTGGTAATGAAAGTCCTAAGGGAATCTTCTCAAAAAAATAAAAATGAGTTTTTATAAATTGAAAGAAAAAATATTTCGGAAACCACAGTTAATATTAACATATGAACACTAGGAATAATACAATAATTTCGTCTTTATTCGTTATAAATGAATGCTAATCATAATCTTCAAAATCTGAATAAACAGTGTGATACAGCAAATCTTCAGAATCATATTCACCGACCTAAATTATAAAAGTTTTAAAAAATAAAAATATTTTCTCATTCAATGTAAATTATGTAAATTAAACATGAAAATTGCAATAAAAAAATATGATAAATTCAAAAAACAATGAAGCCATCATCACATAGTTTTTGAACTTTAAATAAATAAATTAAACAATATGACCATTTCATACAAAATAGACCTGATAATTTCGTTTCGATTTTTTTTCATCAATGTCATGGATAATACGACGCCATTCTTTAGGCCCATTCTTTGATCCGATACCCAATTTACGCATCGGATTATAAGATAATTCGTGAAAGTTTAAACTTGGCTCTGTTCTTTTTTCGTTGCATTTACCAAACTGTGCTTTAAAAAGCTATTATTTAGATGGATCAAATTTCAACTGGAATCAGTGGAATGCATATTTTGGGAATCCAAACTACATCGCCAAAGTGATAAAATTATGATGAAAACAAAGAAAAATACAAAAAAAATATAAAGAAATAAGATTTAAATAAAATAACAAATGGCAAAGAACTAAAAGAAAATTGCCTAAAATGATTTCTCACCATCTCACCAAAAATTGGTAATAAGAAATAACGAAAGATGTAATAAATTTCAACAAATATAAGCCAAATACAAACTATGGGTAAATTATCCAATAACTGGCACAACAGTGAATGAGAAAAAAATAATAGGAAATATTTCAAATAATTTAATCACCATGACGAATAAAATGGCTGATAATAAAAAAAGAAAGCAAAAGATTAAAAAGATACCTGATGTTTGTATCACTCCATATTTCTCTAAATATTTCTTCATTTCATAAGAAAATGGATTTGCGAATACCGGAGCTTCATCGCGTTGAGTCTGTTTAACAGTTGTTTTCTTGATTACTTTCATAGTCTTAAAAATTGAACTAGGGGAGTCTTCTTCAGGGCATTCTTGATTATGTCTTGATGATGGAATATTATTCCTAAAAAATTGATTAATTTGCAAATTCTTTAAAATTCAGTCAATTGTTAAGAAGATAATGAATACACCTTGTCTTATAATTATTCGATATCATTTTATCAATGATTTCGAGGCTAGGATCACCACCAAATTGCATAATACCTTCATCCACATATCTCCTGAAATCTTCGTCCTGCTCAAGTCTTCTTCTGATAAAATCCCACTTCTTTGCTGCTAGATCATTCTGAATTTATCCATATGATTTCATTTGAATCCTTTGAATCCCGATTATACAGTGAATTAAATCGTCTGCGAACTATTTTCAGGCACAGCTTTTTTAAAAAAAAAAGTTATCTGTTAATTTTAAAGAAATACACCATTTCAAAAAAATGAAGCTGTGATGGAAAAATTATTCCACTTTATTCCACTTTTCTCACAACTCACCTCACTTTTAAAGAGAATTAAATTAACTACAATCATCAAAAATAACTCAATATATCAATATGATTAAACAAATATTGATGAAAATTTAATAAATTCTACTTGAACAGGCAAGTTTTCTTTTTCAGCAAGCAAGCTCGATAGGAATATACTCTGTTCGTTTACCGCAGAACTGCATTTTTTGTCGCCAAATTTGATTTCATCCACATCTACTGATAAGTGCATATTTATCAGCTTCTGTAAAAAAGAAATATTTAATCAAATAAATCAAATAAGTTACAAAATATCATTAAAAATTAAAAAAATATCACCTTGACCATCTCAGACAAAGATAGAATTTGTTGGGCCAAGTCATCTACAGTAGCTTGTAATTTATTAAGCTTGCTGTCATAATTGGAGAACTGAAAAAAAATCTGCATAGAATTTCTTCGAAATATTTCAAGTCATATATTAATTCGAGTCATATATTAGTTATATTAAAATGCATCTTAATGGTTAAACAATAATTTGGCTTTTAACTGATAAAATATATCTTATATATCTTAGCTACCTATATTTGTACAATAACATCCTATGTTATTAACTCATAAAACTCTATTTGTTTTAAATAACTGTGCATGTTAGTAGCAAAGATCTCATCAAAAAGAGAAGTAATGAGAAAGGGCGCACTTGTGATGACCAGATATTCACTTTAAGAAGACGTGTTTCATCGATATTGCGGCTGCCTTTGATTCAATTGATGGAACCGTGTTTTGGAGAATGATGGAATGCGATGGTGTTCCAAAGACAACCATTTGCATCATAAAGGCATTTCATTAGCACAGGTGAGTGTACATGAGGAAATTACAGGATCCTTCGAAAGAACTGGTGTTCGTCAAGGCTATATCTTTTCTTCCACAATATTCAATTATGCGATAGATTGGATAATGGATACCGCTTGTCGGCACTCAAGAGGTGTATAAGTCAGTCCAGAGCACCGTATTACAGATATTGAATAGCTGATGATGTAGTCCTTTTGCTAAAGCTATGAAGAAATGCAAATAATGATAAATAACGTGTCAGCAACTGCGATAATCGTCCTCAGGATGAATGTAAATAAAACCTTTTCGAAAGCCTTTTCGTCTTATGTACAAGAAGCTGATAAAATGCCTCTTTTTATAGATTTAAAGTGTCTGATTTTAAATATCTTGAATCCAATCTAATACCGAATAGCCCGGCGAAAGATGATATTGCAACATGGATTAGAAATGTGTTCTTCCGGTTGATGAAATCTTTATGGAGACGTCGTGAAATAAAATACGAAACCATAAAAACGAAAGTGCGCATCTATAGCTCCGATTCGTTCGACCCTACTATATAGCTGCGAGACATGACTAATGAGAGTGGAGGATAAGAAATTATCTGCCTTTGACCACTCATAACTAAAGTATATTTTACGGGTTCATAAAGTGGATAAAATCTCACATGATCGCATCCATCGCACGTTCAAACCACGTTCAAATGCCACTTTTATTAACAGTACCATCGCCTTCGCTGGTTAAGACACGTCCTTCATCGCCTGCCACAAGAGTTGTGGCATATTTCGCTACTTATTAAACCATGTGATGGATGGCAAGCGAGGTGGGCCAATCAAGACCTGGGCTGATACAGTTAAGAAAAATTTTGAACGTATAGATGAACCAGCAATATATGGACTTAGATGGTGGAGAAAGGAATGGCTTTTATTCCGGTCGACGATGGTATCAGACTGCGCCGCTTGGAAATGTCTTATCCTTGTAGCCAGCAGAGTCAGCCTAACTAGTAATGATGAGGGCTATTATCAGAAGAAGAAGAAAAAAAAGAATGAGAAAGGTAACCATAGGGGAGGCTGATTTTGATTTTTGGTGAATTGACAGACGTTTTTTTTTAAAATTTTTTCATTAAATTTAGACGTAACTTCCCATCATTTTAATATGGTTCAATATATGGTTAAAATCACAATATGTAACTAATATCCCATCTAATACACCCTTCTGTTAAATCTAAGGATTTTAGCATTTTAAAGAGCACTATTTTAACTCATCACTAATTGCGTTTCAGCACAAATGGTTAGAATGGGTACTGAAGTAAAATCCAAACTATACAAATATACTTATAAGCAGTGGAATAGAGTAGTGATTAAGTCCTCAGCTAATGTGAAAGAAATGAATGAAGGTTCGAATGGCATCCAGCATCTTTTCAGCCAGTATCTATCTTTCCAGTTGAAGCCTCTGAACAAGAACCCACTTACTTGTCCTACTTCAAATGTGAGAGTGAAATGTATTAAAGTTAAGCTGATTACGAGAATACCCAGATTAGTCGGATGTTGAACAACAAGTTAGATAGACTACTAGAATATCTTGCATGGACAAGACAATCTGGAATATCTGGAATTAATGGAATGCTATTAGAAAAGTAGACTTAATGAAAGATAAATGGAAACCTGCTCTCCAGTTACTTTTGAATCATTGTCAATCATTGTTCCTAATGATTTTTTTAGAATCGCCAAGTCTCCTTTTTTCTTTATTTTATCCTAAATAAACAGAAAAATGCTATAACAAGACGTTATAAACATAATAAAAATGTCGCTATTAAAAGTTTAAATAAAAAAACTTCTGCAAATTGCTATATTGCAATGCAAATAAGATACTTCTACTGTTTGCGAAACATTCGTCGTTCTGCCAAATGCTATTGTTTTTTTCTTTTTTAATAATTTGTGGGGATACATTGTAGGATTCGTGTTGCAACAAACAATGATCGGCTTCTTAATTGTATTTTCTCTTGATTTCACAAGCTCACTTCCTCCAGAATGATTATTCTCAATTGTCACACTTAATTTTCTGTTAGATCCAACTGTAGATAAAGCTTGCCTTCTTGACGCCGATGAAACTTTTCTACAAAGATTTTCGGCATGAGATAAAAATAATTTTGCAATGAACAAATTTTAAAAAAATAAATGAAATAAGTGAAAAAATAAAATAATATGCATTAAGAAATAATAATATGCATTAAAATAATATGCATTAAGTAAAGAAATAATATTCCAAAAAGATATTGAAAATATTTATTTATATATATATATATATTAATTTCCAATAAATTTACTTTTTTTGATCTAATAGCATACTGCCAACAGCTTCTTCAGCCTGACTCAACTGAGATTTCTAAAAAATAAATAGGATTTTAACACACTCTAAAACACAACTGCCATTTATACTAAAATGCAGCTAGTCGCTGTTTGTGCTAGAGAATAAGTTTTTTCTATAAGAAACGATAACTGTTTTGGAGTGAAGAATGAATTCACAAGAAAAATTATACAACCTAAGACTGAGCCACATGAATTAGTAAACCAAAAAGAAGCGTTCAATAAAATAGTATCAATTATCTGAAAAAAATTTGCAAGAATATGATTCGAAAAAAATTCATATTTCAAAAAATAGCAAATACTTGATTGTAAACAATTGCAGGAAAATATGTGATCAGCGATGTAGAAGAATCCGATTCGTCCGATGAAGACATACCTAAAATATGAAAGCTGAAAAATGAAATATAAATTATAGATAATCAAAAGTCATTAAAAATTGATAATTATTTCTAACTGACCCTCTGATGAAAAATTCCCAACCTCATATTCAATCAAACAAAAAAAAAATGGAGCGGTTTATTAGAAGAGTTTTAAAAAGGATAAAGTCTCATTTCGCTGAGTAAATCAGTTTTATACAAAAGTTCAGCAATATAAGAAAGTAAAAGTGTGAATATGAAAGACTACGAAAAGCACATGCACAGCACAAGAGCACAAAAGCACATACAAATTCAGGCCAAGTGAATAAATCCACAAACTAATATCTGCACTAATTCAAGTGAAAATAGCAGTCGATTCTGAAGCAATTCAGCTGATTTACTCATTAATAATATTTACAGCTGCTGACCACATCATAACCTTAGCTTTGAAAAGAGTTAACTAATATCTGAAAATGCAATGAAAACAATAATGGGAAGAATAGTAAAATGATAAAATTAATCTAAGCAATAAGCAGGATTTAAAATTAACAAAAAATATTAAAAAGAATCTCACAAGGTTCCCAAAGATAAATCACAGTGCAATGCGATCAAGAAAATGAAAATTCACATATTTATGAACAAATTACGAGTAAAATTTCTAAAAACTGACCTCAAAGTGGTTCGTAATCGTTTTTAAACAACGATCGTTAAAATATCTTTTTGAGATGAATTTCAACAATTACGACCGAATTAATTTGAAACTCATCAAAATTTGCTTCATCGATATCTTTTTTAAATTTTCACAATAAATACTGATGAAAACCTACAATAAATATTTCTTAATAGATAAGAAATGCAAAAGTATCAAATGTTTTCTTTGAAATTTCAATTTTCTATCTATTAAACTCAACAAGCTAGCACGAAAAAGGCAATTAAAAATATGAAAAAATTGCAAAAAGTCGTGAAAAATGAAAAATTATGAAGCTGAAACTAAAAAAATTCGATTGAGCATGGACGCAGCCCCAGATAAAAACTAATAAAGTACGAAGTAAAATGCTCGCTAAATTTAAAATGGCTTCCAGCGAGTTATTTATAGACTAAATAAAATTAAGAGTAAAAAGAAAAGAAAAAGTAAAATAAGTAAAAAGTAAAGAAGAATGAAGAATAAATACAGGATAACTGAATTCCTTTTTCTCACTCACATTCGTACTCACCACTTCTAATTCGTTGGCTAACAAACAATGAGGAGCACTCTTAGTAGTGATAGAAGTGCAGGTGGTTTTATCAACGCCACTCGAATACCCTGAATAACAGGCTTACCCCGTTAACGAAACACCTTGATGGAACGAAACACCGCACCAGTCGAGCACCGTCCCCTTCTCACCATTATAACCCACAACACCACAACACCTTGGTGGACGCACCGCACCAGTCGAGCACCGTCCCCTGCTCACCATTATAACCCACAACACCACAACACCTTGATGGAACGAAACACCGCACCAGTCGAGCACCGTCCCCTGCTCACCATTATAACCCACAACACCACAACACCTTGGTGGACGCACCGCACCAGTCGAGCACCGTCCCCTGCTCACCATTACAACACCGCTCTAACCATTTATTAAATTTAAATGAAATTTAAAAAATAAAAAATTTAGCCATAATTAGTGTATTGCGCCCGAAAAAATTATACAAACTAATGGTATACACGAAAATATAAAAAAAACAAATAAAACCAACACAAAATTTAAAAACGAAGTTGAGAATTATTTCACAGAAAATCGTCTTAAGAGCAGCCTTTCTTTCAAACAGCCCCCCGCCACCGACCGAACGGACAAATTTTGCTAGGGAGCCACTCACCCGGTGGCAGAAGTACGAGCAAGCTGCGGGCATCTCTCATCTCAAATACCCTTACATTTTATAAAACGCCACTCGAGTTTTTCAACGGCAACAGGTTTAGCCCGTTGACCTCCGAAGCGCCACTGAATTGCAGTGCGATTCTAGTTAGTGAAAATGAAAATCTGTCTTTTCAAAGTAACTTTCGAAGGATTTCAATAATTACCATTTTTGAATGAAAATGAAACAAATGAAATTTGCGAAATAAGTTGAAAACAGCTAAAACGAACGAGCTTTTCCCAAAGGTTCGAATTGCTCAAATACAGAAATGCAAATGCAGTGACAGAGGGTAAAAAGCCGAAAGGGTACCACGGAAAGGCATATCGATGGGATTTGATAATGCAAGTAAAGACATCAATATTTTTCAAATCTCAAATCTTCCTAATTCCAAATTTTTCTTATCAGGCATATTATTAAAATTAACGATTGATAATGGAAAAAGCTCTCCAGTCAGAAAAGCAAATTTCTGAGCTCTTTAAAAAAGCAACAATTATGAGCCCAAAGTAGTAACTATGGCTGATAAACAATAAAATTACTGTTTGCTCTTTGCACAGTGAGGATGGGGGTGTGAAACAGTTGTAGCCATATATAGACCCACGTTTTCGTTTTAATAGAGATCTCGCGACGGTTCTTAGAAAGGTTCGTCAACTGGAAGAATGCACTACGAACTAGCGCTATTCGAGTTATCATTCGCTTGGCCGTTTGGGATTAGAGCCAATCCGAAATATTTAAAATCTGACATTTCCTCAGCTCGTGATGAATTGATAAAAATAGATTTTATAAGGGTTTTATTAGCTTCTGGTATATAAGACGAAAAGGCTTTTGTGTTGTTTACATTGATCCTGAATCCGATTCTTGCTGCAATCGTCGGCACCATTTGCATATCGTATTCTGTGACACTATGCTCCGGGCTGATTTGTACATCTCTTGAGTACCAACTGACAAACGATGTCCATTATCCAGTCCGTCGCAGTCTGAATATTGTAGGGGAAAAGGAGCAACGTTGACGGATATTAGTTTTGTAAATCGAATGATCTCAGGTTTACTCCTGACAAAGATAAAGACAAAAAATAACTTGAAAAGCAAAATATAAATAATAGGAAAAAACTTGAAAAGAAAAAAGAAAATTCACGGACTATAAAATCAATGATATGTTATTCGGTTTGCTATAACTGAATAACTCGACTTCTTATCAGCCATGGGCCATGCATTTCCACTATGGAGATTCGGGCCACAATTCGCCAATAAAATTCTAAATTAATGATGACTGATCAATTGTTGAATGCTTCAAATGTTTCCTTTTGCATCAGTTTCTTTTGTCATTCATTGCTTCTTTATTGTATGTGGTTTTTTTATCATCGTTATCACCCTGTAATTTGTTTTATCAGCTTACTTTGGTCATATAAACTTGTTGGCCTGCAGGTTTATTTATTTCGAAAGGGATTTAAAATTTTATTTTTAGCTTATCTTCTAGCTTAGTTTATTTTCAGCTTATTTTCTTTTTGGCTAAATAATAAATTTTGTTAATTAATGCATTTGACTTATTTGCAGAATTTATTGACGATTGCAAATGATAGAAGCTATTTCCATGTTATTTAATTAAGATACAAATGCAAGGTTTTCCATGAGTTGACATTGTCATGTTCGCGTTCATTTTTACCAGCTCAATTAGTGCTTTTTTTTCAGCAAGCAATCGAATAAAAATCTTCGTAAATTGTAAATTGAAAATCCGTTTAACCATAAATCGGAAATACAATACTCTCTATTAAATCAAATCGTTTGCCTCATAAGGAATTATCGCTTAAAATTTTCATTTTATAAAAATTATTAAATTATTCAAATGAAAAATTTTTTGAAGATCGAAGATAATATCCATAAATTTAATTTTCACATCTTCGATGTTTTACTTCTTTTTATTTTTCGCATTCAAAATTTTTGTTTAAAAACAAGAAAAAATATTTCGGTTTCATTAATAAAATTCATTAATAACAAAATTTCCTTTTTGATTTAAAGTGAATACTAAAATAAGCATTTTAAATGGTTATTTATTTGAGATTATTAACATTTTTGGTTTTATTGAATAGAAAACCGAAAATTCAGGTTCCATTGCTTTTTAAGACTTTAGTAACTCTTACTAGCCTTTTTTATGGAAAACACGGGCATTATAAATTTTACGAATAAAAAACCAGCATTGTAAAATTTTGATGAAAAATTTGCTTAAAAGTAAATTTGCTAACAATGTTCAAATTACAGCCGCAGCCCAAAAGACGGTCGGAGCTGCGTTTTCTGGCCTGGAAATCTTTGGTGGGGAGGAGGGTTTGTGAATTCGGCTGAGGAGAATTACATTTATAATCTCTGTTTTTATTTTCTTAATTATTCATAGTCTTCATCTATTTATTACCTTTGTTTTTGCAAATCTCTACAATTTGGCATTACATTCAATTATTTATATAGGACTAACAAATTTAAAAAGAATATTGTTAGCAGCATGTTTTTCTTCCAAAGAGATCGCTGATCATATTTCTATTCTATGATGTCATGCATTAAAATTATTACTTGGAAAGTAATAATTTCCTAAGAAGGCTTAAAGAGAGAGTGAACTTTGAATAACTTTGCTTGGAGTACTGGAACGATCCGTCGCATGAAAATCGTTGAGCTCGAATATTTGTTATTGACCTTATTATTTAATTTAAGTTCATATTTGAATAAATGAACCGAGTGGTTTATAGGAACGAAATAGGAAATAGGAATGATGTAAAATGAACGAGCATGTGGTGGTGAAAACTGTTGTACCGACTCGAGTTGTTGTATCAGCAGTCGATTCACCTGAAACTGATATATTGGATAGCAGTATAAGTGAAGATGAATATGCAATAAGCGGTGATGCCGCTACGAACAAATTCAGTTAGTTTTCTTTCTTGGTTGGTGTCACTTTTGTCATTTTTTAAAATTTTACTCAATTTTAATGATATGAAATTTTGATGCTTAGCTGGTTTTCGCCATTCTTTATTTTATTTTTTCAGTGAATGATATTATTAGAAATAAAAGGTGAAAGTTGTCTTAAGGTAAATGAAATCGCTATGCAATTTCATTTTTTTTCTATATTGGCGAGTATTCAATTAGGAAGGTCGATTAAACATAAATGTTGCACCTTTTTTTGGGAAAAATGGTCGAATTATTTGATTAGGCGGTAGGATTTATTAGATAAGGTGACAAATTGATATGATAGAGCAATAAAAATATGTTAGCACTTGTTGCATTATAAAAATTTCGTTAACTTTATAATTTATTCATATTTCATTTCATCTATTTCAATTTTTTAAAATTTTTATATTTTTTTTACGATTTCATTTAATGGCAAATGTAGTGGCGAAAAATTAATTAATCTTCGAATATTAATGATTATGATGAATATAAAAACAAATATCCATGAAGAATTAATTAATATTCCTCAATTTTTTTATTGATTTTCGAATTAACTCAGTATGCATTTAGAGAATTCATAAGACTTTCAAAGAAATCCATTTTTTATAAAATAAAATAAGAAAATATAAAAAATGATTTCAAATTGTTTGTGGATAAAAGAATGAATTTTGCTATTTTATTTTTCTCTCGATCTGGAGTGCTGTTATGATGTTGAAAATAACTATCTTAACGGAGTGAATTTTGAAACGAATGCTTTTGTGCCGTTGAAAATTGTTGGTAATGAAGGAATTTTTGAGGATTCCTGAATTTAAGATCTGAAGTGATCTAAAAGATCTTTGAAGAAATTCTCGTTAATCGTAAATCGTACTAACTCAATTTTTTGGAGATTCATTATTATGTTGCTAATTGTTTTATTTATTTTAGTTGCTAATTCTAATTGTAATCCAGCTTATTATTCAAATTTTCCAACTATTAGTTGAAATGCATCCAATGATTATTTTTTTGCTCACACAATTTTGCTCAAATTTTTTTATTTTTTTCTCACTTTTTTGGTGCGAATTGCGTTCAATATAAAGCTAAAAGAAAATTGGTAAATATGAATTGTAAGGAAAAATTTTCTCATTACTCTAGAAATAATTAATAAATTAATTTATTAAAAACGAAAAGAATATTAAAAAAAGGAAGCAAAAATTTTTCATGTGAACAATTCTTGGAATTGAAATTATTGAAATTAATTATGTAAAGAATTAAAAAAAAATATTGAAGAGGGCAATTTATAAAAATTTTATTAATATTTTCATTTTTATTTATGAATATAAGAAATTTTTATTTAGTTATTAATTTTTCTCTTTTTCAATAAAATCGTACTAACTCAATTCAATTTTTTTAAAAAGTGATTCCTGGAAAATTTTTTGGAGATTCTCTGCAAAAATTCCTAGTTGAAAGATAATTATCTATTATTTTATTATCTGATCATTTACGAAAATACTGTTTTCTTCCAATATTTAATATTGTCTATTGAGCCAGTTTTAAGTGAAATGAAAAAAGTATTTGCTCTTTAATTCTTTAAGAAAGGTTTATTTATAGGGTTTATAAGTAATAATCCTTATTGCTTCTTTAAGTACCAGCTTCTTATTTTTTTTTCTGCTTTTACTGAAATCTACTGAACTACTGCTTTTGTTCAATTTATTTATGATCACATGCAAAAAAAATTAATGTAGCCAGCGTTGGTGCAAAATTAAAGTTTTTATTGCTAAATTAAATTTTTCTTGCTAAT